TTGCCGGGCCGGTGTGGCTCAGTGATTGAGCATGAACCCATGAACCAAGAGGTTGCTGGTTCAATTCCCAGTCAGGGTACATGTCTGCGTGTCAGGCTTAATTTCTGGTAGGGGGTGGGCAGGAGGTAACTGATCAATTATGTTTCTCTCTATCCCTCTCCTTTTCTCTCTCTAAAAATCAATAGTAATAATAATAAAAGACATTCATGAAGCATTCTGAGAAAAAAATATTATAAAAAAAGAAAGAATAAGATCTGATAAAACTAAATTGAAGTACTTTACTGAATCTTGTAAGTTTTATCTGTCAATTTTATACAGTCTCTCTAGAAAACTGTAGTAGTCTTGTATAATATTCAAGTTGCTTCTAAAAGAGTAATAATTTATATGGCCAGGGTGTCCTGATTCTCAGAAGAAAAACAGAGGTGTAAAAAGAGACACCTTGGGGCCCAGAATCTGGATTACAAATGGGGGGCTCCTCTGAGGTGAGTATTGGGGATCCCACTTGCTGTCGGGACTGAGGGTTCCTGGGGCTGAAATTCGGGACTCTTGTTTGCAGCGTGGCCAGGAATTTTCCTATGGAGTGCCACTCTGCCCTGGCAATTCCCATCCTTTCACTTAAATTAAGCATTTCTGTTATTAATTAAGCACTTGCTGCCTCTCATCTGTGCTTCTTTGTAAGGCACTGGAAGCACTTAGTACTGTGTATGGCACCAGAAGCATTCACTGCCCTCTTCTGAGGAAGCCTGATCGGCTCTACGTAGCAAGAGACATGCTCTGCGTTGGTCTGTGGACTGAAAGGTCCCAGGTTCGATTCCGGTCAAGGGCATGTACCTTGGTTGCGGGCACATCCCCAGTAGGGGGTGTGCAAGAGGCAGCTTGTCGATGTTTCTCTCTCATTGACGTTTCTAGCTCTCTATCTCTTTCCCTTCCTCTCTGTAAAAAATCAATAAAATATATTTAAAAAATAAAAAAGAAACATGCTCTGTTTCAGTGGGTTTTTTATTTTTTATTTTTTTTTAAACACAGGACATTCTGAGATTTCTGTGGCTGGGCAAATAAGCACAGTGTAAAGCTTTTGTCTGTGGGTTGTGTGTGCCTGTAAATATTGTACATAAGAGTGTCTCTGGATTGTTGTTTTGTGTGTCTCTGTTGTTTGGTTCAATTTGTTTTAAAAATGAGGGCATTAATGAATAAATAGAAATGTTTTATTCCCACTTTGCCAGGGTCCCCAGCTGCTGATGTGGGCTGACCCCGTGGCAGGGATTGCAGGGATTTCCCAGTTGCTGCTAAGAGTTCTTAATCTTGGGGACCCTCCCTACCTCTCTCTCAAGGCATTAGCTGCCTGAGACGCTTAGCTATAGAGAGAGGTCTTGTCTGTCTGCAATGCAACTTTGGTTACCGGTGGTCATTGCTCAGCTTTCTTCTCTTTTGGAGATTTAGTTTGCTCTTCGCCATTTTATGAACACAGGGAACCCTGTGTCTCTGCTGTTTGGGCTTTGCACCACTTGGGACCAAAGGTCACTTGCTGTGCTTGGGTTGGTGTGAGATAAGATTCTAAGGCTAATGTCCCCGTCTCACCTTTTGAGAGTGTTCATTTATTTACTTTAGGGGTTGTTTTTGTTGTGAAGTAGGATAAAATCTCTTGTTATATGTAAGATTTCATGTTAAATCATAAGGATTCTACTCAGAAAGAAAAATATGAGAAATAAACCTTCTCCCTCTACCTCCTTTCTCCCTCCTCCTAAAAGCTGCCACGGTCATGTTATCCCTGTTACAAAATCTGCCAAGAAAATGCCTTGGGTAATAATTGGCTTTAAAAATCTCATAAAGTTGTAAGACATAATAAATAAATGTAATGAAAATGAAAGGTTTCAAAAAAGTTTTTCAGTAATAAGTATATATACACCTAAACATAGTTTTCCAAAGTCCTTGGTAACTTGAAACTTTGTTTTGCTGGGTTTAATAGTAAAAATTATTAAATATCTATGTATTTTGAAATAATAGGATACGGAAATATTAATTAATCAGTTTCCCTACTTTTGGCTTCTTATTACAGAGAATCTAGAGGATGGATTTAAAACTGTTAATGGATGTCTTATATTTTATTTGAAAGATATTTCTTAAAAATGTGAATGTAATGCTAATCTGAAGAATGTAAATTACTTGTCACCGAAAAGGTCAAGGTTTCTAAGAATTAAGAATCCTAATTAAAATGGAAGAAATTATATGGTTTGGGTAACACAGAATTGAAAATAGGTGGGTCTAAAAAACAGAAAGAAAATAGAGGTGGAGCAAAAGTTCTGAATGAGTTAATAAAAAACTGAAAGGAACTAGGAAAATTGCAGAGGGTCTGTGCAAGTGAAAAAAATTATATGGAGGGAAGAAGAAAAAAGCAACGTATAGGTAAACTGAACAATATTTGGGAAGCAAAAGTTCTATAAATTATTGAGGTGGTTCTATATTACTAGAGGCCCGGTGCATGAAATTCTTGCACGGATAGGGTCCCTAGGCCTGGCCAGTGATCAGGGCCTATTGGGGCCTTCTGGCTGCCAGCTGGAGCTTTCCTTCGTTCAGTTCTGGTAGGGGGCATGTGCCTTGGTTGCAGGCATGTCCCCAGTAGGGGGTGTGCAGGAGGCAGTTGATTGAGGTTTCTCTCTATCCCTCTCCCTTCTTCTCTGTAAAAAATAAATAAATAAATATATATTTATATACTTATAAATATATATATATTTAAATTACTATATTGCCAAATAAAAAATTAGTAAGAAGACTGGTATTGTTTGACTTTTTAAAAATCCTCACCTGAGGATATTTTTTTTCCATTGACGTTGAGAGAGAGTGGAAGGGAGAAAGAAAAAGAAACTTTGATGTGAGGGAGACACATTGATTGGCTGCCTCCTGCGCACTCTGACTGGGGCTGGGAAGGAACCTGCAACCTAGATACATATCCTTGACTGGGAAATGAACCCATGACCCTTTGAATGCTCTAACCAGTGAGCACAGCAGCCAGGTCGTGTTTAACAGTTTTGTAAATCTGAAAGTGTGCATTCAATATATTACAATGTCAACGAGCCTCTAGCAAATTCCAACATATGTCTGTAACAGAATGAGAGTGAATAAAGCAAGTAACATTAGTTTTATCTTGAAAATGTTTTCGATGCCCTGGATCCCTTGAAAGACTTTCAGACAATCTTGAGAATGGCTAGCCTAGATCAAAGGTCCCTTCTAGCTAATATTGATATTTTTATTTAATTTTTGATATTTTACTGATTGCTGTAAAGATTGTAATTTTATCAAAATACTAACAAAAAATGTAAAATGATTAATAGGTAGAAAAATGTTGAATTCATAAGAAGGGGAAGACTAGAAAAGTACATTATTTTTTATTAGCCAACTATAATAGATAACAAATCTATATGCCAACTTAAAAGTGATACCCTCTATTATAGTATTATGCATTGCAATTATTTGTGTTCATTTCTCTCTCCTACTAGCTGTGAGTTTGGAAGAAGGAATTGGATCTTGATTCATTTTGCATCTTTGGTTTCTAGGATAATGTCTAATGCACTAAATATGTGATGGATGACAGAATTTAACTGCATAGAGTTTACACCATCTATGTATACTATCACACTTTATACAAACCACAGCAAATTATTTTAGTCAACATTCAACAGCTTTTTAAAAGTTGTCATCATGAACCTATCAAGAAAAATATCATCTATGCGGTATTTTAAGGTTTTTATAATCTAATTGATTTCATGACATATCTAAAAATGCTTTGACTTCTAGTACAGATTGATATGTGATATAATTCTTTTATTTTAAATATATTTTTATTGATTTCAGAGAGGAAGGGGAGAGGGAGAGAAACATTAATGATGGGAATCATTGATTAGCTGCCTCCTGTACGCCCCCTACTGGGGTGGAGCCCACAACCTGGGCAGGTGCCCTGACTGGAATCGAACCCGGGATCCCTCAGTCCGCGGCTCCATCCACTGAGCAAAACCGGCTAGGGCATCTGATGTAATTCTTAGTGAGGGAAACCAAATGTCATGACGGCTTTGATTTGAGGTTTAAATGACCTTGGGATGGTCACCAGAGAAACAGACCTGCCTTCCACATTAAAGGTGGGCAGGCTCCCGAAGTTAATTTTACCGTCCCTCATGCAATATTCCATGTTGCATATTCTGCTAAGCATCATGCACAGATACCCCAGATCCTGAATTTGGCAGGAGTTTCAACTACAAAACAACTCCGAAGGGCGTGGGTGTTCCGCTTCTCCTCCCCAGGGATCGGGGCGGGGGGCACTCCGTGGTCCAGTCACTACAGGACTCAGCATCCTCCAGACGTCAGGCGTCTCCTTCCCAGAAGCAGACTCAACCTTAGGCCGCAAGCCCGCAGGGTGAGGCGGGCCCGGAAGGCGTGGGAGGGGAGTCAGCCGCCGGCCGCGTCAGACCCTCAATCTAGCGGGCCCACGACGAGGCCTGCCCTCGGGGCTCCCGGAGAGACCGGAAAGGGGGCCCCCGGACCTTCCGGTCCCCTCGCGTTGCAACGGGATTCGTCTCCCCCTCAATCCCCGTAGCCACGAAGCATGCCTGACCCGGTGCGCATGCGGCAGCACCTCAGCGCGGACCGTTAGCCAACACCCGGTGACCGGGAGGGAAGCGGGGCGCCACCGTAATCCCAGCGTCTCCTCACACACCCAACCAAGGCGGTGACGCACCCGGAGCCCCGCCCAGCAGCCCGAGAGGACCAATACGCACGAAGCTCCGCCCACAGCTGTTCGCGGCAGGGGCGGGGCCGTCTACCTGGCTAGATCCGATTGGTCCAGGTTCGACAGGGGGCGTGGCCTGACCCTCTCCAGCCGCGACTGGCCCCGCCCCGCCCCGCCCCTGAACCCCCGCAGGAAGCGGGGCGGGCCCGGCCTGGTGTGGCGGGAGGAGGAGGAGCTGGCTGGCGGCCGGGAGAGGAGTCCAGGAGGGCCTGGCAGCAGGGGAATGAAGCCTCCGCCTTCTCGGGCAGGAGCCTTTAAATACGGGCCCAGGCCCGGGACTTTCGTTGCAGGAAGAGGAGACCTGGCGGAGCGGCTGCAGTGCGGCCCGGAGGGAGGAGCTGTCCGAGCCGTGGGGACCGCCGGAGTGGAAGCCGCGCTCGGTGCTTGGAAGTGGGTAAGCGCCTTTCCCGGGATGGCCCGCCGCCCCGGCGGGATGCTCCGGGGCCCCGCGTGTGCAGGGAGCGGGGCTGCGGGGGGAAGGGGTGTGCACGCCGCTCCACGGTCCCTCCCAGCGCTCAGTCCCGGGCTTTCTGCCTCAAGACCCCCGCCTCCGCCTCCTTTAGGCTCTGGGCGGGAAGCGCCTTTAGGATCTGCTGCCCTAGGATGGCATTGCTTGGGCTTCTTATCCCAGACTTTTTATCGCGAGTCTTCCAGGCGCATCTCTTTCTGCTTTTACTCACTTTCTGAGTTGAAGTAAAGGAGATTTCCCCGTCCCTCCCCCGAAAGCCGATTTCCCCCCCCCCCCCCCCCCCAAGGAAGCAGCCCCCTTGTTAGGGACCCCATTTTGGTCTCAGAATCAGGCATGGTCTTTTGTTGGTGTGTGAAGTCTGCTTACCTGGGGGCTGCTGCTTTCTTCACCCCATAGGCTCTTCTTTAAGAAACTAACGAGAAAAACGAAGCCAGGAAGCCCTTTTGAGGGCGAAACCCTAACACATTCTATTGTGGCATCTTGTATGGGCTGTCCTGGAATGCATTGTTGCCGCTACACCATATACATTGTTTTATTTCATGTCAGGGGAGGCCTGTGCCGGGTGCTTTAGGAGATCATGTTTGCATAATTCCTTGATAAATTATACCTCTTAAATAGGAAGGTAATGGAGTAGTGTTGATTCTGGAATCTAGAAAAGAGGGATTCTCTGGCTGGGAGCTTTTTATGGATCTATGTACAGAGGAGGGCTGTCCATTGATTGCCCTGGAAGACACAGTGAGTCTTTGAGTTTCCTCAAATCCCCTAAGAAATAGAGAACAGTAGTCTGGTCTGTTTCTTCAGGGGGGTTCTGGAAATGAAAGAGCTTACTGTCTGCTTAGAGATGTGCTTGGTAATACCCAGCATCTAGTTAGAGGTAAGTGGTAGACAATCCTGATCAGAAGGACCACATTTTCTTTCTCTAACATAAAATCTATAACGGAGAATCTATTCCATTCAGTCTCACTATTTCCACAGCTAAAGAAACCCTTTAGATACAACATTAGCACTCTCTCACTGATTAGTATTTTTCCTGGGTCAGGCATCTGTTAGTATATAACTTTTGAAAATGACTGAAATGACTTGTGAAGTTGACATATCCAGCTACAGTTAGTCTAATGCTCTGTGCAGTGTACTGAAGAGGGGTGGAGGTGGAGGAATTATATGTAGTTTAGATTGTAGTAGGACCTTCCCTGTCTGTTAGCTACATATTCTAGGTAGAAATATTGACCTCAATTTGTAAAATTTTACAATGAAGAGTAGTTTTGGAATCACCTGGCTTGTTGTGACTTTCCCAAAATACAGAGGTAAAGAACTCATTTCAAACTGATTTATAAAGCAAACATTCCCATTTCCCTGACAGCCCCAGTAGGGAGGGTCAGAAGGTTCAAAAAAGTAGAAATAGGAAATGGAATCAGAAGACATCTGTGTAGGGGAAAGTATATCACTAACACTGTATCATGCTCTCTATTAAAGCTTATTGAAAATGTTATTGAGATTTCCAAAGATAATTTATTTGGATTTGCACAGATCACACATCCAACTTCTCCCGTCATTTTCCCATTGTCATTTACAGCCACACTTCCTATGAAATAGCAATGTAGGGATCCCAGAAACATATGTAATTCTATAATACAGGTCCACCTGCTATCAATCGTGTACTCCATCTGTTGTATGCGAGTCAAGCTGACGACAGCCTTGCAGTCAAGGTGGATAAGAAATAACTGGGAAGACATACTGAAGTTCTGTCTAAAGAGGAGAAGGTGATAGGTTTCTGGGCAGTCTCTGCAAAAATACTCTGATCAGCCGAGACCGGTTTGGCTCAATGGAAAGAGCGTCGGCTTGGGGACTGAAGGGTCCCGGGTTCGATTCCGGTCAAGGGCATGTACCTTGGTTGCGGGCATATCTGTACAAAATTCTCTGTACAAAATCAATAAAATATATTTTTTAAAAAATACTCTGATCAGCCATCTGAGCCAAAGATATTAAAATAATAGTCTTCATTTATAAAGGTAGACCCTCATGGAGAGTTATTCATTCAACTAATATGTATTGAGAGTCGAGACCAGTTTGGCTCAATGGATAGAGCGTCAGCTTGGGAACTGAAGGGTCCCGGGTTCGATTCTGGTCAAGGGCATGTACCTTGGTTGCGGGCATATCCCCAGTGGGGGGTGTGCAAGAGGCAGCTGATCGATGACTCTCTCTCATCGATGTTTCTAACTCTCTATCTCTCTTACTTCCTCTCTGTACAAAATCAATAAAATATATTTTTTAAAAATTAAAAAAAAAAATGTATTGAGAGCCTCCTGTTCTAGGTATCAAGGCGAACAGCAACAGCTAAGAACTGGGAGAACCTTATTAAACTATGAACTTCTTGAGTTCAAGTTGCCTCATGTACACATTCAATCCATGTTTTTCTTTTTATTATTATTATTTGCTTTTATTAGCATTTATTTTATGCTGACTTTACTCTCCGGGCATAAGTTTTTGTTTCTTCTGGTTTTCTTTTTCTCCTGTGCGACCCCCTCTTCTCGTTTAGGACAGTCAGCTCTTTTTCAGTCCGAGCCTCTCCATGTGGCAGGGAGCGCTCCTGTGTGGCTTAATCTGCCCAGGAGATCTGTGAGTTCTTATGCTGCATTGCTCACCGGGATGTGCTCAGTGACCTGAGACTCTACATCCAAACCCTCAAGTTCAGCATTATTCTGCATTTTTAAGCATGTTCAGCCAGCACCTGTTTTGCTTGAGATTGAGGGCATAGGTTCTCCTATTAACCTCTCAGCTGTGGGATTAAGTGGTAACCCAAAGACATTCTCTGGTCCAAAAATACTTTGAGATGACACTTTTTACATATTCTAGATTTATTGGTTTTACTTAGAGAGGTTGGCTAGCTGTCCAGTAAGGGTGCTACAGTGTAAGTTTTTCAGGTTCATTACACTTCAGGACTTGATCTTCAGCCTTACATATCTGGAAGGTAGTTCCATCCCCCCTCCTCCATGAACCCAAAGTTACTGAGGCTTTAAATGTTAACTTATGATGATTAAGCTCATAAGGGACTGATGAATACACTAGAATGGGACTTTGCGATTTCAGTAGAGAAATTTTACTTCAGTGCCTGGAATACTTGTGTCTCAAATCCAGTCCATCACTTTCTAGTATTATGGTTCCTAGAAATCTGAATTCATAAGGCAGCATGGAATCAGAACAAAGAATTTTGGGGAATATGCCATCCAAGCATTGGGAAAGCCTGTTTTTGCCCTATTCTCTGAAATCAGAATACTTCTGACTTCCACATTCTGTGTACTCTTCTGTAGACAGGACTGAAATAAACAATGTCATTCTTGTTCTTAACTCCCTCTTTCCAGGCTGATCGTTCCCTTTGTTTCCCCGGGCCCCTGCCCTTTTTTTTTTTTTTTTTTTTTTTTTCCCCCCCAGTGGAGTTATTAGATTTTAGCTATATTAATGCCGTTGATTCTTAGGTCACTTTCAGCATTTTACCTTAAGTTATTAAATTGTAGTCTCATCAATTGTTATGGCCATTCTTTCCTGAAAGAGGCATTCAAGACTCTTTCAATTCATTTTCATTCTAGGATCACTTCTCTCTCTCTCTCTCTCTCTCTCTCTCTCTCTATATATATATATATATATATATATATATATATATATATATATATATTTCAGAAAGGAAGATAGAGGGAGAGATCAAAACATCAATGAAAGAGAATCATTGATCGGCAGCCTCTTGCATGTCCCCCACTGGGGATCAAGCCTGCAACCCAGGCATGTGCCCTTGACCGGAATCGAACCCAGTCCGCAGGCCAATGCTCTGTCCATTGAGCTAAACCAGCTAGGGCTATTCACTACTTCTTTTAAAAAATATATACTTTATTGATTTTTTACAGAGAGGAAGGGAGAGGGATAGAGAGTTAAAACCATCGATGGGAAAAAAACATTGATCAGCTGCCTCCTGCAACACTTCCTGCTGGGGATGTGCCCGCAGCCAAGGTACATGCCCTTGATTGGAACCGAACCCGGGACCTTTCAGTCTGCAGGCTGACACTCTATCCACTGAGCCAAATCGGTTAGGGCAAGAATATAATTTTTAAAATTTAATTGATTTCAGAGAGGAAGAGGGAGAGGACTAGAAATATCGATGATGATAGAGAATTATTGATAGGTTGCCTCCTGCACAACCCACACTGGGGATCAGCCCACAACCTGGGTATGTGCCCTGCCTGGGAATTGAACCATGACTTCCTGGCTCATAGATCGATGCTCAACCACTGAGCCATACCAGCTGGGCAAGAATACCATATTTTTATGGCTTCATATGATAAACTGTCAACCCACTTAATTAGATTATTAAGGAGAGAATACCGGATTTAGCATGACTTTGGTAAGTACATACACACAATGAAATATGGTATAACTTTTTTTTTTAAAGTAAGAGAAAAGAGAGAAAATGCATAGGATTTCAGAATGCATTAAGTGGAAAATAAAACAAATGTTGATAGTGTATATAGTATTCTATCATTTGAATTTAGGAAGAAAAAATTATTAGAATTTGCTATATATTTACTTGTATTTACTGGGAAGATACATAAAATCTAATAAAGGAGTTGCTTGTGGGAACAAAGTAGTAGGGATGGGTTAGGCAGGAGACTTCTTAGAGTATATATCTTTTTATATGGATTTAATTTTTGAACCATATGAATGCATTACCTCTTCAAAACAAAAAACAAATTTCTTTGTGTGTATTTCATTAAGAGTATTGCTTTCTGCTCACCCTATTGAATAAAGAGGGAAAATGCTAATTGCCCCTCCCGCTGGTGCAAAGATGGCAGTGCCCACAGCCAATAAGGAGGGAATATGCTAATTGACTGTCATGCCCTCAAAGATGGCAGCACCCAGTCCCTTCAGCCCCACCAGGACACCTGTCTCCAGAGTTCCTCAGTCCCCTCAGCCCCCAGCCGCACAGGACCAGCCCAAGGCACAGGCAAGCCTTGATGGTGGCTGTGTAGCTGCCCAGGTCCAGCTGAGGCTCAGGTAACCAGGTCCAGCTGAGGCTTGCACTGCTGGCACTGAGGTGTGATGGGGCGTCACCTTCCCCTGATTGCTGGGTTGCCTCTTGCCCCGAGGGTTCCCAGTCTGTGAGAGGGGGCAGGCTGGGCTGAGGGATTCCCCCCCCCCCCATCAGTGCATGAATTTTCCTGCAGGAGGTTTCTAGTATTTATTGTTTTACTAAAACTTTGTTTCTTTATACAGTTTTAAAAAGTCATTAGAGATTAGACTCTATGAGTTGATATCTGCTATTTATGACTACTAAAGATCATTTTTATTTATTTTTATTTTTATTATTATATATTTTATTGATTTTACACAGAAAGGAATTGAGAGGGACAGAGAGTTAGAAACGTCGATGAGAGAAAAACATCGACCAGCTGCCTCTTGCACACCCCCTACCGGGGATGTGCCCGCAACCAAGGTACATGCCCTTGGCCGGAATCGAACCCGGGACCTTTCAGTCCGCAGGCCGACGCTCTATCCACTGAGCCAAACCGGTCCCGGCCTAAAGATCAATTTCTAAGCCAGGGTTAATTGTTAATAATACAGACCAGGATACTTTTATGGTTTGGTCAGCTCATTCGTTTCCAGTAGGAAATCTACCCAGAGAACCAGTGAAAATTAGGTTATGCTTGCCCGGCATGGTAAGTGGATCAGCCTTCTCTGACCCATGTAGGAATATACAAAAAGTGACTGAACTCTCTGATTACCATTTTTCTTTTCTTTGGAATCCATGAATTAGATGTCCGAGGTCTTGACAAGGAGTGAAATTCCAAGGATTTGATCAGTTTGACAGTTTTTGTTCTCACTATAATGAATAAACTGACATTCTTATGTATAAGTTTGTCCTTCGTAATTTTGATTAGTGTAAATCAATTTAACTAATGGTTTGTGAAAATCTGCCAAGCCCTTGCCGGTGTGATTCAGTGGTTAAGAGCGTCAGCCTGTGCACAGAGGGTTGTTGGTTCAATTCCCGGTGCTCAAGGGCAGATTTGATCTTTGGCCCATTGGGGCATATGTGGGAGGCAACAAATCGATATGTCTCTCACATCGATGTTTCTCTCCCTTTCTCTTTCTCTCTCTGTCCCTCCCTCCCTTCTACTCTCTCTAAAAAGCAATGGAAAAAATATCCTCTGCTGAGGATTAAAAAAAAAAAAAAAATCTGTGTTACAGCTTTGGTTACTACAGAAATTTCTTTCTTTTAACTATATCATAGTTTCTGATTAAATTTGAAATTGAGTTTAAGATCTCTGTCAGATACCTAAAAGTAATCTGCTGAAGCCAGATTGGGTAGAGTATAATCTCAGAGGCTGATTCTGGACTACAGAACTAATCTTACTATCGCTGTGTTTGTCTAAGCCGGTCTCAAGGCTGACCTTTGTATACCAGCATTTATTTAAGCAGGAATTGCACTTGTATTTCACCCTTGAACTTTACCTCCACAATCAAAGTTGTTCTGGTGTGTTAAGAGTCCTAAGTAAGGTTTAATTTTGCTTCTTGACTTTCTAAATATTTGGTCATTATAATCTTTGTGGCTCTTCTCCAGGAATACCAGTTATTGTAATTTTTTCCTTACGTTTCATACTAGTGCAGCTGAGAACAGGTTTGGTCATCCAATTGGAATGTTATTTTTTATACTATTTTCATCATTCTTAATGAGTGTGAATGTAGGAAATCTTTCCAGATATGGCACCTTGACAGTTTTTATTTTGTGATGAATATGCAAGGTGACTTTAAAATATATTTTATTGATTTTTTACAGAGAGGAAGAGAGAGGGATAGAGTTAGAAATGTCGATGAAAGAGAATCATCAATCAGCTGCCTCTTGCACACCTCCTATTGGGGATGTGCCCACAAGTAAGATACATGCCCTTGACTGGAATCGAACCCGGGAACTTTCAGTTCGTAGGCCGACGGTCTATCCACTGAGCCAAACCAGTTTCGGCTGCAAGGTGACTTTAAATTTTCTGTCTTCACTAGTATAACAGGCCTACTGTGTCTCTTCCAGCGCAGTCATGTTTGAAATTAAGAAGATCTGTTGCATCGGTGCTGGCTACGTCGGAGGACCCACATGCAGTGTCATAGCTCAGATGTGCCCTGAGATCAGGGTGACGGTTGTTGACGTCAATGAATCAAGAATCAATGCATGGAACTCCCCTACGCTCCCTATTTATGAGGTAAACCATATTGTACAACTCTTTGATGTTCTCTGTTTTCTTACTGGTTTTGTGAAATAACTTACTATTGATGTAAAAAATCTACGATCAAAACTGATGGAAATTAAGTGAAAAAAATCTAGATATATAGTGTTGTGGGCATTATAATTACAGTTATGTCAAGTATGACCAGGAAAATGACTGGAAAGAAGTAAATTAGAATATTAATAATGGTTGTATTAGTGCAGTGAGTTTCTTTTTCTCTACTTTTTAATTTTACTATGGCTACCATAACATAATAGTAAAATTTAAAAAATGGTATTCAGTAAAAATAAAACTATGGCTGTTTATAATATTCATATAAGTTTGTTATAGTTCTTGGATTATTGTACTTAGATCAGGTAAACCTTGGATTGGTAAATGGTGCCTTTCATATTTAGTGTTTAGTATCACAAGTTTGTTTAATTGGAACTTCAAAACTTCTGAATTTAGAGAATTTATAGTTAAGAAAACATGCTTTTAACTATTCTGTGAAGGTCTCTGCATCCTTTTTAAAAAGTTATTTCATTGTAATTGAATTCATGATATGATTTTGAAGCTCAACAGGGAAGCATTGGAAAATTTGATGGTAGCATTTTCTATTCAGTATTTTTCTATATAAATTCAGGGGGGCGGGGGAGAGAATAAAGAAAAAATGGCAATAAATATGTACCTATCAATAGCCACTTAAATGTCAATGTCTTAAATGCTCCAATCAAAAGACATAGGGTAGTTAAATGGATAAGAAAACAAGACCCATATATAATACTGTCTGTAAGAGACCCACCTCAGAACTCAAGACATACACAGACTGAAAGCAAAGGGCTGGAAAAAGATATATGTATTATTTCTTTATTTTACTTTGTTTTGTTTTGTTTTGTTTTGTTTTGTTTTGTTTTGTTTTTGTGGGCGCCAGGACCAATGATCACCAGCTGCCCAAGAACCAAAAAACTGTTTCTGAAATCTCTTTATGTCTATTCCGCACGTAGAGCAATCAAGCTGCTCTACATGTGCCACTCACCGCAGAAGCCCTTTCTTTTCTTTCTTGATTTTAGAGAGAGGTAGGGAGAGAGAGAGAGAGAGAGAGGAAAGAGAGAAGGAAACATCGATGTGTTTTTCTACTAATTCATGCACTCATTGGTTGCTTCTTGAATGTGCCCTGACCAGGAACTGGGATGGGACCTGCATCCTTGGCCTATCGGGATGATACTGTAACCAACTGAGCTAGCTAGCGAGGGCAGAGCAAGATATTTCATGCAAACGAACAATACTTATATCAGACAAAATGGACTTTATAACAAAGACTATAATAAGAGACAAAGAAAGACATTACATAATGATAAAGGGATTAATCGAGCAAGAGGATATAGCCGTTGTGAACATTTATATCCCCTGGCCGAAACCGGTTTGGCTCAATGGATAGAGCTTGGGGACTGAAAGGTCCCGGGTTTGATTCCAGTCAAGGGCATGTACCTGGGTTGCGGGCATATCCCCAGTAGGGGGTGTGCAAGAGGCAGCTGATCGATGACTCTCTCTCATCGATGTTTCTAACTCTGTATCTCTCTCCCTTCCTCTCTGTACAAAATCAAAATATATTTAAATAAATAAATAAATAAAATTAAAAACAAACAAACAACACATTTATGTCCCCAACATAGAAGCACCTAACTATGTAAAGCAAATCATGATGGTATGTGTAGGAGGAAATGCCATAGAGAAACAATGAAGAATTTCAGAGAACGTAAACCAAATACCAGAAGAGTCTTAATAGTGCAAACCTATACAGATGTATGCCTTGGTTATGAGTGACAAACACAGTGAGGAGCACACAGTAAGTGTCCAATAAATGTTTGCTGGATCAATAGATAAGCTGTCAACTATCACAAATACAGGAGAAATAAGGGCTGAGACATATTCATTAAATTTTGTATAATGAAGGGGATTATAACTTTTGCAAGAATAATTACCAACGATAGGAGCTTGAGGGTAAAAGAGTGTAGAAAAAAAGTAAGACTCTTAAGTTTAATTTAGAAGAGGGGATGGTCTCTGAGGAGAGGCACAGGGTAAATGCAATGATTTTATTTATATTTGATGATCGAGCACATTAATTAAAGTAGACAAATCACATAGAGAAGGAATCGTTAAAGTGTAAGAAGAAAGGGCTAATTGATGGAATGATGTAGAAAGAGCTGAAGGATGAGATCAAAAGCACAAATGGAGGGAGTGGCCTTGAAAACTTCTTGGAGACTGAAGGAAGCAAACAAGGATGAGAAACATATAGACAGTCTTGTTGGTGGGACATGAAATAAAGATGACTGACATTGGTAATCTTTCTTGCCTGGAATTGAGAGGGAAAATAGTCTGAAGAAGATAAAAGGGGTAGCGTTGGGTCAGGGATTGTGAATAGGAAAGGTTCAGAGAAGGACAGATGCTTCTAATTTTATGAACGGAGTTACATCAGGATAAACCCTTTGTAAGTTAGAACTATTGTGAGTCAAAAATGCATTTAATATACCTAGTCTACTGAACATCATAACTTAGCAAAGCCCATTTTAAACCTGCTCAGAACAGTTACAGCTGGACCTTTATCTTGAGTTCTATCTCAAGAGCAATTGCCTTTCTTTTCTCGCCAGAAACAGTAAACACAGATGTTTTGTAGACTTGATGGGATGTAAAGCATAATATCCAAAAAACACTGGCAACTCATTACACTGCGGAGTATCTCCCATGATCCTTGCTGCTGTACAGACATCAACATTCCCTGGGAAGACATCAAAATTTGAATTACAGTTCCTACTGAATGCATATCGCTTTCACATCATTGTTAAGTCAAAAAATTGTGAGGTGAAGTCCTGGCCAGGTAGTTCTGTTGGTTAGAGTATTGAATGGATAAGCCACGGTTGCGTGTTTAAACCCTGGTCAGGGCACATAAAAAATCAACAATGAATGCATAAATAAGTGGAACAACAAATCAGTGTTTCTTTCTCTTTCTCATTCTCTCTGAAAAAAAGAAAAAAAGATTTATCAGGCCACAATGAAACCCAACTAAATATACTTAAGGCCTAGGAGTTTATGTTTACTGTGGTTCTTTCTAATCTTCTAGGCTTATATTTTATGGGTCAAAACTATATTAATAAAAAAGTAGCCATTTTGTATTCTGTGAGAAAGAAATGTAATGATTTATAATGTAAAATGTGGTAATAGGTTACTTAAGTTTAATGTAGTAATAAGTTGCTTAAGTTTTTACTCAGAAAATAATGTGGTACTGTTAATATTTAACAATTAAAACATTTTGTTTTGTGTTACCATATTTTATTGCATAGTCTGCCTTTTTTGTTAACATTGTTCATTAAAATAATTTAATAACTACTTTCTAAATTTATATTTTAGTGATTCCTTAATTTGACAAAGATAATAACTACTTTTAATTTTATTTTTATTGATTTCAGAGAGAAAGGGAGGAGAGAGAGAGAAATATCATTGATGAAAGAATCATTGATCAGCTGCCTCCTGCACACCCCCTACTGGGGATGGAGCCCGAAACCCAGGCATGTGCCCTTGACTGTGATCGAACCCAGAACCCTTCAGTCTGCAGGCCAATGCTCTGTCCACTGAGCCAAACCAGCTAAGGCATTAATAACTACTTTTAAAAAAAATGAATAATTTGCTTTTCTTTTTCTGAGTAAAATTAAAGATAATTTTACCTTATGAAAAGATTTGAGGTTTTTTTTCATAAAAAGTATTATATAAATTCTAATTACTAATTGTGATAGTTACATAATGACTCTAATAAGAGGTAGAATCTATATTATTAATTGCTTCTGCATCATTTCTGAAGATCTACAAATATCCCATTGGTTTTAGCAGAGTAATGTAGTTGTTAATTTTGAGATTTTATTGAAACTTAGTATAAATTCTGCATTGCCCTAGCTGGTTTGGCTTAGTGGGTAGAACAGAATCTTCAGTAGACTGTAGGGTCTCAGGTTCGACTCTGGTCCAGGACACATACCTCGGTTGCTTACTCAATCCCCGGCCCCGGTTGGGAGGCAACCAATCGATGTGTCGTCTCTCTCACATCCATGCTTCTCTCTCTCTGTCTCTCCCGCTTCCTTCCATTCTGTCTAAAAGATCAATGTAAAAATATCCTTCGGTGAGGATTAACAAATAAACAAACAAAAAGCCCTGGCCTGTATGGCTCAATTGGTTGAGCATCATCCTATTCACTGAAAAGTCGCTGACTTGATTCCCGGTCAGGGCTCATACCCAGTTGCAGGTTCAGTCCTTAGTCCAGGTGTGCACTAGAGACAACCGATCCATGTGTCTCCCTCACTTCTCTCTCTTTTTCCCCCTCTCCCCGCTTCCTCCCTGTGTGCACGTTCTGCCTTCCTCTCTCAATAAAGTCAATTTTTTAAAAAAGTATTCTGCATTGCCCTAATTTAGGTTAATTTAAATACAGTATTAGGCCGAAACCGGTTTGGCTCAGTGGTAGATTGTCGATCTGTGGACTGAAAGGTCCCAGGTTTGATTCCGGTCAAGGGCATGTACATTGGTTGCCAGCACATCCCCAGTGGGGGGTGTGCAGGAGGCAGCTGGTCGATGATGTTTCTCTTTCATCGACGTTTCTAGCTCTCTATCTCTCTCCCTTCCTTTCTGTAAAAAAATCAATAAAATATATTTTAAAATAAATAAATAAATACATACATACATACATACATACATACATACATACATACAGTATTAGGAGAGTATACATAGGACTGAATTAAATCCCTCTGCAAAATCCCATAACCTTTTAGTCTGATTTTCCAGAATCTAGTCAGAATCACCAAGGAAACGTTATTATGATTGATGTCACCATATTCATGGTTGTAGTGGTTCATGTATTTTGTTGGTTCTAGTATGTATTTTAGTCAAACTAATGGAAATTGAATTTACATTTAATACTTCCTCTAATTGCTTATGTTCAAAAGCCTCCGAACCATGAAGAAAAGTAAATTGCTTCTGGATATAACTCTAAACCTGAAGCCCGAAGGGGCTTTTTACTTTGCTATATACACAGGTAGTTTATAAACATCATAATACTGTGGGCATTGTTTGAACCTCTCTCCCAAGAAAAGTAAACTTGGGTGATTTAGGTCTGTTTCTTCCCCCCCCCCCCCCCTTTTTTTTATTATAGAAAATTTCAAATGTACTAAAAGCAGAGAGAATAGGGTAATGAATCCCCATATGCCCATCACCCTGTTTCAACGATTTATCAACATGGCCCAGTCCCTCATCCCATATACCACCAGCCTGATTATTTATAACTTAATGTATACTTATTTCATTAAGTATCTCTAAAATAATTGTTATTTAAATGTAAGCACATCACCGTTATTACTGATTAAATTTTAAACAATTTCTTAATATCAAGAATTCTTACACATGTTCTTCCTCCCATAGTTTATTTGAATCAGGGTGCAAGTAAGATCCGGACATCCCAACAGACTCATGTCACTTCAGTGTCTTTCAAGACCACAATATTTTAATCTCTTTCTCTCTTGGTTTTTCTCTTTAGTTTATTTGTTGAAGAAACCAAGTTGTTTATCCTATAGAAATTTTCAGTCTGGATTTGGCTTATTGGACTCGTCTGATTAGACTTAGTTCTGTTTTTGTTTTGTTTTTTGTTTTTTTGTGGGGGGGGCGGGAAGGAATACTTGTTAGGTGGTGCAGCACAGCTTAATATTCTTAACATTACTCTGTGTCCTGTTAAACTATGAGAAAAGTAACGATTTTCATTAGAAGTATTTCTTATAGTATAACTTAGAAAAAATATATTCATGTCTGTGTAAATAGTGACTGTTTCACAACCAGTTGTATGGCCTAAATTCTTGGGGGTAAAAACCTATATTGTATTCATAATGATAATGTGAAATCAAATGTTTGCTTGAAATTACAGAAGACATTGAATTTCCTGATAATTGTGTTGATACTCAGAGTTAAATATTAACTCTTATGAAATAATCAGGTACATGGTAAACAATGACACTGCATTAAAATAAGCTGCTGCTTTATTTTTTAAAATTTATTAATTTTTATTTGATAAAGCTTTCCACATGATTCAATTACATTAAATTGGCTAAATTCAAAAATATTTCTTTTATGAGAACAAACTTTTGAAAGCATTTCAGGCTATGGATGAGGACAATGTTGGGGGGGAGGGTAAGGACAGAGGGTGGGGTGGGAACCGGGTGGAAGGGAGCTATGGGGGGGGAAGGAGAAACAATTGTAATAATCTGAGCAAAAAAGATTTATTAAATTAGAAAAAAAAAAGAAAAGAAAAAGAAAACATTTCAGGGTCTGTGAACTGTCCCAAAGTTATCCTCGGTTAAAGTCTTGAAATTTAACTTGGAAAGACCATCAAACATATAAATATAAATACTTTTTTATATATACACACTTTTATATTATATGCTTTTTTATTTATTTATTTTAATTTTTAAAATTTATTTATTGATTAAGGTATTACATATTTGTCCTCAATCCCCCATTCCAATTAAGCTGCTGCTTTAATTGTGGGAGGTTTAATTTGCTTTATTGAATAATGTTAAATAATGTATACTTTATGACCTTTAATATATGATCTTTGATATTTGTACACAGGTGTTATTTGAGAGTGAGTCTAGACCTTTAACTTACAATATAAACTTCTCCTTTTAAAAAAAAAAATATATATATATATTTCTTTATTGATTTCAGAGAGGAAGGGAGGAGAGAAAGATAGAAATATCAGTGATGAGAGAGAATTGTTGATTGGCTGCCTACTTCACGTTCCCTACTGGGATCGAGCCCACAACCCAGGCATGTGCCCTTGGACAGAATCGAACCTGGGACTCATCAGTCTGCAGCCTGACACTCTGTCCACTGAGCCAAGCCAGCAAATACAACTTCTGTTTCTTTAACACATGTAACTCTATACTCTTAGGTTATCTCATGTAACTGGTAAATAGTATGTTCAGTTTTGTTTTGTTTTTTTAGCCAGGACTAAAAGAAGTGGTAGAAGCCTGTCGAGGGAAAAATCTATTTTTTTCTACCAATATTGATGATGCCATTAAAGAAGCCGATCTTGTATTTATTTCTGTAAGTATTTTCCTTTGCTGTGTGTGTTTTAATGTATTCTTGACTATACACAAGTTTCATCTTACTTTAATAGTAAATGCATGGTGGTAAGCCACAGCATTGCTTAGGATGGCATTAGCCAGTTGAATTTTGGTTGTCACTGAAATTGTCTAACTCCTTGCCAAATCCATAATCATTTGGTCAAATACATCATTAGATCATTGAACAAATAAATTCAGAGAAAGTTCTAGCCTGAGATCTAGAATTAGGAAGCGCTGGTAATGTGTGAGCACATATGGTTTTTTATTTCATCATTTTCCCCCTTCTGGTTGGTGGAGTTGAGGTAAAGAGAATCAGATAACGATTGCTTGCAAACTTATAGGCATCTCCTAACTGGATGAATTAATTATGTTCCAAAACTCATTTTAAATTCATTTGGAACTTGGCAACTGTTGGTTAGATTGCCAGGCTAGCCTACAGACACCTTCAACTCATAGTATGGCTACACTGTTGCACCTTTGCAATTAAAAAAAAAATAATAGATTCACTGCTTGAGAGTAAACTCTGGTAATCCAGTATTTGAACCAAGGTAACTTATTTCTTGCAGTCCTGGTAACCATCTACTCATATTCTGTGTGTGCGGGTATAGTGATGCCAATTGGTGTCTGAGTTAGGAAGTTATATGACTCAAGACCATTAGGGCCTTACAAATGAAAAGGGAAGCCAGTGGCATAAGTTTTGACTGGGTCCCCTGAGATAAAGGGAAGAAATGTCATGAGGTCCATCTACCCTCTATGCATATTGTTAATGACTGTAAGTTAAAGAAGGGCTGTTTTCTGAGTGTTTTTTTAGTGAGACAAAAGCAGCACTAAAGATATGAGAACTCCAGGAAAAAGTGGTAATGAAGCCAATCTTTCTCCCTTTTTGGCCTTTTTAAATTTCTTCGGAGAACTTGCTGCATCTTCTATGACTCACCTACTTGTCTGCTACTGAAGCTTGCAGAAGGGAAGCCATCTGATCATCTCCCATCTCAGGAATGTTTTGCCTTATTCCATTAGCCAGCCATCATTTCCCTTCTTTACTCCATTGCACCGTGGCTTCATGACTAATTTTTTTCCTAAGTTCCATACATATAAACAACTTTTTCTTCCTGTTTTTCACTCCTCAACTCAGTCCTCAAATTTTTATTTATTTTGGCTTGATTTCTTTAGTCACCCATTAGGTTATAAGCTTGTCAAGAGATGAAAATTGGCGCTTCTTTCTACTGGGTCAAAGATTATTCCTGTATAGAATTTTATAATTTTTAGTGTACTTCCATTTTTCTTCTTGTACTTCCATTTTTATCAGAGTATTATAAAACTTGAGTGTTAGATTTATAGAGTGTTATCCTGATGAGGTCATTGAGGCAAAGATAGCCATATATCCCCAAGGTTACAGTATATAATTGAGCTAAGCCAAAACTAAATGTCTAGACTCTGGGCTCAGGATTTATTTTTCTTTCTGTTTGATAGTATTTGTCTACGTAGTATTGTGTATACTGAAAATATTAAATGAAGATGGTACACAGCCTATCTTGAAATCGCTGAGTATCTCACAGATAATCTGGTCTTAAATAATTCTTAGCTTTAATGAACCAAGAAGGTATTTGTGAATGATACAGTTTTAAAAGCTATTGATATTGATCTATAAAGGATAGTAAGAAAGGAATTTAAAGACCATCCTATATAATAAAGAGGCAATACACAAATTGACCATCACACCCTCACAAGATGGCTGCATATGACCAGGCCTGCAGGGAGGTTAGTGAGGGACAATCAAACAACTGAACAGCAGGCTGTGTGGGGCAACTAGGCTTGTGGGGGGAGGGGAGACGTGAGGGGCGACCAGGTTGGCAGGAGGACAGTTGGGGGTGACTAGGCCAGCGGAGGGGGAGGGTGGTTGGGGGCCACCAGGCCGGTGGCGGGGGGCAGTAAGAGGCAACCAGGCTGGTGGGGGGCGGGCCGTAGGGGCGACCAGGCTATCAGGGGGGCAGTTGGGAGTAATTAGGCTGGCAAGGGGGGCAGTGAGGGGTGACTAGGCCAGTGGGAGGGACAGTTGGGGGCGACCAGGCTGGTATGGGGGGACAGTTAGGGGCGACAAGGCAGGCAGGTGAGCGATTAGGAGCCAGTAGTCCAGGATTGTAGGAGGGATGTCCAACTGCCAGTTTAGGCCTGATCCTCGGTATTGGGCCTAAACTGGCAGTTGGACATCCCCTGAGGGGTCCCAGATTGGAGAAGGTGCAGGCTGGGCTGAAGGGGATGACACTCCCCCTCGCTACCCTCCCGCCCCGTGCATGAATTTCGTGCACCGGGCGTCTAGTGATAATATATAACATACAATGATACAATGAAGAGAGGAAATAAGAGAAAATTTACATTTCATTTCAGATTTTGAAGTCCTTTAGGTAAGAACTATTTCATTCATCTTTATAGCTCTAGCACTACTTTTTAGTTTGGAACTTGCCTGCCTTGGTGTCTGACACATGTATGGTAATTCTCAACAAAAATTTATTGAGCTGAAGCCAGTTTGGCTCAGTGGTAGAGCGTCGGTCTGCGGACTGAAAAGTCCCAGCTTTGATTCCGGTCAAGGGCATGTACATTGGCTGCGGACACATCCCCAGTAGGGGGTGTGCAAGAGGCAGCTGGTTGATGTTTCTCTCTCATCGTCGTTCCTAGCTCTCTATCTCTCTCCCTTCCTCTCTGTAAAAAATCAATAAAATATATTTTTTTAAAAGTTTATTGAATTAATTCTCCAGAAGCTTCAAGCTATTCTTTCTGGTGATTATATTTATAAAATGTATTGTTTTTGAGGAGCAAATGAGGGTTGAAGTCAGGGCTACTAGTGACAGTTAACTTCCCACTTGACTAGCTAATTGATGGTACACAGCCTATCTTGAAATCGCTGAGTATCTCACAGATAACCTGTTCTTAATCCCGGTTACTTTCACCAGGTGAACACTCCGACAAAAACCTTCGGAATGGGGAAGGGCCGTGCAGCAGATCTGAAGTACATTGAAGCCTGTGCTAGACGCATTGTACAAAACTCACACGGGTACAAAATTGTGACCGAGAAAAGCACGGTTCCTGTGAGGGCAGCAGAAAGTATTCGTCAAATATTTGATGCAAACACAAAACCCAACCTGAACCTACAGGTATTAAAAAAAAAAAAAAAAAAAAAAAAGGAAGCATTAGAATCTGGTTCTTATGTAAATATTGATGTCTTACATTTGTTCACAGTTAGCCGAAACCGGTTTGGCTCAGTGGATAGAGCATCAGCCTATCCACTGAAAGGTCGCAGGTTCGATTCCGGTCAGGGGCATGTACCTTGGTTGCGGGCACCATCCCCAGTGGGGGGTGTGCAAGAGCCAGCTGATCGATGATTCTCTCTCATCGATGTTTCTAACTCTCTATCCCTCTCTCTTCCTCTCTGTAAAATATCAATAAAATATATATTTTTTAAAAAATTTGTTCACAGTTCATTCTAGCTTAAACTTTCTTTGCATTGGGATTCTAGGTTCTGTCCAACCCTGAGTTCTTGGCAGAAGGCACGGCCATCAAGGACCTGAAGAACCCAGACCGAGTACTGATCGGAGGGGATGAAACCCCTGAGGGCCAGAGGGCCGTGCAGGCGCTGTGCGCTGTGTATCAGCACTGGGTTCCGAAAGAACGGATCCTCACCACTAACACTTGGTCTTCAGAACTTTCCAAACTGGTTGGTACCTAGCATTCAACTCTCCATTCATTTAAGGCCAAGGATTTATTTTTCTTATAAACTGTTAGGTTACACAGCTACTTTCTTAATATTAACAAAAGGTACCCTTTTGAAGATAATATTCTTATACAATAAGAAATAATTTTCACAAGGGGGATTATATATTCCCCCTTATATAAAATATTCTGGAAAATTCTATAATTTTAATAAAATTTAAGAAAATGGAGGGTAGAATATAAGTATTTTATTTTATTTTTAAAACACTATTTTTTAAAGTCATTCCCTTCTTTTACCCTCTTTCAGAATCATCTTTTTTCTAATTAAAACATTTCCTCTTACCAACCTATTACCTCCTCAAATCGAGCATATCAGTAATTTATATCTCCCTCAGTAATTTGCATCAACACAATGAAATATAATTCAGATGTATAAAATTGCTATTTTAGCTTATCATAGTTTTCCTTTTTTTTTTATTTTTTTAAGGCAGCAAATGCTTTTCTTGCCCAGAGAATCAGCAGCATTAACTCTATAAGTGCCCTTTGCGAAGCAACAGGAGCTGACGTAGAAGAGGTGGCGACAGCCATTGGGATGGACCAGAGAATCGGAAATAAGTTTCTGAAAGCCAGTGTTGGTAAGCTGACAATTTCAGTCCAAAAAGTGGGTTCATTTAGTTGGGTCTGTAAATTTAAGGAAGTCTGCCCAGCTGGCGTGGCTCAGTGGTTGAGTGTTGACCTATGAACCAGGAGGTCACGGTTCGATTCCCAGTCAGGGAACATGCCTGGGTTGCGGGAGGCAACTGATCGAGGAGTCTCATCATTGGTGTTTCTCTCCCTCTCCCTCTTTGAAATCAGTAAAAATCTATTTTAAAAAAATAATTAAATAAATTTAAGGAAGTCTTTGTTTAACTTAATACCCTTAAAATAATCATCCCATTATACATTAAGCCTTCAGCCTTATTTTTCAGAACTTATTATTTTTTTTAATAATATACTAAAGGCCCAGTGCACGAAATTCGTGCACTCGGGGGCAGGGTCCCTCAGCCTGGCCTGCACCCTCTCACAGTCTGGGAGCTTGTAGGGGATGTCGGACTGATGGCCAAGGGAGCGGTCCTAAGCCATCAGTTGGACATCCTTAGTGCTTCCAGCCATGAGTGTTGAGCACCTGCCCCCTGGTGGTCAGTGCATTTCATAGCAATTGGTCGTTTTGCCATTTGGTTGATTTGCATATTAGCCTTTTATTATATAGGTGCACAGATTCATGCACCAATGGGGTTCCTTGGTTTGGCCTGCACCCTCTCACAATCCAAGATCCCTCGGGGGATATTGGATTGCTAGCTTAAACCAATCCCTGCAGGCCAAGTTGAGGGATCCCACCAGTGCCCAAATCTGTGCACCAAGCCTCTAAAATGAATATAAGATTTTCGGTTAATCTTTTCCCACCCACCACCCCCCCCTTCCCTCTGAGATTCATCAGTCTGTTTCATGTTTCCATGCTTGTATGTTAAGCATCTGTCCCCTGGTGGTTAGTGCATATCATAGCTACCGGTCAAACAGTTGAATGGTCAAAGAGTTGCTTTGGCTTTCATATATATAGACTTATATTGATTTCAGAAAGGGAGAGGGAGAGATAGAAACATTGATGATGAGAAAGAATATTGATTAGCTGCCTGCTGCACACCCCTTACTGGAGATCAAGCCCACAACCCAAGCATGTGTCCTTGACCGGAATCAAACCCGGGACCCTTCAGTCTGCAGGGCGACATTATCCATAATCAAACCCGGGATTCTTCAGTCTGTAGGCCAACACTATCCATTGATCTAAACCAGCCAGGGCTATGAGGGAATTTTTAAGTGAGGTAAGAGTTACTTATGTTGTTTAATAATTATTGACTGATTAGTGGGATAAACATACTTCAATGTTTTAGAAGGAATAAATTAGTATTCAGTAAGAACATTAGGAAGAATAAGTTTGGGAGACCACATTTAAAAAACCTCAATACCCAAAGCAAATAGCAAAAATTTGCTATCATTTGCTTTTCTTACGAATATACTTTTAGAAATATGGCTTTGATCTTCATTATTTCCAGATTCTGTATTTGTGAGTTAGCTTACTCACTGATTTCTAACCTCCACATCAGTACGCGGGGTGCTTCGTGGCCATTTGCAGACATGAACAGAGAAGCAAAAAATTTAAGTCAACTGACATACATTCCCAGCTAAAGCTGAATACGGCAGTGCTCTTGCCTTCCCGTGTCAGCTTTCATACTACAAACATGCACCATTTTTGTGGTTAATTAAGTGACAAGTGTTTTGCATTTTTATGCTCTTTGGTTATGGTTTCACTGTTTAAAATGCATCCAGGAGAAAATACATGTGGTTAAGTTTCATTCCTGCATGAGTGATAGTGCTGGTGGCTCTGAGTTTAATGTTAATGAAACAATAATATGTATTAAATAAGGTGTCTCTAAACAGGAACACATAAAACAAGATTATTTATTGATTGGTTGATGAAAATGTGACCAGAAGCTCACAGGAACTTAACCCTGTATTTCATTTAGGAGCAGTGCTACAGTTTTTGTTAATTTGGCAATTTGTAGAACATAACTTTCCAGGTAAAATGAGAACTGATTGTATTTTTGGATATAAGTAAATAAGATTGACGTAAAACTAAACAGAGCCTCTTAAAAAAAAATTTTTTTTTTTTTTTTTGTAATCCTCTCCTGAGAATATTTTTGCTAAGGATTTTTAGGCGGAGTGGAAGGGAGGGAGGGGGGAAAGAGAAAGATCGATGTGAGAAAGACACATTAACCAGCTGCCTTCTGCACGAAGGCCGGTGATCAAACCTGCATCCAGGTGCATGCCCTTGACCGGGAATCGAACCCTCTGCCTGTGGGCTGATGCTCTAACCACGGAGCCCCACTGGTCAGGGTGCAAACAGAGCCTTTTACACGTTGGTTCATAGGGCAGCCTTTCTTGTATTTCTGGGGCCTTATGCCATTTTCCATCTCTGGTTTTCCTGGCTTTTTGTATCTTTTTGATATTTTCTTCTAGCCATCATTTAGTAAAAATAACTACAATTTACTGAAGCCATATTGTGCACCAACTTACCCAGCACTTTATATATCTCATTATTAATCCTCACAACCTAGTATAAAGGTGCTGGTATTTTCTTTATGGAGGTTCAGGGAAATTTTGCAACTTGCTCAAAGTCATACAGCTAACGAGTGGCTAGGTGTTTCTGACTCCAGAGTTCACGCCAATCCTCACTGTATACTGCATTGCACTAGAATAGGGGTAGGCAAAATATGGCCTTCATGCCGAATCCTGCCCACAGTGGTTTTTTTTTAATTTAAAATATATTTTATTGATTTTGTACAGAGAGGAAGGGAGAGAGATACAGAGTTAGAAACATCGATGAGAGAGAGTCATCGATCAGCTGCCTCTTGCACACCCCCTACTGGGGATATGCCCGCAACCAAGGTACATGCCCTTGACCGGAATCGAACCCGGGACCCTTCAGTCCCCAAGCCGACGCTCTATCCATTGAGCCAAACCGGTCCCGGCCCACAGTTTATTTTTATAAATAAAGTTTTATTGGAACATAGCCACACTCATTTGATTACATATACCGTAGTCTGTGATTGTTTCTGAGCTACAAAGGCAGAGTTGAAGAGTTGTGACAGAGTGCTGGGCGGTACTCTCAGTGGGTAGAGCATCAGCCTGCTGACTGGAGAATCACGAGTTCCATTCCTGTTCAATGGCATGTGCAGGAGGCAACCAATCCATATGTCTCTCCCACTTTGATATTTCCCTCTCTGTCTCTCCCTCTTCCTTCCATTCTCTCTAAAAACCAATGGAAATAATATTGTTGGGTGAGGATTAACAACAACAAAGAGTTGTACCAGAGACTATATGGCGTACAAAGATTTAAATATTTGCTACTGCTCATAAAAGTTTGCCAGCCCTGTGCTAAAGTTAGATATGTGGGGCAGTGATACTAGATGACTGAGAAAAAGGATAGAAAATATGGAAATAATAAAACTTCAGCTAGAAAATTATTTGGGGTTTATTTCTAGAATTGATTAGTTGCCAGCAAATTTCCCACAATTTATAAAACCACTAATTTCCCAATATTCAAATTTTAGTATTTAAAATCCTAGCATGGGATCTTATGACAAATTGGTCATGATTCATTTTTGTGGTATCCTAATGAAAATGTCATTTTCTCTTTCTTTAGGCTTTGGCGGGAGCTGCTTTCAGAAGGATGTTCTGAATTTGGTTTATCTTTGTGAGGCTCTGAATCTGCCTGAAGTAGCTCATTATTGGCAACAGGTATTGATCCTTATAGCCAACAACTAATGATTAACTTCTAATTAAAAATGTCACCCTTTGAAAGGACTTATTTATTCCAGGAACTCAACTATTATTATGTTCAGTTTTTAAATTTTAGATTTATTTACTAGGTTTCGGTGTTTTTGTCTCTTGCTAATCAACTGTGATAGAAGTTTCTGATAATGCAGTATTTCTTCTAATTTTATAACTAAATTTGCTCCTAGAGTAAAGCAAGAACTTACTCTAAATTGTAATTATTAAATCCATAAAATCAAAATAAAAGAAGGACCTTATTATAATGATTTCATGTGGTTTGCATAGGCTGATATTTGTCTTGTCCCATTGAGCTAAAATTACAGACCTTCTCAAATTGGAAATAGAGTTAACATTTATTACTCTTTTTTTTAAATATATTTTTAAAAATTTAGTTTAGAGAAGAAGGAGAGCGAAACATTAATGATGAGAGAGAACCACACTGGGGATCTAGCCTGCAACACCAGGCATGTGCCATGACTGGGAATTTAACCTGTAACCTCATGGTTCATAGGTTGACACTCAACCACTGAGCCACACCAACCGGGCCATACTCTCTTTTTTAAGTGCTTTGCTTAGTCCTCATCACTAATTGTATCCTTCATTTATAATGAGGAAATTAAAATTTTATAGATGTTAAGTAATTTATCCAAGATACCAGCCAGTATATGTACCTTTCCCAAATATTTTCCCCCCAAGTTTGTAGTTTTTCAGATCTCAGCAATGGATAGGAATATAAGGAAATACACATTTTTAAAAATGGACATGTATACTCAATCCCACATGATTGCTTTATCTTACTGTCCACTGTGGGGCAAATGCAGATAAAAGCTTGATTTTCCAACACATTGGGCTCATTTTCCGTTCTCAGGATACAGCCACTTGAAGCTTAGAGCCTTAAAAAAACACACACAGAGAAAAGTAGTCTCTTTCCTTACATTCATTTGATCACCAACATGAAGTCTTATTTATAAACTCTTAGGAGAGAAACAAATAGGTGATCAGAGACTTTTACCCATAACATTTAGTTAAAAACTGCCAAATGTCATGGTATTATATTTTATCCAGAGGTAACTGTAACTCTGCACAATGTTTGACCGTCCTCCGTCCATTTTCTATTCACATTCAGTTGTGGTGGGGGTGGTAGTAAGCATATGAGGAAGTACTTTGGGATTTGAGTGCTTGCAGTCCTGCTTCCACAGGGTTTGGAGAAGTTAGCTAACGAGAACCGTGCTTCTATGTGCTTATTTAGGCTGGCCTCATAGCTGGACATCAAATGGAGTTGAATCTTAGCTGTGTGCTCCATCTTTACATCCCTCCCAGCCTGATGCATGGAAAGATAAGCCATATGAAAAATAAAAATTTTAGCCAAAACCTGTTTGGCTCAATGGATAGAGCGTCGGCTTGGGGACTGAAAGGTCCCGGGTTCGATTCCGGTCAAGGGCATGTACCTTGGTTGCGGGCATATTCCCAGTAGGGGGTGTGCAAGAGGCAGCTGATCGATGACTCTCTCTCATCGATGTTTCTAACTCTCTATCTCTCTTCCTTCCTCTCTGTACAAAATCAATAAAAATATATTTTAAAAAATAATAATAAAATATAAAAATAAATAAAAATTTTAGTATGGTTTTAAGGAGGGGAGAAGGGATTTTGTTTTTTTAATCTGTAGATACTAAAGCAGTTGACTAATCTTTATCTCCTGTTGATTTATTATAGAAGGCTTGGATTCATACAACAGTATGTATCATAAAACTAAGCAATGTATGGCACAATCTGTACCTCTTTAATCACTGCATAATTGTACATGTAATTTCAGGTCATAGATATAAATGACTACCAGAGAAGGAGATTTGCTTCCCGGATTATAGATGGTCTGTTCAATACAGTGACTGATAAGAAGATAGCTATTTTGGGGTTTGCATTCAAAAAGGACACTGGTGATACAAGGTATTAGTTCTTTATAACATTTCAATCCCTTTGAGAATTAACTCCTTATCTTATCCTGGTGTTTGACCGGTGGATGAGTGTGTAAAACACTGTGTATATAATATAAAGAATAAAAATAAAGTGAACATCCATATCTTCATGAGATATAGAATCTTACCTGTACAGAGTGGGCAAAAGTAAGTTTACAGTTGTTTATCCTATCTAATAGAAGAATAATATGCAGATTGACCATCACTCCAACACACAAAATGGCTGGCCCCATGTGGTCAAAGATCCTGCTCCCATGTGGACACAAGATGGCCACCACAAAATGGAGGGGAGGGCAGTTGAGAGGGACCAGGCCTACAAAGGAGGGCAGCTGGGGGCAATCAAACCTGCAGGGGAGGGCAGTTAGGGGTGACCAGGCAGGCAGAGGAGGGTAGTTGGGGGCAAACAGACTGGCAGGGGAGCAGTTAGACATCAGTCAGGCTGGCATGGGAGTGGTTAGGGGGTGATCTGGCTGGCAGGCAGAAGCGGTTAGAGGCAATCAGGAAGGCAGGCAGGCGAGCAGTTGGGAGCCAGCAGTCCTGGATTGTGAGAGGGATGTCCGACTGTCCTCAAGGGGTCCCAGATTGGAGATGGTGCAGGCTGGGTTGAGGGACACACACACCCCTGCATGAATTTTCTGCACCGGGCCTCTAGTATGGAAAATAATATAATAATTAATAAATATAAAATGGGGGGAAATTGAGTAAAACAGAAAAAACAACTCATGGATACAGACAACAGTGTAGTAATTGCCAGAGGGAAAAGCAGTGGAGAGATGTGCAGGACAGTGTACTGGGATAAATGATGACAGACAAAGACTTGACTTAGGTGGTAAATACAGAATACAGTGTATAGTAATGTGCTGTAGAACTGTGCATTTGAAACCCGTGTAATTTTTTTAACCAGTGTCACCTCAATAAATTCATTAAAAAGGAAAAAAAAATAATATAAGAATAAACTCTGTTTCTTGTACTCACAATTGTAAACTTTTGTCCCACCCTTTATATTAAATGCCTAAGGTATTAAAATATCTGCCATTTAAAAAGCTTACCAACACTGGGTTATGTTTGTTTGTTTTTAATCAGAGAATCTTCTAGTATATATATTAGCAAATATTTGATGGATGAAGGTGCCCACCTCCATATATATGACCCAAAAGTGCCAAGGGAACAAATAGTTGTGGATCTGTCTCATCCAGGAGTTTCAGAGGATGACCAAGGTAAGGCTTTGAGTCTCATGAATCACGTTGAGTATGGTCCCAACATTTGTTTGTTCTCCAGGACCCTGTTCCACCATCATTTCTCTAAAGAAACCCTCAGGCCCTGGCCAGTTGCTAAGAGTTCGAGCAGGTTCTATTTCTGGTCAAGGGTGTATACCTTTGTTACAGGTTTGATCCCCAGTCCCGGTCAGGGGCTCCTGCAGGAAGCATTTGATGTGTCTCTCTCACACCGATGTTTCTCTCTCTCTGTGTGTCTCTATCTCTATCTCTATTTCTCCCTCTTCCCTCTGTCCTCCCTCCCTTGCACTCTCTATAAAAATCAATGGAAAAATAGCCGAAACCAGTTTGGCTCAGTAGATAGAGCGTCAGCCTGCGGACTGAAAGGTCCCAGGTTCGATTCCAATCAAGGGCATGTACCTTGGTTGCGGGCACACCCCCAGTGGGGGTTGTGCAGGAGGCAGCTGGTCGATGTTTCTCTCTCAACGACATTTCTAACTCTCTATCCCACTCTCTTCCTCTCTGTGTAAAATCAATAAAATATATATAAAAAAGTATTTTAAGGTAATGATTGTGGGTCACTCTTATGGTTTTTCCTACATATTCTAAAAAGCCCCGAGGCTCCAAGGAGATGCTTCTGGGACATCACTGGGGTGATTCCTGGCCACCTCACTCCCCTCACTCACACTTCAACCAGGCCATCCCATTTCTTTCAGGCCCTCAGCTCCTCCTGCAATCCTAGTGTTAGAATGCAGTTTCAAATAACTCCTTTTCTGTTGCCAATTTGTTGTTGTTATAGTGTCCCAGCTTGTGACCATTTCTAAGGATCCATACGAAGCATGCGATGGTGCCCACGCTGTTGTTATTTGCACCGAGTGGGACATGTTTAAGGTGAGGTGGCGAAATGGTGTGGGGAACATTGTAGAGGTGTTCTCGTACCAGTAGGAGTTGAATATGTGCTTATGTGTGTATTCTGACTGCTCCTTTGGTTCTGCCTCTGTAGGAGTTAGATTATGAACGCATTCACAAGAAGATGCTGAAGCCAGCCTTCATCTTCGACGGACGGCGGGTCCTGGATGGGCTCCACCAAGAACTGCAAACCATCGGCTTCCAGGTGATCTCGCCCCAGACTGGTGTTATGTTGTTGGCCATTTGCTCTCCAATGGTGTTGCATTTTAGAATTTTAATATTTTCTCATTTACAATAACGTGACTCTAGGGCAGTTCTCTGGGAAGTCTCTAAGGGATTTTTGTAACTGTTCTATTCCCTCCTTAAATTTATAACTTAGCCCTAGCCAGTTTGGCTCAGTTGATAGAGCATCAGCCTGAGGACTGAAGGGTCCTGGGTTCGATTCCTGTCAAGGGCACATGCCCGGGTTGCGGGCTTGATCCACAGTAGAGGGTGCATAGGAGGCAATCAATGATTTTCTCTCATTGATGTTTCTGTCTCTCTCTCCCTCTCCCTTCATCTCTGAAATCAATACAATATACTTTAAAAAAAAATTTATGATCTGAAGTTCATTTAGTCTTGGTCACCCTTACATAGTAGCTAGATAAAGTCATTAGTTGCCTATCATATAGGGACAAAACGGGCCCTGCTTGACCTCATAAAGATCATGAAAAGTCATAAAAAAAAATGTTCCTGTAACTGCCAAGGCTGCTTTGCTAAACTGTCTGCAGCACACTGACTGCTCAGAGGCCAGGTCTTTTATTCCTACACAAATGGCTTGAAAACCGCAGAATGCAATATAGTTGCCACATGTTGGTATGGGATCCTATGCCTTCTGGATTCTGAAACTGTCCTAGTGCTGAGAGAGGTCTGAAGGAGATGTGGGAGCTTCAGGGGTCCTGGCCTCTGCTTCTTCGGTTTGTCACTTAGCTGTGGAATGCTGAGAGAGCTGACAGAAACCCTGCCCAGAACAGTACGTTCATATAATTCATCTATTTCAGTTCCAACAGGCGTCCCAAAAGATTAATAAGAAGGAGCCGCTTTCTGTTTTCTCACAGCGGTGTACAGGGGCAGGAGGCCAGGGCGGGGAGCGGGCGCGGGTGGGGAAATGAGCCAGGAGGTTGCTGTCAGCATAGGCCCCGAGCAGAGCGGAAGGGGGCAGAGTTCAGAGCTGGCTGTGTGCTGAGAAGGCCTCACCTCCTGTTCAGAATGTCAGATCTGGTTCTCTTAACCTTCATTGAATTGTGGAGGGTTTTGTTATTTAGAATTGTGTTCATTTCTCATTCATGAGATTCACTTGCAGCAAGAATCAGATGGCAACCTTGTCTATTTACGTTGCATCAGGGACCTTGGGGAGTCTACTATCCCACCCCTCTATTGAGCAGCAAAAGGACTTCCCAGTCCTCACTGAACTCAGCAGTGCTGTTTTCTTTAAAGATTATTTGCAAGGCATAGACAGATTTTCTCTCATTCTTGTTCAACTCATGTAAGGGAGAAGATATGTAAAAAGGTATATATTTCAAATAAATTTTAGTTCTTATAAGTTAACTTTTCCTAGTAAGCATTTTATTTATTTTCAAATATATTTTTATTTCCAAGAGGAAGGGAGAGGGAGAGAGAGAGAGAAATATCAATGAGAAGAGAGAATATCGATCAGCTGTCTCCTGCACACTTCCCACTGGGGATCAAGCCCACAACTTATGTGTCCCTGACTGGGATCAAACCCTGGACCCTTCAGTCCACAGGATGATGCTCTATCCACCGAGCCAAACCAGCCAGGGCTCCTAGTAAAAACATACACTTACCCCTTAGAGGCCAGGTCTTTTTTATTCCTGTCCAGGAATCACACCATGACCTCCTGGTTCATAGGTCGATGCTCAACTATTAAGGCACACTGGCTGGGCAAAACTTATGACTATTAAAGAAGCAGTGTCGCCGAAACCGGTTTGGCTCAATGGATAGAGCGTCAGCTTGGGGACTGAAAGGTCCTGGGTTCGATTCCGGTCAAGGGCATGTACCTTGGTTGCGGGCATATCCCTAGTAGGAGGTGTGCAAGAGGCAGCTGATCGATGACTCTCATTGATGTTTCTAACTCTCTCTCTCTCTCTCTTCCTCTCTGTACAAAATCAATAAAATATATTAAACAAAGAAGCAGTGTCTTTAAAGTTAAGATTGATGATTTTGAATGTATGCAAAAGAGTTCAAAATGTAATATCCAAAATACAATTTGACTTTATTCATTGAGCACTTTATCTAATTTAATTGTTACTACAACCCTTTGAGGCAGGTGGTAGTAATAACATTTATAAATAAGGAAGAAAGACCTAGAGAGCTTAGGTAACGTAGCAGGATTCCAAATGGGCCCTCCAAACTCTAGAGCCTGAACTCCCCAAAACTATACTATTAGGGCTTCTGCAAGTTTTTTAGAATAAGGGAAGTTGGCATGAAAACCGAATATGAGAGAGAATGTGCATTAACTGGAGTCTAGTGTCTTACTTTCTTCCATATGTGCTACCATAACAAAAGCAGTATATGATTCGCTGCTCAGGAGGGGAGTCCTGGTGTTGGGACTGGCTGGAGTGAAAGTATCTAGATATAGTCTATATAGACTTGAGAAACATAAAAAATAGGCAAGGAACCAAAGATTTTTCATAGTAACTCAGACAACTTGGAAAACATTTTCACTTCCCCCTTATTATACTTCAATATAGAGTTTTTACATTTATGTGTTATTCTTGTTAGTTTTCTTTCTAAAATCTCTTCCTGTTTTTTCTAGATTGAAACAATTGGGAAAAAGGTGTCTTCAAAGAGGTTTCCATATGCTCCTTCTGGTGAAATCCCAAAGTTTAGTCTTCAGGATCCACCGAACAAGAAACCCAGAGTCTAAACATTGTCATTTTTATTTGTAACGTTTTTGGTACTACAGGATAGGAAATATCTATCTGATAGCTAACGGTAAATGAACCAAGTGTTTTTAAGGAAAGAAAACTATTTTTTTAATAATCAATTTATATTAGCTCCGTGAGAATCAGCATCTCTAGTAATTATGAATCTAGAATATTTTTTACATATTTTTATAATACTGTTACCTCAGTGGTTGGATGAGGGCAAACGATCATGTTGGCTTTAATGGTGTCAATTTCTGTAAAGCGACACTTTTTACTTTACAAATTACCCAGAGGCAGCATTTTAATGTCATATTATAAAGGGAAAGGCACTCTTCTGTTTTTCTGATTATCGGTTTGATTTGATTTTAAGTCATAAAATTGCTGTGCTAATTACTGGGCAATTACCTTGTTAACCTTTCGGACAGTGCCGTGGAGACTCAGAGGTCTGGCTTCGTTGGGTAAGGTGCTTTCCACACAATTTCTTGTCTCGATGACCGTTTCTTAGGAGGAGGATGCAGTGGACAGAAAGGGGCTTTTTGTGCTTCTTTTTATTTTGCTTCTAATATTTTTCCTGTGCTTTTGTGTTAGAAATAACCCTTTTGTCTAATGAGCTCTGTCATTGATTTTTAAGCCCCAAAGGTCATCACTGCTCATTTCCAATCAATCCAAATAAGATTAAAAAGCCTTTTTTTTTTTTTAACATGAAGAGAACATCAGTGGCATGATTTATATAATTTCTCTTCACTTCTTGTTTTTCCTCATTGCTGATTATTTTTTTAGTTCTAGAGCCAAAAATAAATTTGTTACCTTGACTTTGCATTTTTATTTTTATTATTTGTCGCAATTTTCCTACTTTTTCTTTAAGTAAGAAAACGGATTGATCTCATGTATAAACTTAAAAACGTAGATTTTACAAATTATGGGTAGTTTAATTCTAAAATAAGAATTTTTGTATGTATTTCTACCTGCTTTTTTTTTTATGTCTTATATTGACTTATGTTTGATTGTTTTCTCTTCTGTTTTATTGTTGAAATGTGTCAGATGTCCATTTGATGCTTATGAGGGTACAGAGTTAAACAGATACAGGACTTTTCCCTCAGGAATTAATGCTATTCAGTAAGAACACAGAGATAAATATAGAGATAAGGATTATAGACATCTGTTCAGATTTCAAATACATAAATAAAATATTCTACATAAACAACTGTGTAGTGTTATTTGTGTCACAGTGCAAGTAACTAATGAGTTATGACAGTCTGACATTAGAAAGGGAAAATATCACTCCTTTTTTGAGAAAAAGCCATTACATCATACTTGCAGATGATGTGAGAAAGGGAGGGACGGTAACAAATAGACCAGATATGAGCAAACTATAGCTCATGAGCCAAATCGGGCCAGCCCCTTGTGAGCTAAGAATGTTTTTCACATTTTCACATAATTACATTTCGAATGGTTATGTAAGTCTCCATGTTTGCCCCTTGGTCCGAGAAGCCTAAAATATTTGCTATCTGGCTCTTCATTAAAAAGTTTGTAGACTCCCGAAAGAAATAAACAGCAGACTGTTTGAACATAAGATGAGCCTGCCCTAGCTGATTTGGCTCAGTGGATAGACCGTCGACTTGTGGACTGAAACCTCAGTTGCAGGTTTAATCCCTGGTTGTGGCACATGCAGGAGGCAACCAATCTATGTCTCTCTTCCCTTCTCTCTCTCAGAAATAAAAATAATTAGCCCTCACAAGATTTGAAAGTTAGGATGAGCTTATTAGAATTTGCTTTACATTTTTTGCTTGAAAATATTCTGCTTAATAATTTTATATTCTAGTAAAGGAATTATAACCCAAAAATGTCTTGCTGAAGCAGATAGAATTAGGCACTCGTTTTTAGTGGTAGCATACTTCAATGCCTATAATTGGTTATTTTAAAAACGTGTAGCCGAAACCGGTTTGGCTCAGTGGTAGAGCGTCGGTCTGCGGACAAAGGTCCCGGTTTCGATTCTGGTCAAGGGCATGTACATTGGTTGTGGGCACATCCCTGGTAGTGTGCAGGAGGCGGCTGGTCAATGTTTCTCTCTCATCGACGTTTCTGGCTCTCTATCTCTCTCCCTTCCTCTCTGTAAAAAATCAATAAAATATATTTTTTTAAAAAACACAAACGTGCCGGGACCGGTTTGGCTCAATGGATAGAGCGTCGGCTTGGGGACTGAAGGGCCCCGGGTTCGATTCCGGTCAAGGGCATGTACCTTGGTTGCGGGCATATCCCCGGTGGGGGGTGCGCAAGAGGCAACTGATCAATGACTCTCTCTCATTGATGTTTCAAACTCTCTATCTCTCTCCCTTCCTCTCTGTACAAAAATCAATAAAATATGTATTTAAAAAACACAAACGTGTAAAATACTGTCCTAGTTGGTTTGGCTCAGTGATTGGAACATCGGCCTTTGACTGACGGTCTTGGGTTTGGTTCAGGTCAGTTGCAGGCTCCATCCCCGCCCAGTCGGGCTGTGGGAGGAACCAATCAGTGTGTCTCTCTAGCACTGATGTTTCTGTTTCTCCCCCTCCCTTCCACTCTCTCGAAATTAATGGGAAAAAATACTCAGGTGAGAATTAACAAACAAACCAAGTTAAAATACTGATTAAAAGGTAAGAGAATTGGTAAGTGGAGGAAAATGGACAATAGGTGGCTTATAGAACCTTGTAAACTTGATGTCTGTGGAGGGGAGGAAAAAAACCAAAGCAACTGGGGAGGTAACTTAGCACAGCTATTTGAGAACTTTGTGTGAAAAAATTGCAAGAATGTGGTTAGCCTTTTCTTCCCCTAATAAAATTAAAGACTACTAAAAAAAAAAAGTGATACATGGTTTCTATTTTTCTTTTTCTTTTTTAATGTAATAAATCTTTATTGTTCAGATTATTACAGGTGTTCCTCATTCCCCCCTCCCCCATAGTCCCCTCCACCTGATTCCCCACCCCACCCCATGCTCTTACCCTCTGCCACTGTCTTCATCCATAGGTGTAAGATTTTTGTGTTTCTATTTTTCTTAGCTAGTATTTTAGGTGGGGCCAATATATATTGGTGAGATTATTAGCTAATCATTAAAACAAAATCATACATAAAAGTGGTTTAAAAAATTATTCAAATAAATACAGAAGAGTATATAAAAAAGTAAAATCTGTCCCACAATGTGCTCTCTAGAAATTATCTGATATTTCACTATAGACTTCCAACTTTAACCTGGCTGGTGTGGCTCAGTGGTTGAGCATCAATCTATGAACCAGGAGATCACAGTTCAAGCAATGCCCAGGTTGTGGGTTTGATCCCCAGTAGGGGGCATGCAGGAGGCAGCCGATCAATGATGATCTCTCATTGATGTTTCTATCTCCCTCTCTTTTCAATATATATTTTAATTAGCAATAATTGCGCCTCGGATAAACCTAATTCGTTATGATGTGCCACTGTGCAAAGCTGAAATCAATAAAAATATATTTTTAAAAGATTTTTGGCTTTAAATTTTTAACGCATTATCTACTAGCATGTGATACCTTGGCTGTTACCTGCAAACCTTATTTTCCTCATTTAGAAAATAGAGGTAATTAATCTCTATCTCAAAAAAATTGTGATAAGCCATAGTTCAGTGGTCGGCAAACTCATTAGTCAACAGAGCCAAACATCAACAGTACAACGATTGAAATTTTTTTTTGAGAGCCTTATTTTTTGAACTTCTTCTAACACCACTTCTTTAAAACAAACGTGTCCAGGCCATGGTATTTTGTGGAAGAGCCACACTCAAGGGGCCAAAGAGCCGCATGTGGCTCATGAGCAGCAGTTTGCCGACCACGGGTCTAATTGGTTTGACTCAGTGGATAGAGCGTCAGCCTGTGAATTAAAGGGCTCTGGGTTCAATTCTGGTCAAGGGCACATGTCTAGGTTTCGGACTCAATCCCTAGTAGGGGGCATGCAGGAGGAAGCCGATCAATGATTCTCTCTAGTCATTGATATTTCCATCTCCCTCTCCCTCTGAATTCAATAAAAAAAAAAAAAAATAAGAAAAAAAAAAAACAAGCATAAAAAATTGTTAAAGGATTTCATGAGATGAATGTTTACACAAATATCTTACCGGCATAGTGACTGGCAGATGACGGCCACTCCTGTTAAACCCGTGGTGAGCTGGTCCCACTGAACCAGAACCACGTTGAGGGCAGTAACACTGAGAACAGTAACACTGAGCATTACAGGACAGTCACTGTGCTAAGCCCATGGGGTGCATTTTCTCATCCATTTCTCACATAATTCCTTTAAGATATAAGTCCGATCCTTATTTTCAGATGAAGGGCAGAAGGCTAGAAAGATTAATCACTTGCTCAAGTCAGAACTGTTTGAATAGGACCTTTGCTTAGTAGAAAGCACACTAATTTTAGAGGTGCTAATATGAGTGAGTACTTATGGCCTTAGGCAGAATCTACATATATAAAAGCGCAAGTGAATGGCCTACCAGCCAATTGTCCAGTAGTTATGACCCGCACTGACCACCAGGGGGCAGATGCTCAACACAGGAGTGGAAACCACAGGCATGGAAACATGGAACAGACTGATGAATCTCAGAGGGAAGGGGGTAGGGCGGGAAGAGGTTAAACAAAGATCTTATATACATACTGGAGGCGTGGTACACACATTCATGCACTGGTGGGTCCCTCGGCCTGGCCTGTGCCCTCTCGCAATCTGGAACCCCTTGGGGGATGTTGGAGAGCCAGTTTCAGTCCAATCCCCGCAGGTCAAAAGACTCCCTGGATATTGAATTAGATTAAATACGTGCTCTATTTTCATTCTCTCCTTATCAAAATGGTAACTTACCAAAGCTGACAGCCAAGTTTATAACCCTCAAGGAAAGATATCTTGAATGGCTTTAGAGGAATAATCCTGACATTTGGGAGTCCTTCATTGAAAAATCCAGCTCATTGCCCTTATCGGTGTGGCTGTTAGTTGGAGCATCACACTATACCCTGAACAGGTGGCTTCCTGGTCAGAGCACATACCTAGGTTGGGGGTTCTATCCCGGGTCAGGGCATGTGCTAGAGGCTATTGATGGATATTTGTCTCATGTCTCTCTCCCTCAATCTAAATCAAAAACAAAAAAATATCCTTGGGTGAAGATTTTAAAAAATAATTTAAAAAAAAGAAAAATCCAGCTCAAACCCTCCCTCCCCTACAGCATCCTATAGTAAAGTTTTATTTATTTTTTATTTTATTTTTAAAATATATTTTATTGATTTTTTACAGAGAGGAAGAGAGAGGGATAGAGAGTTAGAAACATCAATGAGAGAGAATCATCCATCAGCTGCCTCCTGCACACCTCCTACTGGGGATGTGCTCGCAACCAAGGTACATGCCCTTGACCGGAATCGAACCCGGGACCCTGTAGTCCGCAGGCCAACGCTCTATCCACTGAGCCAAACCGGTTTCAGCTAAAGTTGCCTCTCCACCCTCCTCAAAGGCCGGCCCTGCCCCTGGTAGATCTCCTGGACAAACTGCTGGTCAAGGGGACAGTTTGCATACCATACTTTTATTATATAAAGGGTTTAATTTATTGGAGTGACATTGGTTTGCAAAATCATACAGGTTTCACATGTACAACTCAATAAAACATCATCTGCACATTGCATCTTGGGCTCATTGCTCCAAGCAGTCTCTCCCCATCCCCATTTTCCTTCCCTTTGCCCACCTCCACCTTGTCCCCACCCTCCTTTCCCTCTGGCTATCACTGCACTGTGGTCTGTGTCTATATGTTCTGTATATGTTTTTGGCTAATCCCTTCACCTTCCTTCATCCAGACCCCCCTTCGCTCTGAGATCTGTCAGTCCTGTGTCCATGCCTGTTTCTATGTTGTTGGTCAGTTTATTTCGTTCATTAGATTGCACATATAAGTGAGATCATATGGTGGTGTTTTTCTCTGGCTGGCTGATAGCTCCCCTCACCCCAGCTTCCAGCTAGCTGAAGAGTGGCTTAACACTCAGTATGCATGGAGAGCCGAGGATCACCAGGCATTTGAGGGGAGCCTTCAACCCAAGAGGCAGCGACTCAGACAAAGGAAGCAGACAAGGCTCAACGCAGAAAACTCCAACTTAAAAAAATGATCTATCTTTAGAGAGAAAATAGATATTGCAGCTGGGAAACAAGAACAGGATGCTATTTTTAAAATATGGAATAATCAAAGAGCTCTCAAAAATTTAAATGTGGCGGACAAAATTTTAGCAAATCTCCACGGAAGCCCAATGTAAAATACATTACAACGGCATATCATTAGCATAAATGTATGTTGAAGTGTGGACGTGAGGCTCTGAGCTGCCGGGAATCCCCAGGGGATAAAGGACCACTCACACCCCTCTCAGCTGCTGCTCCACTTACATTCTGAATTTTTCTTTGTGGTGTTTTCCCTATTTTTTCTGCCTATGGCCACTGGGGCTCACATTTCTTAATGTAACAATACCTCTAAAGTTAAGATGCTTTCAGCTCCTTGTTTAAACCAGTTTCATTCACATACAAAGACATTTATTATCTCGGCAAACAGGAAGTGGGTTACAGGAGGTGACTTCTCAGTTGGAAAGGGGCTCATTTTCTTTAAAAACAAAACAAAACATAACAATGTGCATTTACCACTCATTTTTCTTAAAAACATAAATAAATAGAGCAGCCATACTGAAACGGGCACATAACAAATTGTGATACACAGAACACTGATGTATTTATTAATGTGTGCTGCACAATTAGGAATTTTTGTAGAGACCTCTTGCCATGATTGTGCCTTTAAATTGCTTTTTTGTTGTTAATTGTCACCGGAGGATATTTTTCTATTGATTTTTAGAGTGGAAGGGAGGAGGAAAAAAGAGAGAAACATCAATGTGAGAGAAACACATCGATGGGTGAACTCCCGGACTTGCCCGGACCGGGACGAGGGAGTAAGCCCGCAACCAAGGTACATGCCCTTGACTGGAATCGAACCTGGGACCCTTCAGTCCTCAGAGCGATGTTTGATTCACTGAGTCAACCTGGCTAGGGCTAAATGTACTTCTTATTAATGCATTGCTATTTAGGAAGGTCAAAGCTCTGCCCTGGCCTCTTAAAAATTCAAACCTGTATGTCTGTTACAGGTGTTGAAGGGAGTATACCTTTACAGCATATGTTCACCACATCCAAATGGCCAGCAAACCCAGGCATTAGGTCATGTATTTTATTATGGTATAACGGTTAGCTATGCCATTTTAATTATTTTACATTGGATTCCATTAAATTTCATTTGACAAAAAGATTCTTCTGCTAAAATGTCTTATTTCGACTCGCTTCCATTGTGCAAAATTAGGAAACATCAGAGTCTAATCTATTATTCCTGTGAAAAACAGATTTTAGGGAGGATAGTTGTCAGAGATGTTTACATTTAAAGTGATGGACTTAATTTGACACAGCAAAATTTAGTAGGATCTGTAAAGAAAGTGAATCAAAGTATGTTTGACTCCTGTGAGTGCAATTAAAATGTACTAATTTTCAAAGTTATGCATTATTATTTTTTTAAAAGTATTAGTTCACATATTTTAAAATTCTACACAGAACTGGCTATTCACATTATGTATTTTACAATATTGCCACATAAAGACTTCCTTTGTGTAGAAGGAAAAAGAGATTCAGAGTCAAAAGTTCCTGGTAATAGAAAAGAAATTCCTTACTCAGATCACTCCTATGTCACTGCTATTATACATACAACCATCTCATCAGAGCAGTGTGAGGAGTAGAAGAGATAGTGCACACAGATAGCAAATTGCCCTTAGATTACATTTCTCTGTCTTGGACAATATTGTGGTCTTGGTTTCTCAGAGGCCCTAAACAAGTAATCAATACAAAACTATTTTGCCGAACTAAAATGGTCACACCAATGTAAAAATCAACACGCAAAATCTTAAGCCTTTCTAAATCGTTCCAATGATGTTATACTGTTATGTGAAGAGCATATCTAATTATGTATAATCTGATCAGAGTCTCCAGTTATATTGCTTTTTCATCACGGCGTGTTATTTACCAGAAATGCAATGCATCGATGATGCACAAGTAACAGAGGCCTGAGGTTTGCTACAAGTTTTCAATGTATTTTTAAATTATGCTGTAAAAACAGTTAACTCCGACCAGGATGTTTTATGATTACATCACAGCAAGCAACTGTCTACTGGGACAAAAAAGATATGCTGAAAGGCAAATAAGTTGCTATAATTAAATATGCACAGCTTATTGACTTTTTCTTAAAACAAAAAGTTAGGGTTCATCCAGCAAAGCACAGGCATTCTGCCATCACTTCTGTAGGCAAATGGAATCCAATTCTAAACACACCTGTGATCTTGAATGTCTTGTTAAGTGTTACAGGGCTTTTGTTTTTCTTTTTGCCACTAAATTTTTCAGGAAAAATTCACCTATTTAGGAAAAAAGAAAATAGATGAAAAGAAAATAGATTAATTACACTTCAGTGCTTCCCTTTAAAGGAGATTTTTGTGTTTGTTGGCATTTCTCTCTTCTCAATGGCAATAATACCTCCTATATCTTTGGCTCTTTCCCCAACAATGATTAGTCATTATTCTTAAAAAAATTTTTTTATGAACACTACAATCTCTATTATTATTCTTGTTTTTTTCTCTTTATTATATTTTTTCCATCACCATTTATCCCCCCTTTACCCTTTCCCACCACCACCCACCTCCCTCTCCCCTGCAATCACTATGTTGCCTGTTTTTTTCCTTTTTTGTTCAATCCCTCCATCCCCCACAACCCCCCCCCCCCACCAAAGCTGTCTGCCTGCTCTCACTATGAGTCTTCCGTTTTGCTTGTTAGTTCAGTTTGTTCATTAAATTCCACATATGAATGAAATAATTTACTATTATTCTTTCTAGTAACTCAGTATTATAAAGCATGATCTACTGTATCTGTGGGTCTTCTGTGCATTTATTGCACACTATGTGCACGTTCCAGTCCTCATCACTGACAAAGGTATTGCTGTTGGCACGCTTCATTTCAGAGAGCAATTCTGCTATACGATTAGCCTAGATGTGGTGTTTATAAAAGAGACCTCGTTTCAGTTGAGCAGGCTCATCTGATGGGATCTTTTAGCTCCTTCCCCTCTAGGGAAGCAAGAGCTCTCCTTTATAACGGCTTCTTCTCCACCCCCTGAGGTGTGTCTGTCACTGTGACAGCACAGCTCAGTGCTGACGGGCAGAGCTCAGAGCTGCAGGTCTGATCTTATGAGGAGTCTGATCAAGTCTCTTTGTCATCTAAATATAGAGAAGAATTGCAACCGGCCGGCTGTAAACAATCACAAAGAATCCCTAAGCTCATGAGCTAGCCACGTAATGAAGAGAATAATCCTTGCTGCTCCACACCTCTATCTAAATCTGATAGGAGTGAAACCGACGTTATTATCAGATTTTAATGCATGGTCTGGATAACCAGAATTTTCTTTTTTACTGCTAATTTAAAAAGCATTAAAATGTTCATAATTTACTTTCTTATAAATTAGAAAATTTCCTTAAAAACATACACATGAACACAAAACCAAAACAACAAAGTAAAAACTCATTTCAAATGACAGTACTCTACTGTAACCCTCTGGAAGTGGACTTCTACTCTTTTTTTTCTTTTTAAATTTCTTTATTGATTAACCTGTTGTCCTGGAGTTCCCTTTTTAATTACGCAACCTATAATGGGTGCGTACTCTTTCACTAGGATGTGTCAGTACGTCACACCCGGAGGACGTAATTTCATATTATTATTTTTTATTTATACTTAATTAAAATAAATGATATATATATTTTTTCATTTATTTATATATAAAGCACAAAGGAAAATACAAAATTACAAAAAAATAGAAAAAAATACCAATAAAAAAATGGAAACATCGATTTATAAATTTTACAAATAATTATAAAGATTACAAAAAATATATACCGTCCCTCTCAGGGCGCAACATATATTTCCAGGACGTATTCATACGTCCTACCCATTCCTGATATTGTTTACGTTTGACATATTTATAGGCCCCACTCAGTTAACAGGTTAAGGTATCACATATTTGTCCTCAGCCCCCCCATTCTAATGCCCCCACCCCCCTATTGTCCTTGACCACTGGTTAGGCTCATATGTATGCACACAAGTCCTTTGGTTGATCTCTCCCTTTTATCCCCACCCTCCCTCTGAGGTCCAACAGTCTGACTCATGGCTCCTTATCTCTGGGTCTGTTCTTGTTCATCAGTCTATGTTATATATAGTGTTAGCTTGCTAGCACTGCGTGAAGAATAAATTACTTGTAATATTAGTTTCTAAGTCCCCACATCCTGTCAGTGCATTCAATCAAACTCTTGGATTTTATAACTAGAATAAGCTATTATTACTTCATTAAATTTCTTTACAGGAACACAATAAATATTACTTATAATTTGTATAATTATTATAAATATAATTCGTGCCACATTTAAGCATATCTATAATTTAGACCCTAATATAAAACAATCATTTAAAAGAGCATTAAGCCCTAGCCGGTCTGGCCTAGTGGGTAGAGCAGACCCAAGGGTCTGGGTTCGATTCCAGTCAAGGGCATAGACAGCGGTTGCAGGCTCCTCCCTGGCCTGCCCTGGTCAGGGCTCCTGCAGGAGGCAACCAACTGATGTGTTTCTCTCACATTGATGTTTCTTTTATCTTTCCCTCTCTCTTCCATTCTCTCTAAAATCAATGGAAAAATATCCTTGGATGAGGATTAACAAATAAAAAAAGGGATAGAGCCGAAACCGGTTTGGCTCAGTGGATAGAGCATTGGCCTGCGGGCTGAAAGGTCCCAGGTTGGATTCCGGTCAAGGGCATGTATCTTGGTTGAGGGCACATCCCCAGTAGGAGGTGTGCAGGAGGCAGCTGGTTAATGTTTCTCTCTATCCCTCTCTCTTCTTCTCTGTAAAAAAAAAAAAAAAAAAAAAAAAAAAAAAAATATATATATATATATATATATATATATATATATATATATATATAGGATAGAGCAGATAAAAATATTTTTAAAAATAAAATGAAATAAAAATAAAACATCTTTAATAGTAACAACATGGCTCAGAAAAAAATCAAAAAATAACTAGCTGTTTATTCTTCAAAATATTTTAATTAAATCTAAGTCACAGGGCAAATACCATAAAGATTTTTTGGATTAAATTCAATTTTCAGATATGTTCTCACAGCCTTTTGATGGCCATTATCACATGATTTTTAATCTCTGGGAAAATGCTTTTATTTTCACTAGTCAGCTCAGACTATGGATCAAAATAAGAGCTGAAATTATAAAGGTGAACAATTACATGTAGTTAGTAAAAACAAAAAATATTTATAGGGAAAATAATCTTATGAATTTTTTTCTGTTGCGTCTGGGAGGAAAAACATAAAGCTATTTTTTTAATTTTTATTTTTTTATTAAATTATTATCTGTGTACATATCTTACCATTGCCCGCCGCCCCCCCCCCAAAAAAAAAAAAAAAAAAACCAAAAACAAAAACAAAACATAAAGCTATTAATGTTGCGGACAACAATACTTTTCAGGGTTTAATTTGATCTAAAATTTGAAATTTGGAGAAGCAGCTGGTGTCATTGTCAAATGACCACGTTTTCCTAAAAACCATGTTAGATGCTTGATGGAACTTTGTCATTTCTGAGTAACCTACTAATGCAGTCCAAGAATAGAACAAACTGATTACTTCTGCTTTCATCCGAGTAGCTGAGCTATTACATATTCAGGTAGGGAAGGGAAGGATTCTTCATTTAACTAACAACTGAGAGTAAATTTTTCCTCAATATGACCCTCACGAAACAAATCTCCTAAAGAAGTTCCCCCAAACCCTCCCAACCTTTTTTCTTCTCCACAAAAGACAACCACAACTATTAAGATGTAAATATGGAACCGTCCAGTGCAGTCTGCTCACCTGCTTTATATGAGGAGCGCACCAGAGGGCCACTTGCCGTGTAATGAAATCCAAGGTCATTTCCTACTTTTTCCCAGTATTTGAACTTCTCAGGAGTAATGTATTCTTCCACCTAGATTTAAAGAATTAATTTTGATTCTTGAGTTGCCATACATCATTTTGATTCTACAGAAAATTCATACCCATGCATTCAAGGTGGGTTTTTTAAAAAATTATTTATTGTTGAAATATTACCTATGCCCTCTTCCCTCCCCAATTGACCTCTTCTGGCCCGCCACCGCCCCCAGCCACCACCACCCTATTGTCTGTGTCCACAGATTATGCATAGATGCTCACAAATTCTTAGGTTAATGTCTTCCCACCCACCAACCCACCCCTGCCTTCCGAGATTGCACAATCTGTTTTACGCTTCTGTGTCTCTGGATCTATTTTGTTCATCTGTTAATTTTGTTCATTAGATTTCACATATGAGTGAGATCATGTGGTACTTATCTTTCTCTTATTTGGTTTATTTCATTTAGCATAATACTCTCCAGGCCCCTCCATGCTGTCTCAGAGGGCAAGAGATTCTTTTACTGCTGCGTAGAATCCCATGGTATAAATGTACCACAGCTTTTTTATCCACTCATCTGCTGATGGGCACTTGGGACCTTAACTTTCGTAAATTGTGCGGGTTTGATTCTGGTTAAGAGTATGTGCTTCAGTTGCAGACTAGATATGTCTCATGTTGTTTTTTCTCTCTCTTTGACTTCCCCTCCCTTCCACTCTCTCTAACAATCCAAGGAATGAGGATTAACAAACAAACAAGCAAACAATACAAAGTGGTATCCACCTTTGCACCATGACTTCTTACTCTGGTTTCTGCCCGGATTTTATTGTTTGATAATGACCATTAACACCTAAAAGGAGCCTTGCTTTTCCCCTCCTTCTTCCCTCTCCCACCCTGTCCCCTCCCTCACTGGAAGTCAGACATCCCTCAGCAAAAGAGCAAGCCTGAGAATTATTCTCAGATAGAAGACACTGTTAAGCTTATTGTCACTAAGGTTTAACATTTGTTTTGCATGTGATTTTATTCTTCGATTACTCTGTTTCATGGGAACCATTATAGAATTCTGGAAGGCTAATTTATATGGCAACTATTTCCTTTAGCATGGCTAAAATAAAAAATTTAGGTTCAGAATATCCTTGCAAAGATTAACATTATTTGTAAATCTTTATATAATTTCATTCATATTTATTTTTAAGAAAATATATTTTATTGATTTTTTACAGGGAGGAAGGGAGAGAGATAGAGAGCTAAAAACGTCGATGAGAGAGAAACATCGACCAGTTGCCTTCTGCACACCCCCTACCGGGGATGTGCCCGCAACCAATGTACATGCCCTTGACCGGAATCGAACCTGGGACCTTTCAGTCTGCAGACCGATGCTCTACCACTGAGCCAAACCGGTTTCGGCTTCATTCATATTTTAATGTGTTGTTTTCATTGCTACAGGTGTGAAAAAATTGAAAGATGTGGAATACCTGGGGACAGCAGCCAGTGTTTGCCTTCATTCAGATTATGTTGCTGCTCTTTTTGAAGGCAAAGTCCAGTTACACTTGGTAAGTATGATGTCCCAGAGGCCTGCTCAGTTAACCTAGTGATGATGATGAACCTGTCTTATTAAAAACTTCAGTAAGGAAGCAACCTTGTACAGACTAGCTGGAAAGCCAGGTGGGGATAAAGGAGTAACAGAAATCTTGACCCTTCGGCAGATGTTCGATTAGCTTTCTAGCTCTATTCCTAAGAAACCCGACAGTTTGTCAACTGTGGTACTTATAATACTGCTTATGGTAAAAACGACCCTATTGCTAACTGTATGCAGAAACCATAAGTGAACTATAAAAGCTTATGGGAATACCATAACATCTGTGCCTCCTGGAATGCACTGACTCATACATTTAGGCATGTTGCTTGTGGGAGTCCTTGAAGCTATGCCTCTTGAGTTGTTCAAGAGATATTGGCCCTGGAATATGGGCCTTCCAAACCAGGACATCTTCCACATCTGTTCTTGGCTCTTTGCTTCTGAGAAGCCAGAGATCAGCCACTGGACACCTTCAGAGCCTGTGAGGACTGTTCGGCTAGAAGGGTGTCTAATGCTGCCCTGCCCGTAAGCCGTGCTTCCTGCCTGATGCCTTTCTGAGCAAACTGGCCTATGTCGTCTGCTGAGTGTGAATGTTTAATTGAACCTCCCCTACGAGCCACTGCTATTCTTTGTTTTAGATAGAAAGTGAACTCTTGGATACTCAAGAAGAGCGTGAGACTCAACTTTTCCAGCAGTGGATGGTAAGTGCAGATTTTATGTCATGCCTTAACTGGTGATTTCCTCATCTATGGCACAGATGTACACATTATCTTCTTTACTATAGAACACAGGGCAATTTCTAGTTTTTATTTTGCAATTTATTTATTTTTATGTATATACTAATAGAGTATCCCCAAAAATGTACACACACACATTGAATAATTATAAAAGCAGTGTTTTTTAAAATACATTTCATTTTTACAATTGAGCTATCTGATCTTAAAGTATGTGTACATATTTTTGGGACACACTGTATATATTATGTATTATATGTTATATTTTATGAATTATATAAAATATGTAATTATTATAAATAGACACAAATAAATATATGTAGAGCACATAGCATGATTTGTTAGTAATGAGTGCTTTTGTGGTTATAAGCAATTTTGAAAGCACAGTAAAAAGAGCAAACTATTGAGTGTAGAGAATCTAGATTTAAATATCAGGGGGTTATTTTGTTTGTTTTTTTAAAAACATATTTTATTGATTTTGTACAGAGAGGAAGGGAGAGAAATAGAGAGTTTAGAAACATCGATGAGAGTGAGTCATCGATCAGCTGCCTCTTGCACACCCCCTACTGAGGATGTGCCTGCAACCAAGGTACATGCCCTTGACCGGAATTGAATCCGGGACCCTTGAATTCAGTCCCCAAGCCGACGCTCTATCCATTGAACCAAAATGGTTTCGGCAGGTTGTTGTTTTTTTAACCTACAGGTAGATTTTAATTTAATTTAATTTTTAAAATTTAGTTTATTGATTTTAGAAAGGAAGGGAGAGGGAGAGTTAGAAACATTGAGAGAGAAACATCCATCAGCTGCCTCCTGCACACCCCCTCCTGAGTGTCGAGCCCGCAACCAAGGTACATGCCCTTGACCAGATTCAAACCGAGACGGACTCTTAAGTCCACGGGCTGACACTATCCACTGAGCCAAAACAGCTAGGGCAATGTTAGTTCTTTTTTTGCTTGCTGCTCTTTAACCCCTCCCAAGCCTCATTTTCTTTATCTAGATGCTTTAAGGACTTAATTTGATGACAAATATAAGACACCTCATTCAACTTTAGATTTCCAGTGCCTATGTTTAGTAGGCATTTAATAACTATTAAGGCTAATGGAATTCTGAGGACCAGTGTTTTGGTCCTTTGAACCACCAATACCTTCTACCTCTAAGTATTAGGCTAGCCACATGGACATAGAGCATAGTTATAGTAATAGCATCTAATATTTGTAAAAACTTTTTCCAAGATTTTTCAAAGCATAGCATACTTATCTTGTTTCGTCTCTAAATTTAGTAAAGTTGGAAGAAAAGGTGTTTTCCACATAAGAAGAAAATTAGTCACTATTTCCATTTTCTCTAATTAAATTGTTTATTAAAAAGAGCATGTCTTAAAAAATGCTCATTGCCATTGAGAGACTTTATAAGTTGATAATAATCAGTCTTTGTGCTAATTTACCTCAGTAGGGTAGGTCTGGGGTATCAGTGAAGTAGTGAGTGATATGGTAAGTAACATTAAATACAATATGTTTGCATGACACCTAACATTATAAAGCCTGATCTCACTCATCTCAGTAACTATATAAAATAAGCAGGGACATTTTAGAGATGGGACACTGAAGACTGAGAGGTCACTAAGTTTGTGACAGAGGTGGAACTTGAACAAGCAAGATTTCCTGATGGAAAACGTACTCTTTCCACTATGCCACAGGCACTTTGAAGTAAGAACTCAAAGTACAGTCTCCTGTCAATAAGGCAGTATTTATCTGCCTCATTCTTTTCCATAACTAAAGTATAATTGACATAAAATATTATATTAGTTCCAGATGCATAATATAATGATTTGATATTCATATATATTACAAAATGATCGCCACAGTAAGTCTAGTTAACATCCATCACCATACATAGCTACAGAATTTTGTTTCTTATGAATCTGAAAATATTGGGGCTTTCTAGCAGCTTTATTGAAGTATAATTGGAAATAGACTACACATGTTAAAGTTAAGTTTTGACATATGTATGCACCTGTGAAACACCATCAGCTCAATCAAAATAATGGACATCACCTTTAAAAGTTTTCTCAATCCTTCCCACCCCTCCCCACTTAGTGCTTTGTCACTATAAATTAGTTTGTATTTTCTAGAGTTTTATGTAAATGGAATCACATAGTAGGTATTCCTTCTTGTCTGGCGTTAGAGTAATTATTTTGAGATTCATTCATGTTGGTGTTTGTGGCAATAGTTCCATCCTTTTTCTTGCTGAGTAATAGTCCATAGTCAGCATTCTATCTAATAAGAGTAACATGCAAATTAATCATCACTTTGCAATAAAAATGGTCACACCCACAGCAAATAAGGGGGGAATATGCAAATTGATGGGCCAAAATGGTGGTACTGCCAGCAGTGCCTGACAGAAGAGCAGAGAGGGAGATGGGTGGGAAGGCTTGGCATCCTTGATTGCCCCAGCGATCAGGACGCCAAGCCTGATGGGAAAGCTGAGCAGGAGAGTGCTTGGGAGAAGGCTTGGCATCCTGGATCGCCCCAGAGCAGAGCAGAAGATGGACTGGAAGGCTTGGTGTCCTGAGTCATTGAGGAGGGCAGTTGGGGAGACCAGACCTGCAGGGGAGGGCAGTTAGGGGCAATTAGATCAGCAGGGGAGCAGTTAGGCATCAATCAGGCTGACAGGGGAGTGGTTGCAGGTGATCAGGCTGGCAGGCAGAAGTGGTGAGGGGCAATCAGTCTGGCAGCCAGAAGTGGTGAGGGGCAATCAGGCAGGCAGGCAGGCAGGAGAGCGGTTGGGAGCCAACAGTCCTGGATTGTGAGAGGGATGTCCACTGCCCGCTTAGGTCCAATCTCACTGGTGGGATTGGGCCTAAACAGGTAGTTGGACATCTCTTGAAGGGTCACAGATTGGAGAGGGTGTAGGATGGGCTGAGGGACACACCTCCACTCCTCGTGCACGAATTTCGTGCACTGAGCCTCTAGTATATTATAATTTGCTCATCTGTGGATGGATATTGATGATGTTTCCAGTTTGGGGTATCTACAAATAAAGCTGCTATAATTATTTGTGTTCAAGCCTTTGTGTGGACATAAGCTTTCTTTTATCTTAGATAAAAACATCTAGAAGTGGAATGGCTACATCATATGCCATGTGTATGTTTAATCTTTTGAGAAACCGACGAACTGTTCTCTAACTTGGTTGTACCATTTTACACTCCCAACAACAGTATATGTGTTCTAGTTCCTTACATCAGGGGTGGGGAACCTTTTTCTGCCAAGGGCCATTTGGATATTTATAGTATCATTCAAGGGCCATACAAATTATCAACTTAAAAATTAGATTACTATATTTGGTCATTTAATGAACTCGCCCCTGATGCCTTGGCAAGGCCCAACAAAAATGATTCCATGTGTCTTATATAGCCCTAGGGCTGGATGTTCCTTCCCCTGCTCTACACCCTCACAAACACCTGATACTGACACTCTTTACTTTTAGCCATTCTAACAAATGTGCAATGATACTTCATTTTAATTTCAATTTGTATTTCACTGATGGACTAATGATGTATAGGTATCTTTTCATATACTTATATGCTATCTATTTCTCTTTAATGAAGTATCTGTTCAAATTTTTTTATTATGTCTTAATTGACTTGTTTATTTTCTTATTATTGAGTTTTGAGAGTTCTTATACATTCTATAAAGTTTTATGCAAATGTAAAACACAAATCTTTAAATTTGCTAGAAGAAGACATAGGAGAAAAACATTGCAACCTTGGGTTAGGCAAAAGATTTAAAAAAAAAAATAATTCTTTATTGTTGAAAGTATTACATATGCCCCCCTTTTCTCCCCACTGATCCCCTCTAGCCCATCCTCTGTTCCTTGCCCCAGGCCCTCACCACCCCCTTGTCTGTGTCCACGCACCATGCAGATATGTATACTAGGTCCTGGTTGATTAACTCCCACTCACCCCCTCTCCCCCCACTGCCTTCCCTCTGAGAATCTGTACTCTGTTCCATGCTTTCATGTCTCTGGATCCACTCATTCATCAGTTTATTTTGTTACCTAGAGTCCACATATGAGTGAGATCATATGATTTGTCTTTCTCTGACTGATTTATTTCACTTAGCATGATACTCTCCAGGACACTCCATGCTGTCTCAAAAGGTAAGAGATTCTTCTTTTTTACTGCTGCATAGTATTTCATGGTATAAATGTACCACAGATTTTTTTTTATCCACTCATCTACTGATAGGCACTTGGGGTATTTCCAGATCTTAGTTATTGTAAATTATGCTGAACAGCCCTAATCAGTTTAGCTCAGTGAATAGAGCGTTGGCCTGCAGACTGAGGGGTCCCAGGTTCGATTCCGGTCAAGGGCATGTTCCTTGGTTGCGGGCACATCCCTAGTAGGGGGTGTGCAGGAGGCAGCTGATCAATGTTTCTCTCTCTCATCAATGTTTCTAACTCTCTGTCCCTCTCCCTTTCTCTCTGTAAAAAGTCAATAAAATATATATTTTTAAAAATTATGCTGAACATAGGAGTGCATACATTCTTTCTGATTGGTATTTTAGTTTTCTTAGGATATATTTTTGGAAGTGGGATCGATGGGTCAAATGGCAGTTCTATATTTGATTTTTTGAAGAATCTCCATACTGTTTTCCATAATGGCTGCACCAGTTTGCATTCCCACAAGCGTGTACTGGGGTTCCCTTTTCTCCACATTCTCATCACCACTTAAGAGCTTAATATTTCAATTTTCTTGAACTTGTAGAGACTTGTTTTGTGTCCTCACATGTTATCTATCTTTGTGAATGACCCATGAATCAGGGTGTGGACTTGTCTAGGTTTTTCTTGCTTGGGATTCTGTGCCTTCTGAGCTTGTATGACATTTTCCTTCACCAGGTTAGGGAAGTTTTCTGCCATTATTTCTTTAAACACACTCCCTATCCCTTGCTCACTTTCTTCTCTTCTGGCACTCATATTATGTGAATATTGTTATGTTTCATGTTGTCTCATAGCTCCCTTAACTGTTCCTCTTGTTTTTTTTCTTTTTTGTTTCTTGGATTGAGTGATTTTTTTTCTGCCTGTCTTCTAACTCACTGGTCTGATCTTCGGTTTCCCTTAATCTGCTGTGTAGTCCTTCCAATGTTTTTTTTTTTTTTTTTTTGTATCATTTCTGACTGGTCTTTTTTCTTAGTTACTATATCTTCTTCCATGCTGTTGAGCATCTTTGCTATCATTATTCTGAACTCTATATCTAGTAAATTTCTTATCTCTATTCTCTTCTTCTGGAGAATTCACTTGTTCTTTCATTTGGGCTTGTTTTTTGTTTTTTGGTCTTCCCTTTTTGGCTGCCCTTTGGATTTGTGTCTATGTATTAGATAGATATTCTATGACTCTAGTGCAGGATGATGTCAGATGCCTTTTCTAACTGGCCCTGAGTATCCTATTTAGAGCAATCAGTAACCCACAGCTTGTGGCTCACTCTGCTGGGGGCAAGCAGACCCAAGATGTGCACCAGGGTCTGCTTTTTATAGCCCCTCAGCCAGAAGAATCAAGCAAAGATTCAGAGCCTCCAGAGCTCCTCCTCTGCCTGCAGTCCAACTGACAATCAGTCTTAATTAGCCTCAGGCTATTGATCATAGGGTTGGGGGAGAGATCTTCCAACATGGTGGGGCAACTGCCTTTCCCCCAGGAAAAAACTGCCTGGATAGCAAAGGTCTGTGAAGAAAGACCACTCTTAGCATGGGGGTAGACCCTGGAATTCTCAGTGGGAATTCCCTGGAGCTGTGATATCCCTCTGGACCTTCATCTGCTGTTTGTGGGAGCCCGGCCAGCCCTTTTGCATCTCCATACTTTCTACCGGTCTCTATGCTATCTCTGCTTTCCATTCTTGGTTATCAGAGTTCACTCCAGCCAGTCTTTAGCTGAGCTTTCAGGTTGATTTTTCTGTATTTTAGTTGTATTTCCAGTTTGGTCCTGATAGAATGTAAGTGTAGCTTCCTCTTATTCTGCTGCCGTTTTCAATCTCTTTATTTTTATTTTAATTCTTCATTGTTTAAAGTATTACATATGTTTCCTTTTCCCCCCCTTGACCTCTCCCCAGCCACTCCCACCTCCCAGCTGTCAATCATCCCCCTACTGTCTGTGTCCATTGGTTTTGCCATTTATAATCTCTTAAGGTGGTTTTTAACTTCATAATTTATCCAGGCGCACCCAAGTTTCTTCTTTTACCTTCTTACTGACTACTTGTCTACTAGTTACCTGCTGGCCACTCTTTCAGAACATAATTAGAGGGAATTAGAAAGGAGGGGAACATCAATTTTGTATCATATTAACTATTCCAAAGGACAGACAAAGAAAATGATATTGTTTATAAAGATTATATATTTGCATCACTCCTTTATGGACTAACAAATATAATCAAGAATTAGTCACTCCTATATAATTCTTGAGGACTACACTGTGTATTACTCATTTTGTATCTTCCGTTTAGCATTGTTTTTGGCACATGATCACTACTCAAGAAAAGTTTCTTGAATTAACGACTAAGTGTCCAATATAAAAATAGGAAGACCAACTTTATCTCTGGCTCTTCATATAACTCTAAAACAAACCACAAGATCACCATTGGGAATGAATATAATTTCCCAACTTTTAAATATAGTTTTTTGTTGGCTTGCTTAAGTCACATAATTTTGAGGGCAGGAAATAAGTGCCAGAACTGGAACTGGAAAATATACATGGAACATATTATTAAAAAGCCAGCAGTGATGTGGCTCAGTGGTTGAGTGTTGATCTATGAACCAGGAGTCACGGTTTGACTCCCCGTCAGGGCACATGCCTGGGCTGTGGGCTTGATCCCCAGTTTGGGGCATGTAGGAGGCAGCCAGTAAATGATTCTATGTCATCACTGATGTTTCTTTCTCTCTCTCCCCCATTCTCTCTGAAATCAGTAAGAAAAAAAAAAAAAATAAAAAAAAAATAAAAAAAATAAATATATATATATATATATATATATATATATATATATATATATATATATATATTTTTTTTTTTTTTTTAAAGAAAAGCCAGCAGCTTTATAATTTTACCTGTGGGAAATAAAGATTTAATTAAAATTACCAACATTTGGCAATTCATGATAGCTGTACCTTAAGGTGGCGCTTTGTTGGCTGCATATACTGTCCTAACGTCAAACAGTCCACATCTGCCTCACGAAGTGCTTGGAAAGGGGAAAAAAAAATTATATTAGCAGATGCTTCTATGAAGCTAAAATTCTACATTTAAGCATAATTTTCCAGAAAGTAATTTTACTATAGAACAGTGTGAACTTTATCCTGGCCTACAATCCTGATGTTGGAAAATAAGACTGTATCCATTCATTCAAAGGTATTTATGTGTCGGGAGATATGGTAAAACAAGACTGAAAACAAGAATGATTAAGACAATCATGTGGGGCTGATATAAGGATGAATGACTCCAGGAATATGGAATAAATGTTAAAATAGGGTTGGAAAGTATCTAGAACAGGAGTCTGTTAGGCAGAAAAGATGAAAAGAACTGTATATCAAAGGCCCCAAAACACCCATATTGTAGACACCCACATGTTATACTAGAGGCCTGGTGCAAGAAAACTCATGCACAGTAGGGGGAGCGTCCCTCAGCCCAGCCTGCTCCTCTCACAGTCCAGGAGCCCTCAGGGGCAGGAGGTGACCTGGAGGTCAGGGGAAGGTGATACCTCCATCACACCTCTGCTGCTGCCATTGCCAACAGTTGGCCCTGGTTATCTCAGCCTTGGGAAGCCCTGGGCAACTGGGCAGCCGCCATCCGAGGCTTGCCTGCACCTCAGGCCAGCCCTAGGCACCCCAATCTTGTGGCTGTGGGTGCTGCCATTTTGAGGGTGTAGCAGTCAATTGGCATATTCCCACCTTATTGACTGTGAGTGCCACCATGTTTGTGAGGTCAATGAGTATATTCCCTCTTCATTAGGATAATATAAGGCTTTAGGTAATTGTACAAGGTATGCACTGAAGATGTGATTTGATCTCTGACTTCAGAATCTTTCTAGTAAAACTTTATGAACTGTGATAAAGAGAAGCTTTCAAGTACTATTTGAACTCATTACCCTTTGAAACAATAAATAGCTACAAGAAAGCATACTTTCAGATAAAATAAAAGCTGTTATATTTAAAAATTTAAAAAGCCTAAGAATCACAAAGCAAATGAGCTTATGGGACTTATAAGTCCAAAATATACCATGTTATGTGACAATATTACCAGTAAGCTCTTCCTCAAAGGCCCGGATTCATCTTACTCATCTTTGAACTGTCAGTGCTGGCCAGAGCACCTGGTACCTGGATGGCTTTCAAAAATTGTCCAACTGAACAAGAAAAGTGGACACAATCATGTTTTTACTTGATACAAGGGCAGAAAATAAAATGGGATGCAAATTTCATATCTTGACCTTCTTGCATATCATTCCACAAAATTCTAAGAAAACATATACCCTTCCCTTTTTACGTTACTGTTTATAAGCATATACTGTACTTAATTCTTACTGGAACTTTCACTAAGATTATGGAGGGAATCATACGGGGCCTTCTAAGGGGGGATCCTGTTCAGCTAGTGTGGCTCAGTGTTAGCGCATCGGCCCATGAAGCAGAAGGTCACAGTTCAATTCCCAGTCAGTGCATGTGCTCAGGTTGTGGGCTCCATCCCCAGCAGAAGGCATGCTGGAGGCAGCCCATCAATGATTCTCTCTCATCATTGATGCTTCTATCCCTCTCTCCCTTCTTCTTTGGAAAAAAAAAAAAAAAAAAAAATGGGGTTCCCGCCCTACCTGGTTTGGCTCAGTGGATAGAGCATCGGCCTGCAGACTCAAGGGTCCCAGGTTAAATTCCCATCAAGGGCATGTACCTTGGTTGCGGGCACATCCCCATTAGGAAGTGTGGAGGAGGCAGCTGATCTCTCATCGGTGTTTCTAACTCTCTATCCCTCTCCCTTCCTCTCTGTAAAAAAAAAATAATAAAATGTATATTTTTTAAAAGTGGGTTATACAAATGAAATGATAAAGAGTTTTAATTTTCAATTCCTTTACCTTTCATTGTTGCGTATACTTGCTCATCGTCCTCGCCTAAACCCAACATGATAGACGTTTTAGAAATGACATCAGGCTGAACCTCCTTGGCGTGCTTGAGGACCTGCAGAGACTGCTCGAAATTGGCCCTGGGATCACGAACTTTCCTTGAAAACAGCAGGGCTGTTGTCAGCAACAATAACCACAAGCTCAACTAAGCACATAGTTATGTAAGCAATATGAAAGACCAGGAAAGTACATTCTGGACGTTACATTACATTATATGGTTCAGCGGTAAAATTTGTGCACCAAAGTCTAACTATTACTTTAGGACAGAAAATAAGGCTTTGCTTGGCGCCCTTGCTGTTGACTTTTAAGGCCTTTCAAGTCTGGGGCAGAGAAAACTAAAGTAAAAGTAATTCAATTTAGGAAGTACTTGAGGAGAAGCTAGAATTCTGAAGCTGAGAGTACGTGACTATAAGGGGTAATAAAGAAAAAAAGGCAAAAGAGTGGAAGAAAATCTCCACACTGAACAAAGAAAAAACTGTTTAACGTCAACCCACATTTCAGGGCTGAAACTTTTATAATCTTTCGAAAGACTGGGCTGCCCTCTGCTGGTAAGTATACAACATTGGCATCTCCTAGTTTAAAAAAAAAATGCAGGATTCTGGAATTTTCACTGGAAAGGATAATGTTTCCTAAGTGAAAACAGGGAAACTGGCACCCACTGGTGTGGTATGAGGAGATAGGACAGGGCCAGACTTCAACGGGGGCCAAACCACATGGTTTAAATTGGGACAAGGCCCAATGGATAGAAATTGCTGATGTTAGCCTGGCTGGTATGGCTCAGTAGTTGAGCATCAACCTATGAACTAGAACCAGGAAGTCATGGTTCAATTCCTGGTTAGGTCACATGCCCCAGTTAAAGGCGTGCAGGAGGTAGTGATCAATGATTCTCTCTCATCATTAATATTTATATTTTCCTCTCCCTTCCTCTCTGAAATGGATAAAAATATATATGTTTAGAACTGCTGATGTTAAACCAGGATTCATTTGAATTCAAAAGCAACCTTTATTTTGGGTAATTGACTTGTTGTTGTGGTTGTCATTTTTAACCAGAGACCAGTTCACTGGGAAGAGAGGAAACCAATTTATGAGTTAAAAAATAACCACAAAACTGATAATACAGAAAGTCATTATTTTCTGAAAGTATTTCTCCACTGAATTTAAATTATGCTCACTAATGTTTATGATTTAGTGGAAATGATGGTTATTCTTTGTCATACTTCTTTCAAGTTCTATTATAATGTCTATAAATTAACAAAACCATTGTCAAAACTTTACTAAAATTAATAAAAATGAATGTTAAAGGTTAAAATAATTTTTTTGAAATATGAGCATAGTCACAATGTGGAATAACAATCTATAATTATTCCTAACCACTAAAATTTTTAGAAAAAGTAAAGAAGTATAGTGTCTACTTTTTAAGAGAGATTTAAAATACATCTGAATACCATTTTTCTTTGTCTTCATTTATTGCATATCTTAATGCCAAATGCATTTTATAGAATTTTTGTTTGTTTCTTTTTTTTAGAATTACACTCAAAGTAATTGCTCGTGTGTAATTTTTTTTAACACTGTTCCTTGAAAAAAATAACATATTGGCATTTCTAATAAGATACCATCAAAAAGAGCAAAAAAAGTTGCTCATTTTGTGGGTATAGCAAAACTTACAATGCATAAATATATAAGATATTTATACATGGGTGTTGAAAATTGATATTATTGGGTAGAAATATTATGGGTGATGATCACATTCTTTCGTTGGCAATATTATCTAATTTTTCTATCATAGGCTTATTTATGTGGTTTTTGTTAAAAAAAATTCACTGTATAAAAGACTATTACAAAGTTCTCCTTTGAAAAAAGTGAGAAAACATTCCAATATTACTCTGTATGTGTAATCACCTCTGTAATTCTGGAACTGTTTCTACATTATGTGCATATACATCTAATCCTGACAGAGCCACTTTTTCTATTGCTTTAAGGTCTCCTCGGAAATCAGGAGTGAGACATTCCACAAGAATTTTTGGATTCCTAAAGGAAAAAAAGATAAGCATTAAACTGGGAAGAAGAACTGACATAGTTGCTGCTCAAAACAGAAATCACCCCACACATTCTGTATCACTTTCAACATAGTAATCTTTAGAACCCTGCCCCCAAAAGCATGAACATACAAATGTTTATATCTGAAATTGTTTAATGAAAAAAATAAATCCAGAACATCAAATAATATGTACACAGTGGTTAAAATACACCTGTAAGCAAATAACAATCAGGATACATTTTGAGACTGTGCAGATATTTAAGCATTACTAAGAAGGCATGTAAAAATATATATTTTTAAGGGATTAAAATATAAATGTTAAGACATTAAATATAAAATGTCTTTTAATTTTTAGAAAGTAAATTGGGATATTTCTATGTGAATGTAAACATTATTTGATTGCTTTAATTTTTATTTATTTTAAAATTCATCAAATAGGACTTTCCTCTCTCCCTCTAGGCAAATATTTCACAAGTGCTAAGGGCTTTAAAAGTGATTCTGAGTTGCAGAGTCAAGTTGAGCTTTGCTTAAATAAAATGTAAGCTAAATATTAAACTTCCTATATATATTGGCTATATCTATGTATTCAAGCACTGAACTGTGAACTAGCTCATAGAGCTCTTTCTCTGACAGCAGTAAAATGACTGGGACAGCTGACAAATTTTTCCACAAACCCAGCTGCAAAGTTTCTGGAGCTGTTTCCTAAGAGAACAGATGTAAAAAAAATACAGGTACCCTCTCATCGATATAAAAGGTATTAAAAGAACACATCCTATAACTCACTGTTTGTTAACTGCAAGTTGAAACCCATTAGTAGTTTGTGAAATCAATTTAATAGGCTGCAAACAAACATTTTTTTTATGAATTATACAATATGTTAAATAGAAAATATTACAGGAATCATTGAAGAAACATTTACTAAGTATGTAGGTATTAGACTAGCACTGAGCTATAGGAAATAGGCATAACTCCCTTTCTAAATCTTTTTAAATGGACAAGATTAAAGTCGAAAAAATGTGGATTATGGGTAAAATTCCAAGGACATATAAATACAGATAAACTCTATATCAAGACTTACATATTTTTATAATGCGGGAGCTTATCTCATTCTTATTCCTTCTAGCTGATGATTTATTCAAAATCAGTGCTAGGAAGACTGCAGCTTTATACTTCTTTTAAAATTACTCAAAGGAAGTTTAGACTAGCACCAATACAAAGCAAGGCTCTATGCAAAGGTTCATGGATGAGTTCGTGTCCCCGAATCCCTAAAATTTCTGCAAGTAAGTATCTGTATGTTCACATATACTTTTTTCTGGCAGATAATTTCCAGCAGATTATCAGAGGGATTTATAACATCCCCCGCCCCCCACCAAAAAGAAAAAAAAAAAAGCGTTAATAGCTATTGCTTTGAAGTAAAGACCATACTGAATTTGTATGAGACAAAAAAAGTCCTTAAATTAAACAAGTACCTTTCCTTTAAGTATGATACAGTCTTTGCAAAGTGCTCAGCTCCTCCATCAGGCAAATCTAGAAACAAGAGAGCCCACTGCTCAAGGTGATGCCACAAATTAGTAAGAGCCAATTTCTGGAAGAGGTAATAACGACACTAACCATCTCGATCCACAGATGTCAGGACAACATAATCCAGGCCCCACTCTGCTATTGCCTTTGCAGTATTGTAGGGCTCATTGGCATCTAGTGGTGGTGGCTTTCTTGCAGTCTTAACAGAACAAAATCTGCATCCTCTTGTACATGTGTCACCCATCAACTAAAACAGAGATGTTACAATTTCAATCAAGTAGATAGATGACCCTCAAGAATACAATGTTGAGAGGATAAAGTTACAAAGAATGAATACAATTTTATTCTGTTTATAAGAAATTTGAACCATTCAAAGCTAAGCAATATAGTTAAGGGACACAAATATAATGTGGTAAAATTAGAAAAAAAAAAAAAAGGAAATGATAAACTCAGGACTAAGAATGGTGCTAAAGAAAAAAGAAAGGGGATGGGATCAGCAAAGAATGCATAGGTGGGTTCAAAGATAATGCTAATGTTCTACTCTCAAACTGGAGGAATGTGGTTATTTGCTATATTGATATTCTTACACATAAGTTATAAAGATTCTTTTGTATCTACTTAATATTAGTAAAATGATTTAAAAGAAATATTTAATGAACATCAGTATGCAGGTCTATGGAAATTAAATAGAAGGCACAGCTCCTTCTTGTTAAAGAGATGAAACAGAAAACACATAAAAAGTTAGTAATCTGCTTTCTGTGGGTATCGCTTTCCCCAGGGCACTGCTCTGCTGCCACAGGTCACTACCATGCCTGCCCGCTGCAAGCACAGCCATTGCAGATGTTCTGTAGGGGCTGTAGTTTTGGGGAGAAAGCTCCTCTCCCCCTTTAACTCTCTCAGAGGGGACTCACAGCAATGATGCTTAGGCCCAATGTCTCAGAGTTTTACTTAAACAATGAACTCTCCCCAGGAATCAGTTAAACAGTGGGAAAGGGATCTTGTAAGCAGTGAAGTCAGAGATCCCCATCATGGAGTATTCAGAATTACTCCTTCAAGAACTGAGGTTGTGTAACTTGGATAAGCTCCTGGTTGGCTCTGCATTATAAGGAGTTCTATCTCCTTGGTCGGCAAACTGGCTCTACAGCCACATGCGGCTCTTTGGCTCCTTGAGTGTGGCTCTTCCACAAAATACCACGGCCTAAGCGAGTCTATTTTGAAGAAGTGGCATTAGAAGAAGTTTAAAAAATTTGGCTCTCAAAAGAAATTTCAATCTTTGTACTGTTGATATTTGGCTCTGTTGACTAATGAGTTTGCCGACCACTGCTCTATCTCATAAGAATCCCCACTTCAAGTAAATAGCCTCCTGCTGGTACAATTCAATGGTTTATCAGAACTTCCCAGACAAATATGAATTCTCAGTTGCACATAATACAGGTTAACCTCAATAGCTCTATGTCCATACCCCTCTGGATAAATATGATAGACTGCACTGTTAATCCCAATTCTTAGGCAACCATATATATATATTTTTAAAAATATATATATTTTATTGATTTTTTTAGAAAGAGGAAGGGAGAGAGAAAGCGAGCTAGAAACGTCGATGAGAGAGAAACATCGACCAGCTGCCTCTTGCACACCCCTACCGGGGATGTGCCCGCAACCAACGTACATGCCCTTGACTGGAATCGAACCAGGGACCTTTCATCCGCAGACTGACGGTCTACCGCCGAGCCAAACCGGTTTTGGCAGGCAACCATATTAAGGTTATACATCTCACCATTTGCCATGTAAAATGCAGTCTCCCCACCCCGCTCCACACACACATGGGATGAGGAATTTATGTGTCTATCCCAACTGATGTTTGTCTTGGCTATGTGACTTAATTTGTCCAATAAAATGATAGCAGGCATGACCAAGCAGAAAGCTCAAATGCACATAGATGATTGGCTTCCCCTCTTGTACTCCTTCCATTCTCTGTAAGAATATCCCAAAGAGCTGCTGGTCTAAGGTAAATAAAGCTCTGTAGAGGAGACCTGAACCCAACCTACTTCCTGGAATTTAGCTTAGCTCAGTCAAGATCAGTGGAACCCCAGCCAACCAAAAGCCTATGAGAAAAATAAATTCTTATTGATTAGAGAGAAAAAGAAGTTCAGCAACCATAAGTAACATTTCCAAAACAATAGAAGATATAGCTCAAGACAGCACATAATTAACTGTCAGACAGATGGAAAATTCAACAACAGACTTATTCAGAGAAGGGAATAACAGGTCGGTTTATTTTGTCAGGGTTCCCCCCCTCCCCCCATGCATTTCGCAAAACTTCATGTGAAATGAAAAATCTAACAGAGGCACGTAATGCATATTTTTAGGAGAAAGACCTAAAACATTTCCTTCCAATTTCTAGACTAAAGCTCTAGAGTTTGATACTGGTCTTACCATGATTGTGGCTGTAGCAGAAGCATATTCTCCACCTCCCCAACACTCTCCAATATTGGGGCATCGAGCTTCCTCACACACCTGAGAGTAAAAGGGAACCGAATACAACCAGGCTGAAAGTATTTACCAACTGAACAAATGAGTGACCAGGCATTTTACCTGTACATCTTTATAACATGAAGAAATTCACTACTTAAAAATGCTGTTAGTTGCCAAACTGTCTTTATTAAGTTAAAAACTATATGAATGTATACATTTTATATGTGCAAAGAAATGGAACAGTTAAAGTGATATATTGAACAGTTAAAGTGATATAATTAACATTTGGGATTATGTATACGATGTTTCACATTTATCTTTATACTCTTTCCTACAAGCATGTTCTTAACTTGTAATATAAAACAAACAAACCCTCATTTCCTAAGACTCAGGAAAATCTTTTTTTCCCCCCTACTATTAAATGAGAAGCTAAGAAATTCAATAACTTTTAAAAATTTTTTTATTAATCCTCCCCAGAGAATATTTTTCCATTGATTTTTAGGGAGATTGAAAGAGAGAGGGAAAGACAAAGAGAAATATAGATGTGAGAGAAACGCATCGTTTGGTTGCCTCCTGAATAAGTGTGATCAGGGCCTGTGCTGGGGAGGAGCCTGCAACTAAGGTACATACCCTTGACTGAAATCGAACCCCGTACCCTTTGATCAGCAGGTCAACATTCTATCCACTGAACCAAACCAGCTAGAGCTTCTATTCTTTTTGTTTCTTTTGTAGGGAAAATAATTTTTAAATTTATTTCCATTATTAATAGTATTCTATCCTAAACACTTTCCTTACTGTTATTGCTATATAAGTTTTAAGTTACACATGTAGAAAGTGGGTAAGAGAAATATGATAACTTACTGTATGGAGATTTAAATTTCGCAAAGTATTTTTCAGTTTATTATAATTTTTCCCCATGGGAATCTTTGTCTTTAGCCATGGAGGTAGTCTTAACCTGAGGAAAATGAAAACTATCCATTAACAAACATATCCCCAAATAATCATACAGCTTTGATCTATTAATTCATCTAATAATCATTCGTTGATCTATTAATTCCTGGTTAAGCCCCCCCCCCCATTATTCTGAATTAACTTATAATTTTTTGCCATAGAAGAAAGAACAGGGTTTCAAATTTAGGCTTGCTCAAATACTTTAGGAAACACTGATATTTGTGTCTAACAGGACACTATGCTCATGTCTATCATTTGCAAAGGCACAGAATAATACCATCCTAATAAAAAAAAAGAATGAGGAAGTTTTGAACATCTCATTTCCCAATGAAAAAGGATTTTTTCAGATTAAGGAGGACTTTCTGCTCTTTAATTTTTGATTTTTATGTTGATTATTAAATGAGAAAAATCTGAAATTTGAAATGTAATAATCTGAATAAAGATTTATTTTTTTAAATGCCCCCCCAAACAAAACAAAATAATTTGTCCTCTGCATGAAATTCCCTCACCATTCTTTTAAATTTAAATTAAGTCAAGATATCCATAAGTCATATGTACATAGACTTCGAGAAGCTCAAGTTAGATCATAAACACCCAATTACAATGAAAAATTTAACAAAGTCTAATAGATTAGTAGTAAGGTAATAACCTTCACTTTCTGAAGAAATTTGATGAGGAATAGAAAAAAGGAGATGGAGGTGTAGGATGGTTCATCCCTAGAAAGGGTGAAGGAAAATTATCAAAGAGCATAGAAAAAAGTATTTAAATTTCACCTACTTACCTATTCTATGTCTGTTATCACTTCCTTTTAATAATTTTAAGCTAAATTTAACAAGTCTGGTTAAAAATATACTCTAAGGTTTGGTTATATCTTAAAACAATGCAAGATGAATGAATGGGACATTAAAATGATCTCAAAATTTCAGTTACCTTTCTCCTTTCTGGCGCTTTAAGTTTCCTTTATATTCTTCCCAGGTGCTCTTGTCTGCCAGATCACCAGACATAAAATCTTGAAGGTCTGGTCCATTTTGTAAAAATTCCTTTTTTTTATCTGGCAAGGAACTTACTGCTCTGACTGGATTGCATAAATATTTTCCAAATGCCTAAAGAGTTCATTATGACATTTATTTAGTGGGGTTTGGAATCATTTACTTACTATTTATTTAATACCCCCTTTCCCCACCAGCCTGCAGATACCAAAATATGAGGATGCTCAAGTCCCCTTCATTAAACGAATTGGATCAATGTATACAATCCTACCTTCCCACCAGGATTCGTAAATGCAGACAGAAGAAGGAAAAAAAATCCCCGTATTTTGGGCTTGTGCAGTTCAGACCCTTGTTGTTCAAGGGTCAACTGTACATTTGTTGACCATAAGAAACCACTAGCCTCTAGATGTGCACACAAACGGGACAAGATAACCCAAACACCACAAAAGTCACTAGCCAGTACACCTAATGCAAAAGAATCTTAAACACTTTAAGAAGAGCGTCTGGTAATGGTGCTGCACGATTGCTACAGCTTTTGTCCTTGTCTCTGCGAAAGCCTACAGCACAGGTCTGTGTGCTCAGTGTTCAGAGTGGTGTCAACTACATCCTATATGAAAAATGTCTAATAAGCTAAGTGTCCAGTCATACATTCAATCAAAGCATATGCTAATAAGGCCACTCAACCGCTCTCTATGACGTGCACTCATCATCAGGGGCCAGATCCTCCAACTTGCAGGATAGCCTGCTGCTGAGGTCCAGCTGGCAAAACCCTGGGCCCTCCAGCGGTCACTCCCCAGCTGGCCAATCTTCCCCTTCCCTTCCTGGTCCCAATCGTGCACCCCTCGCAATCCCGGCTGAGGGACCAGTCTCTCCCCGGCCCCCCCATCCGCCGCGCAAGAATCTGGCCCCTGGGTACTAAATAATAAGGGGTGCTCAAGGCAGGGCTCCTATAATTGCTCCAAAAAGTGCAGGGTTCAAATCAGTGATAAACAGAGAGAAAAGCTCTCGGTGAGGGCCACAGAACCTACAAAGAAACCAGTACCAGAGGCTGTACCACACAGGGGTGCTGGGAGCATTAAATGATACCACACGAAAAGAGATTAGAACCCGACGGGCATTGCTCAGCAGTCGGGCGGGCCCATTCCCGGTTAAGGCACCAGCAGGGCTTTGGGCTAGATCCCTAGGGGTGGATAGGGGGGGGCGGTGCAGGAGGCAGCCAATCCACGATCCTCTCTCCTTGCTGCGCCTCTCCCACTCTCCCTCTCCTTTCCTCTCTGAATCAAAATTATATGGTATAGTAGATTTTTAAGAAGCAGCACCTATTATGTCTATCCCGACGTCCCTGAGAATAGAGCAATTTGTTGCTTCCATAAAAAAAAAAAAAAAAGATTAGAACAGTCAGTGACGGGAAGGAAATGATCAGAAATTGTTGGCCTTAGTAATGGGCGCGCTAAAGAGAACGGAGTCCCCCACTCCCCCGCCCGCGCCCTGAAATCCCGCCGCTCACCTGGGGCCTCACGCTGCGGACGACCACCCCACATCGGAGAGACATCCCCCTCTTTGGTGTTCCAGCAGGGTCCCCGGATTTAAATACGAGGACAGTCCTCTTAGTACTTATGACAGATGACCTTAACCACCAATGAACCTGCGGAACTTGAAGCTGGCTCGCGATTGGCTGCTTTTAGCCGAGCGGCGTCGCGCACCGATGACGTCACGCGCAGGGGCCCTTACGGCTACAAGAACGTGATGACGAAAGACGCTTCCTCTTTGCCGCATCTACTGCGAGGTGAGCTCATGTCCGTATTCGGTGGGCCTTGGGAATCTGAAGCCATCGGCTCTGGGAAGACCTGCAGCGCCGGTGCGGCGCTCGGAGGCTTCATCCTGGCTGTTTCCCCGCGCGGCGAGCCCTATCTGGATTTGGCGGCGCTGGGATTCGAGCTCTGTCCGGGCTGTGAGGCCTACCCCCCCACCCCCCGCCCCTCAGCCCTGCCGGGATGGCGCCTTGCTGATAGGGCTTCCCGGGTGGCGCCGGGTCGGAGTTAGTCCGCTGGGCCTCGTGTCACCGGCTTGTAGCTCGCAGGCCAGCACGCACCCGGGACCTCGGGGCGCCTCTCTCTCCCGGTTGCTCCACCCGTGTCCTCCCCGGGGGTTTTGCCTGCCGGTCTCCGGAGGATGAGAAGCTCTGGGCAGGGTCGTTTGGGCGAACATTGGCCCGGCTCAGGTCTTACCCCGAGTGTTTGTGTTTCAGGATGAAGACCATTCTCAGCAATCAGACTGTGGACATCCCGGAAAATGGTAGGGGACCTGAGGTTTTAGCCTTTTTCTTTCGCCTTTACTGCGCGCTCTGTGCCCGGCCCCGCCGCCTCACCAATGCCTTCTCTCCTAGTGGACATCACCCTGAAGGGGCGCACTGTGATTGTGAAGGGCCCCAGAGGCACCCTGCGGAGGGACTTCAACCACATCAATGTGGAGCTCAGTCTCCTCGGAAAGAAGAAGAAGAGGGTAGGTTTTTGTTTTTCTGTGTGTGTGTGTGTGTTTATGACACCTTCATTGCTTGTTTTGGAAGGTTGTGATTTAGTAACAGCATACGTGGCTGCTTTCAAAATGACAGAATTGAGGTTTACATTGAGCTGAAAATTTGGTGTCAAAGATTGTAGGTAGTTTTACCGAAGTTGGAGAAGCAAATTTCCGAAGAGTGGGCTGTTAAGCTCCGGGTTCCTCGGGATTGTTTTGTGTAAGAATCTTCGGAGTAGGCAGTTGGCTTTTTGCACTTAGCATTTTAGCTTTCTAAAAGTGAAGTTTTGTAAAATTATGTGCCTGTGATGAGCAGTGATAACTTAATTATTGAAGGATATATATATATATATATATATATACACACACACATATATAATTTGCAATTAAAATGCATGCGCTTTATTTAGGCCTAATGTTACAATGGAAAGTAATTCTCTGGGTAAATGGACTTTTCTGCCAATTTACTTACTGCTGAAAAGAATCTGCTAAAGTTTTTATTCTGTTACAGCTCCGGGTTGACAAATGGTGGGGAAATAGAAAGGAACTGGCTACAGTTCGTACCATCTGCAGTCATGTACAGAACATGATCAAGGGTGTTACACTGGTAAGCAAATGGATCAGACAACTTGTTAAGGGGTGGCTGTACTTGGAGGCAGCATAAGTGTCTACATGTGATTTACTGAAATTTCTGAGCTTTAGAATGTGGGAAAAGATGATCTTAGCAAAAGTGTTTACTTAGAGTCTCCTTTAAGTCTTTGGGGTTACGTGATTGATGCAAGGAAAGACCAAATTGTCTTAGTGGGTCTGATGGTGTTTTTCACAGAAAATTAGATTCACACCTGGAGGGTGTGTTTTGTTTTGTTTTTGCAAATTGTAGCACATCGAGTAGGCTTTTGAGTTATGGTATGCCTCACTGCCAAGGCCTCTGGATAGGTAGGAAAAGATGGATGTAATTTCTGAGCTCCCTATTCATTTCTCTAAAAGCATATTTAATATCACTATTCTTCCAAGCCCCTCTCCCCAGCCTTTAAAATAAAATTGATGCTTCTGCCTTTTCTGAAATGCTTTTCTTTTAATTAAAAGTCTGTCCTCCTAGAGTACCGAAACCGGTTTGGCTCAGTGGATAGAGTGACTGCCTGCGGACTGAAAGGTCCCAGGTTCTATTCCGGTCAAGGGCATGTACCTTGGTTGTGGGCACGTCCCCATTGGGTGGTGTGCAGGAGGCAGCTGATGGATGATTCTCTCTCATCGATGTTTCTCACTCTCCATCTCTCTTCCTCTCTTTAAAAAAATCAATAAAAAATATATTTTTTAAAAAAAGGCTGTCCTCCTGTACACCTGATAATGGCAATTTGTCCTGGACTCCATTATAAGCCTATCTTGCCATGTCTCCCTTTGTTTACCCCTTGCTCCTAACCTAATAAGTTCCTTGAGGGCAGAGTGTCTGTCTTAATATCCTCAATTCTTGCCATCTGTCCTACCTTAGTGACTCAGTAAAGGTTCGTCTAATGTCCAAGGTAAAGGACTTTGGGTTTCTTATCCAAAAAAGCTAGTGTTGATTGCTGTGGGCACAAGAGGTAGTAAAATAATGCTTCCTTAATGTAGTCAGTGGGATAACTATGGTGCCAGGTGGGTACTGGAATTATTGGGGGACACTTTGTAAAGTATATGATAGTCTTTATCTTACAAATTTTTAAAACTGGATTTCTTAATCTTTTAAATTTCTCAGCATTGCTAATTGTTTACTTAATGTAGGGCTTCCGTTACAAGATGAGGTCTGTGTACGCTCACTTTCCCATCAACGTCGTCATTCAGGAGAATGGTTCTCTTGTTGAAATTAGGAATTTCTTGGGCGAAAAATACATCCGCAGAGTTCGGATGAGGTCAGGTATGTGCATACCTTCTGGTGGTACTACCTTTGTACTTGTGAAGGCTAGTAGTTTGTCTAGCTTTGAATACAACCAAATTTATTTCAGAATTGTCTGTTTTGATAATGCTTATAATAACTTTTGGTGTTAATTAAAGGCTTTATACCAATTGTAATTCCTGAAAGCTTTTGCATTGGAGAAGTTTGCTGGGCACGGTAGTTGTGTTTAATTTGCTCTGCAAACTGAAATGCTAAAAAGACCATTTGAATAGGCCTCTCAATTAACCTTGGGCCAATTATCTCTGTAACTCATTTTCCTTATTTGTAAAATTGGGAACATTTTATGAACTAAAATTGAAGTGGCCAAAACCGGTTTGGCTCAGCGGATAGAGCATTGGCCTGAGGACCAAAAGGTCCCAGGTTCGATTCCGGTCAAGGGCAAACTATCGATTGGTTGCTTCTCGAACCAACTAGACAGACTGGGCCAGGGATCGAACCTGCAGCAAACCAGGTACATTTCCTTGTGCCCTTGACTGGGAAACCCCAGATCATTAATTTTCAGGGTCCACACTAATCAGAGTCACACTGGACAGAGCGTAGGAACTTAAAATTTATAAGTTCTCTGAGCTTTTTATTCCATTGGGATCTGGAGGGATGGGAATACAAGCTTTATTTTGCTAAAATGTACTAGCTGAATATCATCTTCCCTACTCCTTAATTGAATTAGCTTGTAACTACTGTGGGAGAGATTCAAGCAGGAACACAAACAAATTTTATGGCCCACACAAATTAGCTCTTGTAAAACTAAAGCTTCTCTCAAGAGAAGTTTTATTTGGTCTGTGGAATTTTAAATGGAATAAATTCCTATTTGATTTAAGTATTTTCTCTGCAAATCTGATTGTATGTTGACGCTATTCAAATACCTTCTCCCCTTTTAGGTGTTGCTTGTTCAGTATCTCAAGCCCAGAAAGATGAGTTGATTCTTGAAGGAAATGATATTGAACTTGTATCAAATTCAGGTCTGTAAGTTTATTATGCCTATAAAATTTTATCTAAATATTATAGTTGAATATGTGGTATTCTGTTCATTTGGTGAGCTTTTTGTAATTGTAGAAATTAAATTTTCTTCAAAATACTCTGGTTTTAAGATGGGTTTGGCCTTATCTCTTATAGCTGCTTTGATTCAGCAAGCCACAACAGTTAAAAACAAGGATATCAGAAAATTTTTGGATGGTATCTATGTTTCTGAAAAGGGAACAGTTCAGCAGGCTGATGAATAAGATCTAAGGTAGGTTCTTAAAGTCTCAAGTTTTATTACTGCTTTACTTGGGTATCTTAATATACTAAGATTTAATGAGTTACAGTGGCAGAAATGAAAAGTTGCAATCTGAAACAGTAAATTTGGCAGATAATGAAATTGCATTTACATTTTAAAATAGGAATCTATTAGATTTAGAGTAACTTTTCTGGGCAAGGATTTTGATGGAGATTTACAGACATTTTTATTTCTTTTTACAGTTGTCCCGCTATAGAAACACCGAGATGCCGAATGATTTCTCACACTTGTTTGTGAAACTATAAAGATGTACAATAAAAGCCTTGTTTTGGTTTGCACTTTATTCTTAAACTGAGCATTCTTTCCAACTAAGTTTCTAGTAAGACTTCATGGAAAGAGGGACTTTTTTTTTTTTTTTTTTTTTTTTAAGAATATCAAGGCAAGAATATGCCAGTGACAGGGAACACTGTGCAGCTGTTTATCATTGGATGCAGAATTCTGGGGGGTGGCCTGAAGGTATCTGATTTTTGCAGAGGCATGAATTTAACCCTTTGCACTCCGCTGTCCCCTCTCAGGGGACATCAGAATTCTAGCATATCACTCGGATGTCCCCTCTCAGGGGACATTACAGTTTATTAGTGATTACGGGGAAGTGAGTTAATTCAACGCACGTTTCACAAAGTAGCGTTGAGTAGCTGGTAGCCAATGTCCAGAATGGTTTGGAGTGCAAAGGGTTAAATCTGAGGCATGTGTGTCTGAATTATTTGTATACAATAACTTATTCTGGGATGGGAAACAAAGTGGTATACCCTTAGTAAGTATTGGGAGATGCAGTTAATTTGTGTTTATGATAAACAGTAGAGGCCTGATGCACGATTGTGCAAGGGGCTTTGCCCTGGCAGCCAGGGCTGCCTTCGAGGCCCTGCCCACTGGTCCTTTAAGAAGGTTGTTCTGGCCAAAACCGGTTTGGCTCAGCCGTAGAGCATCGGTCCCAGGTGATTCCAGTCAAGGGCATGTTGTTGCGGGCACATCCCTGGTGAAGGGTGTGCAAGAGGCAACTGGTCGATATTTCTCTCTCATCAACGTTTCTAGCTATCTCTCTCCTTTCCTCTCTGTAAGAAAAATCAATAAAATATATATTTAAAAAAAAAAAAGGTCCTGTAGTCTGGTCTAATTAGCATATTAGCTCTTTATATATGGGATAGTTGCTATCCTCCAAGGCCCTCTCCATGTTACCCTTTACCCTATCTATACCCTACATCATCTATTTACTTTCATATCCTAATCTTTGATATTTAAAAAACTGGTAACATTCCATAATCTTAATTTCATGTGTCACACTTCAAATATATATTGTTTGGTTTGATGGTTAGGTTTTTAAGAAATGGATGAAATGATAATTTGAGAATTTACTTTGAAGTATTTTAGGTGGGGTTGGGGTAGGCATTGAGTAGCATTTTAGGTGAAACAAGTCATTTCCAAGTTCATAATTTGTTGAAAATAGATGGGGCTCCATTATACTATTCCTAATTACATTATGAAAGTTTTGAAATCTTTCATTATGTAGAAATGAAACAAATCTGAATATTTTGCCTCGATTGGTGTAATAGTCTTTTTTAAAATATATTTTTATTGATTTCATAGAGGAAGGGAGAGAAACATCAATGGTGAGAGAATCATTGATTGGCTGTCTCTTGCATGCCCTCTACTGGAGATTGAGGCCAAAACCTGGCACTTGCCCTTGACTGGAAAGAGACCTGGGACTCTAATCTGCCGGCTGATGCTCTATCCACTGTGCCAACCCAGCCAGGGCTGTAATAGTCTTTAAAAAAAAAAATAAGCTGTATTGCTCAGATTATTACAATTGTTTCTCCCCCCCATATTTCCCACCCTGTAATAGTCTTTTAACTGGCTACTTTTATTCCATGTTTTCAGCAGCAGCCAGAATGCTTTTTTTTTTTTTTTTTTTTTTTTAATCCTCAAGGATAATTTTCCATCAATATTTAGTGTGAGCAGAAGAGAAAGGAAAAGACAAATATCGATGTGAGAGGAACCACGTATATTGGTTGCCTCTTGCACGGCCCTTACCAGGGCCCGTGCTGGGGAGAAGCCTGCAATTTAGATATGTGCCCTCGACAAGAATCCAACCTGGGACCTTTGGTCTGCAGGTGGATGCTCCATCCACTGAGCAAAATTGGCTAGGGCTGGAATGCTTTTTTTAAAAAACTGAACATCCCCTTACCTTTTATACTGATTGAACTGACCTTTCTATTCAATATTGCTGTACCTAAGGCTCAAGTTGTCCTTCCCTTTGGAAGTTGTTTTTGGACTCACTAATGACCTGAAATTTTAGTAAAGCCCACTTTCACCACCCTATTGTGTTAATCTCTCACCCCAAACCTAGCATACCCTAACCTGTTTCAATGTAATATTTGTAGTTTACTTTGTCGTGTATTGATTGTATGTTTTCTTTATGCTAGAATTTTTTAAAATATATTTTATTGATTTTTTATAGAGAGGAAGGGAGAGAGCTAGAAACGTCGATGAGAGAGAAACATCAACCAGCTGCTTCCTGCACACCCCCCACGGGGGATGTGCCCGCAACCAACGTACTTGCCCCTGACCAGAATCGAACCTGGGACCCTTCAGTCCGCAGACCGATGCTCCATACTGAGCCAAACCGGTTTTGGCTTATTTTTGCTAGAATTTAACCTTCATAGAGGAGTGGGGTTCTATAGGGATATTTTAAGTACCTGGAATAGTGTTTGGCACATATTTGTTTGCCAAGTGAGTGGAACCCAGATTGCAAGGGAGGTTCAATTTATAAAGATTTGAGACCGTAATGGCAGTGGAAGTGTAAAGGAGATGTTTTGACAGAATTTCAGAGATGGATGTGAGGAAGAAATTTTCAAGTGGCAATATTACACCGGAATAGAGATGTTAATAGTGAGTGCGGGTAATAGAACACAGTAGCAGCTCTGAGAGTAAGTGGGATTTCTCCAAGAGTGAAGTGGATTGTATGCAGGGTGAGACCTTCGCTGGAAATAAAACTGTTGGAGGTTGGTTGTAGCCAAGGAGTGGTTTCTGTTTCGTTACTTGGGTGGTAAATGAAAGTCGAGTTCTCCCTAAAGAAGTCTTTCCTATCTTCTGGGTCTTCTATGGATAAGCACTTGTGTGTTGCCCCAACTTTGAGGTGGAGGAGTACATACTTTATAATAGAAGTTAATCCAGTTGGCACACAGCTTGAGAGGATAGAGAGGCAGTGTTGGCACAGCACATAGTTAACATCAAACCCATTCATATTCTATAATTCTTAATTGTTAATTTGGAATAAATTATATTAAAAATTAAACTGACCTCATTTTCCAGAAGCTCTTTAAGCCATAATTATGCTGTGATATTTCAATATATGTGTATCAAAGACTTGTTAGTGAAAGATTGATATATTGCATATACAACTAACAAGTTAGATTTTTAAGATTTATTTTCCCACAAGTCTCAAAAACTTACTCTAAAGATCTTAATCTGTCAAATGCTATCAACCATTTCTGATTGGCTCTTTATGATTTTTAAATAAGTTTAGCTAAACCTAAATAACAAATATAATTGGTCATGAGCCACATTAAGTGCTTACCTACGGATAACTAAGATAAATTGTATTTTAATGCAATATTTTTTAAAATATATATATTTTATTGATTTTTTAGAAAGTAAAGGAGAGGGACAGAGAGCTAGAAACATCGATGATAGAGGAACATCGACCAGCTGCCTCCAGCATAACCCCTTCAGGGAATGTGCCCACAACCAAGGTACATGCCCTTGACCGGAATCGAACCTGGGACCTTTCAGGCCCCAGGCCGATGCTCTATCCACTGAGCCAAACCGGTTTTGGCTAATGCAATATTTCTTAAAATTTATTTATTTCAGAGTAGAAGAGAGAAGGTGAGAGAGACACGAATGATGAAAGATATTTATTGATTGGCTGCCTCCTGCACGACCTATGCTGGGTATTGAGCCCGCAACCAGGGAATGTGTCCTGACCAGGAATTGAACTGACTTGGTTCATTGGTCGAAGCTCAACCACTGAGCCATGCCAGCCAGGCTACCTAATGATTCCTAAGTGGTGTTGAAATACTTCCAAGTGGCAGAAGGGGAGGACTATAACATTGGGTTTGGAATTTGCATATTTAGAAGTGTTTATAGCAAGGCAACGAGTTTGATAAAGGACAATACATTTTTAAGCTCTAAATGTTAAAACATTTAAAAAATAGTTTGATTAATGGACTTGTAAACCATGAATGCAAGATACAAAGTAGAGACCCAAAAAGCAAAACCTAAACTTAGCTTCATTGTTTTTCCTATGGGGAAATTGGCATTTTTCAACACGATGTCATAGGTTGAAAAGTTGGATCAAATTTCACCCTGGGTGGTATGCCTCGGTGGTTAGAGGGTTGGCCTGTGCACTGAAGGGTCTCAGGTTTGATTTCTGCATTGCAAGTTCAGTCCCTGGCTCTGATGTGGGGCACATGTGGGAGGCAACCAATGGATGTGTTTCTCACATTGATGTTTCCCCTCCCTTGCCATTCTATAAAAAAATCAATGGAAAAAAGAAAAGTTGATAGAGTTCCTTAACTGGTACTTCCTATAAGACTTCACTGGAGCTCTGGGGTCAGAATGAATCTATGTGACAAAGGAAAAACCTGAGCCAAGTGTTGAATTTAAATACCTCTATTTTTTAAAAACTTGACTACCCTAGTTGTATAAACCTTCAGGCCCACTTAGTGCTCATAAGAAAATATAAAAAATTCCTTGCATAATCTAAAAACAGCCACGGGCCAAAACCGGTTTGGCTCAATGGATAGAGCGTTGGCCTGCGGACTGAAAGGTCCCGGGTTCAATTCCGGTCGGGCATGTACCTGGGTTGCGGGCACATCCCCAGTAGGCAGTGTGTAAGAGGCAGCTGATTGATGATTCTCATCGATGTTTCTAACTCTATCCCTCTCTCTTCCTCTCTGTAAAAAATCAAAATATATTAAAAAAAGAAACCAACTAAATGGGAGTAGATATTTACAAATGATGTTTCCAATAAGAGGTTAACATCCAAAATATATAAAAAATAAAAAAATAAAAAGTTAAAAATAAAAACAGCCACGGTTGGAGGATAAGACAAAAAGCAGTAGGATAAGACAAAAAGCAGTAGCCAAAATATACTATTTGAATTTGGCCAACCTAAGAGAAAACTGATTTCTCATTCCTTTGGCATTTACTGGATCAATTGTTACCTTTCTATAGTATCTTTCAAACTTATTTATTGTCAATTAGAATCTCATATACATAATTTGGCTTCTGATAGAGAAGAACGTGGAAAACAATTATAATTGCCTTAATTTAGGTTATTTTCCTACCAGGCCTTTTTGAACTGAAGAGTTTCCCTTTGATTTAAGAAAATTTAGCTCTAACCAGTTTGGCTCAGTGAATAGAGCATTAGTCTGCTGACTGAAGGGTCCCTAGTTCATTCCGGTCAAGGGCAGGCACCTTGGTTGTGAGCACATCTCCAGTAGGGAGTGATTAGGAAGCAACGGAATTGATTCCTCTAAATTCCTCTAAAATCGATCCCTCTCCATTCCTCTAAAAAATCAATAAAATATATTTAAGCCCTAACCAGTTTGGCTCAGTGGATAGAGTATTGGCCTGCGGATTGAAGGGTTCCAGGTTTGATTTCAGTCAAGGTCATGTACCTGGTTTCAGGCATATCCCCAGGAGGGGGTATGCAGGAGGCAGCTGATCAGTGTTTCCAACTCTATCCCTCTCCCTTCCCCTCTGTAAAAAATCAATAAAATGTATTTAAATACATATGAAAGAAAATCTGAATTTCTGGAGAGGATGGCTAGTGACTAGCTGCTGTGGTTATTTAAATGTTGACTAACATAAAGTAAGAAAATGGGCATAATTGGGTTTACATGCAAGATTTATTTCTCCAACAATTAGAATACACTGAACAAATAAGCACAGAATTAAGAAAGTTAAACACTCCAGTTTAGACTTAAGAATTCACTAAATCCCAGCTGCAATGTAAAAAGTTGTAACTCATTCAGACTCCTCATTCTGAATTGCATCCAAAGAGTCACAGTTGCTAGGTCCAGATGTGGCTGCATCTACACCTTGAGAGGTCTGTGCATGCATGTGGTGTCTGAAGAGTGAGGCTCCTCGGGGGAGAGCTAGACTTGGGGAATGACAAGGTCCTTGGTCTGATGACTTGACAAAACACATTTCCTACGTATGCTAGCTACGATTTTGTTACCACAAACATCATGTGAGGAAGAATGTCAATTTGTCTAAAGAGAGTTGCTATACTGTAAGGTTGGGAGACTTCTCTATCTTCACAGACATTTTGGGTCTTGCTGTCCTTAAACTTAGTATTCCGATCTTTTCATGAGATAAGTTAATGGAGGTTAACATGTTACTTTTCTAAAATCATTTAATGAAAGGAGAGACCTCACAAATTAGATAATTTGTATTTCTATTGAGGAAAACAAAGGGATTTGCTTGCGTAACTGGCTATAGATAGCACTACCGTATTGTGTGTTTTCTTTCCATTTGAGAACCACCTGCCATAAAGGGCAAAGCACCTTGTTAGAAGTGACAGAGCATATCACTGACCGTCCAGTGCTGAGTTTTAAGTCTCTGCTATGGAGTCTAACAAAACAAAGTTGCATTTTTTCAAAGAAATTTTTTTATGATAAGTAGCTTGGTATTTATAAAAGAAGAATGATGGAAAACATCATTGAAGCAATCAATGTATCAGATAATCCTCATAGCTTATTGTCTAGGTCAGTGATTTTTAACTGATTTGCTGCAAGAATTTTTAAAATATGCAATACCTTACTATTTAGGGGCACTGACCTCTTTTCCTTTAGATTGTAAAAAAAAAAAATTTTTTTTTAAATCATAATAACCAACATAATAGCTATCCAGTGTGAAAGAATCAGAATTACATTTTTTTGGTGTCATATCAGCAAAAATAAATTTTTTGAGATGCTGCCGAATTTTAATTTCATTAACTGGTTTATGTGTGCCATGAGATGAAAAAGGATGATAATTGCTGGTCTAGGCAAAGCCATTATCTTTAGATCCAAGAACTGAATTCACTGACATTAAGACACGTAAAGGAAATTACATTTGAAACCCAGAAGAGAGATCGATTGTCATCTTGACTACCGCTAATATGTCAAATTTTCTTTGTTACAATATAAGTATATCTTCTTTAAGTTATAACTACATGGAACTGGAGTGAATAAGCTTTCTAGAAGTAGGATAAGTTTAGCTAAGAACTTTCTTGTGGCTTTTCTTTAATGGTATGGGTTGTAAGTTCTCTGCTTTCCAAAATTTTCTTCTCTTTCGCCTATGAAAAAAGGTGATTGATAAAAGTAGAACCAGGGTAGAGAAGAAGCAACAACCAAAGAATATCAGTGGCTTCTTCTGCACAAGAAATAAGCAGACGGTGCACTCCGTGTTTCTTGGAGTCTCACTGCATCTAGGACTATTGTCCTCAGAAGGGAAGCCACCGTTGCTGATCAGTTTGTTGTAAAACTGAACTGAGGATTTAGCCTTGAAGTCAGATGTGAAGAATCCAAATCTGGGTTTAAGTTTTTCTTCAGTCAGTTTGAATGCATAATAGCCTTTGATTTTGACTTTATCAACCAGGTATGCTGAAAAAGAAAAATATCAGAAATGAACATTATTAACCATAAATGGACTATAACACACCTTTGAATAAGAATTTGGTTTTCATTGAAACAAGGTAAACTCATGCCCATAAAAAAGGGTCGTTTTTCATTAAAGGACTTTAAAAAAAATGTTATTTTAGAGAGAGAGGAAGGGAGAGGGATATAGAGATAGAAACATTGATTAGAGAAGAGCATCATTGATTGGCTGCCTCCTGCACACCCCCTTCTGGGGATCAAGTTAGCAACCTGGGCATGTGCCCTGACTGAGAATAGAACCCGTGACCTTTGGTTCCTGGGTTGACGCTCAACCGCTGAGTCACACGGGCTGTGCTAAAGGATTTCTATATTCTTTTGTAATTGATACAAAGGTGGTGAAAATATATACAGTTAAGTTTAAAAAAGAAATTTGAAGTAAAACTTTGATTTATAAATAACACACACAGCCCGAGGGAAAAGCAAATCTGAGAGTTGATGTCACTTGTTCATAGGGAAAATGTTTGGCCTGATTCCAAACCTCAAGTGTGCCCTTAGTGTTGCTTTATAACCACTCTTGGTTTCCCCTAGTCACTCACTCTGTCTTTTTTTTTTTTTTTTTTTTTTTTTTTTTTTTTAATGGTTTTATGGGGGAGTTATTTTTTTGTTGCTAATTTTCACTTGAGGATATTTTTCCATTGAGTTTTAGAATGGAAGGGAGGGAGAGACATGTCAACTGGTTGCCTCCCACATGTGCCCTGACTCGATTGTGCCTGCACCCTAGATATGTGCCCTTGACCGGAATCAAACCCGGGACCCTCAGTGTTCAGGTCAACATTCTATCCACTGAGCCAAACTACCGTAGCTAAGGATCCTCTGGCATTCTTGCTTTGAAGTAATGACCTTCCTACTTCACAGAAAAACTGAAGTGCTCAGGGAACTTCTTCAATCTTCCACAAATATCTACCTACCTACTGGCATCTGCACATATATATTCTGCCTTCTTGTTACTCTGGTTGACTTGTTCTTACTCTGATTCTTGTTACTCTGATTGACTTGTCTGTGCTCTTGGAGGAGGCTGATTCCTCCACTTACACGTGAAGTTTATTTTCTCTTGCCTACTCAAGGACATTACTCCATCTGTCTTCTCATGTATCTTCACTACTGGATTTTTTATATATATATATAATCCAGTGATCAGAATGACCAGTTGCTATGATGCCCAATGCAAGCCAGCAAACTGTCCCAAACTGGGATAGGGCCAGCTGGCTAACCTCCTGAGGTCCCTGTCTCTGACCAGCTCCACCCCCAATGGGCTCGCTCCACCCCAGTCACCCCCCCAGCCCCTCCGCACAGCTGGCTTTACCTCCATTAGCCCCCACCAGATGGGTCCCCATCACCTCTATCAGGGGCAGGCCGGCTGACCAACCACCCATGATCCCTTCCCCAGGCCACTGTCCCAGATCAGTCCTGATCGTCCCCCTCCCCCACACACCAATTGGGGGTGGGGCCCACCGGCCAATTGCCTGTGGCCCCTCCCTTCAGCTGGCCCTGATTGGTCCCAATCAGGGTGGTCTGGCCGGCCAACCTCCCGCCATCTCTTCCTCCCCCTGACAGGCCCAGTTCGATCTGCTGATTGGAGCCAGGCCAGCTGGACCCCCCCTGTGCACAAATCAGTGCACTGGGCCTCTAGCTTCCATATAAACGGGCTGTTGGTTATCTTTTACAGCAGTAGGTCCTCTTCATTGATTTTCGCTGATTTCTCATCTTTGACCTCTGAATACTGAAGTGTCCCAGATACTGAGGCCCCCCCGTTTCTATCCTTGCTCCTTTAGTGATTTCAATGAGACCTGTTTTTAAAAATACCATCCATCTTTTTTCTTGGCTCCCAAATATGTATCTCAGCCCAGACCTCTCCTCTGAACCTGAGACTTATACCTATTAGCCTACTTGGCATCTCTAATTGGATGTCTATAATAGACTCTCAGACTGTGCAACATCAACTCATTTAGAAAAAATGTGCCTACCAGTCTCCTCTAACCTAGTAAATGGCCACTTCATCCTCCCCCCCCCCCCAATATATTTTTATTGATTGTAGGGAGGGAGAATCATTGATCAGCTGCCCCCACACTGAGGATCGAGCCTGCAACCTGGGCACGTACCCTGATTGGGAATTGAACTGTGACCTCCTGATTCATAAGTCGACACTTAACCACTGAGCCATGTCCCTGGGCTGTTCATTCTTTTAATCACTCAAGCCAAAACCTTGGGATCATTTTTCACTCTTTTCTCACATGCAATCCTGTTGACTTTACCTTTAAAATATACCCACTTTACCCAGCCACTGTGGCTCAGTGGTTGAATGTCAATCTATGACCAGGAGGTCAAGGTTCAGGGCATATGCCTGGGTTGTGGGCTCAATCCCTCCAGTAAGACGTGTGCAGGAGGCATCCCAATCGATGATTCTCTCATTATTGATATTTCTGTCTCTCCCTTTCCCTTCACCTCTCTGAAATCAATAAAAACGTATTAAAATATTTTTTTAAATATGTATCCACATCTCACCATCTCTACTTTTTTTTTTTTTTTTTTGTAGGTTCACAATGTTTATTGGTTAGTGTCTCAGGAATTTGACCATAACACCAATTTTCTCATGTATGCCCCAGAAAAATAATGCAACTTTTTCCTTAAAAAGAAAAAATTAAAATACCCAGTATTGCAAATAAAGCTATTTTCTCTTATTCTGAATCTCCTGACTTTCTGCTTTCAGATGCAGTAACAGCCCTAATATTGCTTTAGGCTAGGGGGTGAAGGCCTGCTTCCATAGTTTGTACTAAATTAGGTCTAAAACTGGTAATGGAGGTGGGGTGTATTCCTTCCTGGGCCAAGACTTAAGCCCTCAGGGCTGGGTACCCATTTCTCCTATACATGAGCCATTAAGATAATGCTAACAAGGAAACACATTTTATAATGTGATATTAAAAAGTTGCGTACAAGATTGCATTACAGCATGAGCTCAATTGTATTAAAAATGTCTAGCAAGCACAAGTCTAAGTGCTTGTTTTTGGGAATGGGATTTCAGGTGATTATTTAAAAAAAAATACTTTTCTATACTTGCCAGATTTTCCATAATGACCTAACAATCTCACTAAGGAGCCTATTCTTCTTCTTCTTTTTTTTTTTTTTTTAAAAATATATTTTATTGATTTTTTTACAGAGAGGAAGAGAGAGGGATAGAGTTAGAAACATCCATCAGCTGCCTCTTGCACACCCCCTACTGGGGATGTGCCCGCAACCAAGGCACATGCCCTTGACCTGAATCGAACCTGGGACCTTTCAGTCCGCAGGCCGACGCTCTATCCACTGAGCAAAACTGGTTTCGGCAGGAGCCTACTCTCCTCTTTGAGTTTTGGAAATCACCACCAGAGGATATTTATTTTTCCCATTGTTTTTTTCAGGGAGAGTGAGAGGGAAGGAAGAAGGGGGAAGAGAGAGAACCATCGGTTTGAGAGAGACAAAGACTGTTTGCCTCCGGACTGGTGGCCTCCTGCATGTGCCCAACAGGGAATGGAACCTGCGACCATCCCGTGCGTGGGGCTGTCACTCCAACCACGGAGCGCACCGGCCAGGGCTCCCCTCCCGCTCTGTTCCCGCATCTGCAATGGCCCGCGAGCCTCACCTTGCCGGGCCTCCTGGACGTACTTCTCCAGGTAGTACTTGCGGAGCTGGTCGTTTTCCAGAGCCGGGTCGTCGATGCCATTGGCGGTGATGTAGACGTCCCGGTCCCCATAGCGGCTCCGGACCCAGCTCAGCACCTTGCGCTGCCCCCAGGGCAGCACGGCCAGGCGGCTGGGGGAACTCAGGCAGGTGATGTCCTGCAGGAACTGCACGTCCCGGCCCGCGCCCTGGCGCGCGGGCACCACGAAGCGGGTGGTGAAGTGGTTCAGCGCCAGGAAGTCGGCGGCGCCGCGGACCAGCCGCCTCTCCTGCTCGGTGAACCGGGGCAGCCGCTGCCCGCTCCTGGAGGCCAGGTCGTCCCGCATGGCCGCCGGGTAGTCCCCGGTCTTGAAGAGGGGCTCGGCGAACCAGGCGATCTCCAACTGCAGGAAGCGCTCGGCCGCCTGCCGGTGCGAGTCGGCGAAGGGGTTGGCGGGCTCGGCCCAGTCGGCGTGCAGGGCCAGCGACACGGCCCCGCGCTGCGCCCGCCGGTGCCGCCGGTCGTACAGGCGCCAGGCCAGCGCGTGGGCCAGCAGCAGGTGGTGGGCCGCCCGGTAGGTGTCGTTGCCGGTGCGGTTGTAGGTGTCGCTCAGCCGGTTGGGCTCGTTGATGGTGATCCAGAGCTTCACCAGGTCCCCCAGCTCCTGGAAGCACAGCCCGGCATAGTCCCGGAAGGCCGTGGCCGTGGCCCGGTTCAGCCAGCCCCCGCTCTGCAGCAGCGGCGCGGGGAGGCCCGGGTGGCCGTGGGTCGGGTAGTACAGGGTGACCATGGGCGAGATGTGGAGCTTCAGGCTCTCGCTGACCACGCACCTGTAGTACCGCAGAGCTTGTCGGTTCGCGGTGGACAGGTTGCCCGTGGGAAGGATGGAGGGCCAGTCCAGGGCAAAGCGGAAGGAGGTGACTTTCATCCTCGCCAACATCGCCACCTGCCTTTTGATGCTGACGAAGTCTGTGCATTGGCCTGGCCGCGTTTTCAGCTTCACTCCTGCCACGGGGTGCAGCAGCCGGTTGCCTGTCACGTTCCACACATACAGGTGGGGGTCGGTGAACTGTGGGGAGGAAGCCACCAGCTCTGGCTGTGGAAAAACAAGCACATTCAGGTCAAGTACCACCCCCAGGGGACAGGCTGTCAGCATGCATCATCTGAGAGGGAGAAGGGCCTGCTCTTTATTTTTTTTAAATTTTTTAAAATTTTATTTTAATTTTTTTTATTTTATTGATTTTGTACAGAGAGAAAGGAAGAGAGATAGAGAGTTAGAAACATCGATGAGAGAGAGTCATCGATCAGCTGCCTCTTGCACACCCCCTACTGGGGATATGCCCGCAACCAAGGTACATGCCCTTGACTGGAATCGAACCTGGGACCTTTCAGTCCCCAAGCCGACGCTCTGTCCACTGAGCCAAACCAGTCCCGGCAAGGGCCTGCTCTTTATTTTGCCTCTCACTGACTATAGAGAAGAGACGTGATGAGTATGTTCTTTACAGTGACCTGTGTGTTCCAGCTGTCCTGGTGATGTCATGGAAGAGGCCTGATGGATGATCCTCTCCTCTAGCCCTTGAAATTTCCCAGGGAGACCAGAAGACTTAAGGAAGGAATCACACCTCGGAGGGCTTAGCTTGGAAAATAAGCTGTTTTTACGGAAAACCCTGAGAGGCTGTTTCCCAGTGAATTTCTTTTAGAAACCCTGGTCAGAGGATGGGGTCTCATGTGATTTCATTCAAATGCATCAGGATATTGGCTTGGTACTCTCAGTTGAAAAGAATCATGAAAGATGGACCCTTTAAGCACTGCCATAAATGGAAGCAGAGTTAAAAATTCCAGTGTAGAGGATTTCCCTGAGGTCAGCACTTTGGATTGGAGGTGGCTAAGTTGATCCCAGCCAAAGTTCCTAAAAGAAACCTGTGTGATGGGGTAGAGTAGCGGTTCTCAAACGGTGGGTCCACCCCTTTGGGGGGTCGAACGAACCTTTCACAGGGTTTGCCTAAGACATCCTGCATAGCAGATATCTACATTACAAGTCATAACAGTAGCAAAATTACAGCTATGAAGTAGCAAGGAAAATAATTTTATGGTTGGGGGTCACCACAACATGAGGAGCTGTGTTAAAGGGTCACGGCATTGGGAAGGCTGAAAACCACTGGGGTGGAGAATGCAAATCTCTAACACCCTCTTCTATTTGAAAAGTCAAATGATAGCATCGCATGTGCATCATTGTATTCTCCCAACCCATGTGCCTGTGAGAACATAGCATTTACTCATCCACCAGGAGAATGCTGAACACCCTCTTTATGCAAGGTAGTTGGATACGAGCAGAAAGGACAGTAAAATGCTCCCCAGAAACTCCCAGGTTGACTCTTTGATCTGAGGGTGTCTCGTTCCCTACTCCTCCCAAGGAGATAGCCCTGGACTCTCTTTGAAACTCAGGCTTGGCCACCCTGTATCGTGACCGCTCAATCTCACTCACCTTACAGGTGTGCTGTGAGGAGTCGGTGACTCCGGGAAAGTGCTCTGTCAACTAAAGCGCTGTACAAACATACACTAGACATGACTTGGGTTTAGTTTTCCCTGGTTGTAATAATTGCCTGTTAGGCTAAATTATGTAACATTTAATTTACAGGGCTTAAGAAAAAACGTTTTCAGATTTAAGATTAATAAGAGAAGGTAAAAGTTGTGTTTTTCCTTTTTTAAAAAAATATATTTTATTGATTTTTGTACAGAGAGGAAGGGAGAGAGATAGAGAGTTAGAAACATCAATGAGAGAGAGTCATCGATCAGCTGCCTCTTGCACACCCCCTACTGGGGATATGCCCGCAACCAAGGTACATGCCCTTGACTGGAATCGAACCCGGGGCCCTTCAGTCCCCAAGCCGACACTCTACCATTGAGCCAAACCGGTCCTGGCTTTTCTTTTTTCTTTTTAAATGACTTGTTTTAAGTTCTTGTTTTAAAGTACTTTTCTCCCCATGGCTAAATATAAGTGCACCTGGGAAAAATGATAATTAACCTTTGGTAAATATTTTCCCTCTAATTGTTTTCTCATGTGTCATTTTTCATAGTCTAATTATGAAACCATATCACTGCTCTCTTGCCATCTGTCAACCAGTTATCTAAAACATTAAACTGAGAGAACATTGATCAGGTGAGCATGAAGTTAAATCTGTATTTAATTATTTGAGTAAAACCCTCCTAGCCTAGATGGCCAGTTTCACTGTCTTGAAAACGTCAGAGCATCCTGGTAATGATAGGGTGTTTACAAAGGGCAATCTTGCCATACGGTTAGGCAATATTAAATGAAAATGTCTTACTTTTAAAAACCTCCAGAAAGCATTAGTCTTAGCAAGTGGTGTGTGATTAATCTGCTAACAGATCTGGTTAAAGATAATGCACCTTGATCTCAATCCTAGCTCCCAGAGCTTGTTCTAAATTATTCCCCAGTGAAAGGATCCTGAGCTTGGGAGGAATATGGCTTTTTCCAGGCCTGGGGCAGGAAGAGAGTGAGGTGATGCTAGTACATCTTGTGCCAGAAAAAAATGGAAATGCTTAAGAATAGAAAAGGAAATGTCAAAAAGACAGGAGCAGCTTAAAGGAGTCCCATTGGCCAAATTTGAGATAATTTGAGCATCAAAAGGAATAATGAAACAATGACAACAATATGTTATAACACACTGAATTAAAACACACACACACACATAATAAAGGTAGACGGAATAATCTCATTAGAAGTTTGCCATTTTGGCTATGGCCAGGTAGCACAGTTGGTTAGAACATTGTCCCTATATGCCAAAGTTGTGGGTTCAATCTCAGGTCAAGGCACATACAAGAATCAACCAACAAATGTATAAATACATGGAACAATAAATCAATGTTTCTTTCTTTCTCTTCCTCTCTCTCAAATCAATAAACAAACAAACAAAAAAAAAAAACCCCCAAACAGGATAAATTCACCATTTTGCAATTTACAAAGTATAATTCAGGCAGATTCATGAATCAGTATTCAGACCATTGGGTGAAATGCTATTGGGGAAAAGGATATTTATACGGTCTCAAAGTATCACCATCAGATTACTTTTTAATTACAAATGGAAAATATACTTTTTAATGAAGAGATCTGGCAAATGCCACCTTCACCAAGAAATCTGGTGATGGAAAGAATCCGAGATGGCTGCACAGGTAAACACCTAGCCACAGCTGCACACAACAATTTCAATAAAATACAACTAAAATATAAAATGGATGTTACCCAGAACTACAGGAAAGTCGACTGACTGGAAATTCTACAACGAGAAGCAAGGAGAAAACCAGAAGGAAGCGCGGAGGAGCTGTAAAAGCCTAAGGTACGGAGACACGCGGCGCGCGGAGAGGATTGAGCCGGAGAGGAGGGCGGCTGAGTGCCTGGCTGGCATTCCCTAGCGGGAAGGAGATAAAAGCTCTGACTGTGCTGGGCCCCAGTTCCAACTGCTCTGAACCCCCGTTCTAGGCCAGACCCTGGGACCCAGGCTCATACAGAGGAAGCTGGACTGTAAGGCAGAACCTCAGGGGAGCGGCGAAAGGAGGTCCCGGAGGTGCACACATTGCGCAGAGAAGGGACGGTTGGCTGTGCCGCGGGACTGCCCTGGCGGGCAGGAGACTGGGGCTCCAGACTGCTCTGAACGCCACCTCCAATCCCACTACCAACTGAACTGAACCCCAGTTCCGGGCTCATTGGGGGAGAGCATAGACTGTTTGGTAGCAGGCGAAAATCGAGGGCATCTTTCTCTCAGAGGTGCTTCCAGCGAGTACTGAAGGACCCTGGGGATTACTGAGATTCAGGAACCGCATAGGGCGGGGCTGATGGAAGCCAAAGCTGTAGGCTCCACCCTGAAACCCCGCCCCGAATGAAATAGATCACAAACGAAAGAAACGGAGGACAAAAAACGACTGGATATAGAGTTCAAATCTACGCTTATAAGGTTTTTCAAGAATTTCCTAGAAAAGATCAATAAGACCTATGATGATATGAAAAGGGATCAACTAGAATTAATAAGGAATCAACAAGAAATTATAAGGGATCAACAAGACATAAAGAATGCATTTTCTGAAAAAAAAAAAAATATTATACAGAGTCCTAAAAACAGAATGGAAGATCGCAAGAATCAAGTCAAAGAGTTGGAACATAAAGAGCCAGAAGACACTCCTCCGCAGAAGCAAGAAGGCAAGAGAATCCAGAAAATTGAAGATAATGTAAGAAACCTCTGGGACAACTTCAAGCGAACCAACATCACAATTATGGGGGTCCCAGAAGATTAGAGCGAGCAAGATATTGAAAACATACTGAAAGAAATAGTGACAGAAAACTTCCCCCACCTGGTGAAAGAATTAGACTTACAAGTCCAGGAAGCGCACAGAACTCCAAACAAAAGGAATCCAAAGAGGACCTCACCAAGACAAATCATAATTAAAATTCCAAGAGCAAAAGACAAAGAGAGAATATTAAAAGCAGCAAGAGTAAAGCAGCACCTATACGATTGTCAGCTGATTTCTCAACAGAAACTATGCAGGCCAGAAGAGAATGGCAAGAAATATTCAAGGTGATGAATAGTAAGAACCCACAGCCAAAGATAATCTACCCAGCAAAGCTATCACTCAGAATCCAAGGCCAAATAAAGAGCTTCATTAATAAAAAAAAAAAAAAAAAAGCTAAAGGAGTTCATCACCACCAAACCAGAATTATATGAATTGCTGAAGGGGGTTCTTTCGGAAGAAATCTGGTGATGACTACTTCAACTAACATCTTTAGTAATGAAACAAGCTGACATCATGTACCCTCTGATGTGATATGCCTCGTCTATGTATTATGTCCAGAAATGGTTAACTGAATCTAATAAAGAAATAATTAGAAATCCATGAGACATTCTATAAGCATCTGGCCTGGACTTCAAAAAAGTCAATGCTGTGAGGTTGGGGGATTGCTCTGATTTAAAAGAGGCTACAGATACATGAAAGCCAATGGGTCATCCTTGTTTGTCATCAATTAAAAAAAAAATCTATAAAGGACATTTTTGGAACATTTAGGAAGATTTGAATATGGATTGTACATTAAATGATATTGAATCAATACTAAATTTTCTGGTTTGATAATATTATAATGAGAGAGAGAGAGAAAGTAAATATGGCCACATGTTAACAGTCGATTAGTCTTGATGAGGAGAATATGTGTGTTTATTGTACTAGTTTGAAATTTCTCAAAACAAAACATTGGAGGAAGAAAAATGCTAAGAGATGGGGCGGGAGAGGGTATAAGGTAGGGATAGGTGGGTGTAGGCATTGTAATATATTTATTTTCATTTTGGGATGTAAAGCTTTTTTAAATTAAAATATGGTTGACACAATGTTATGTTAGTTTTAGGTATACAACATAGTGATATGATATTTGCATACCTTATGAAGTGATCCCCATGAAAAGTCTAGTAACCATTTGTCACCATACAAGTGCTTGAGAATAGAAAAGGAAATGTCAAAAAGACAGGAGCAGCTTAAAGGAGACCCAATGGCCAAATTTGAGATAATTTGCGCATCAAAAGGAATAATGAAACAATGACAACAATGTGTTATAACACACTGAATTAAAAAAGACACAAAGTGCCGAAACCGGTTTGGCTCAGTGGATAGAGCGTCGGCCTGCGGACTGAAAGGTCCCAGGTTTGATTCTGGTCAAAGGGCATGTACCTTGGTTGCGGGCACATCCCCAGTAGAGGGTGTGCAAGAGGCAGCTGATCGATGTTTCTCTCTCATTGATGTTTCTGACTCTCTATCCCTCTCCCTTCCTCTCTGAAAAAAATCAATAAAATATATATATAAAAAAGACACAAAGTTATTGTGATATTGTTGGCTGTGTTCCCTATGCTGCACATTGTAGTTTGTACCTCTCTCTCAATCCCCTTCACCTTTTTGCCCATCCCTCCCTCTCCCAACCCTCTGGCAACTATCAGTTTGTACTCTCTATGAGTCTGTTCGGTTTTTGTATGCTCTTTTAGATTCCACATATAAATGAAACCATACAGTATTTGTCTTTCTCTGACTTACTTCATTTAGCACAATACCCTCTAGTATCACCACATGTGGCACTATAATATTCTTAAAATGATATTTTCATTTTGTTAGTCTTCCTATAGAGAACATCTAGTTTTTGCCAACACAGCATCTATTCACACATCCTCTGGCTGAAATGTCAGAGAGCATCCTAATTTTTCTTTGCAAACGACTCAACTTCACTCTTAGTTCAGAGTCAAAGGGAGCTGACTTCTTGCTGGGCGGCAGGTGCGAGCATGAAACCCAGACCTAGTTAATTGCAGAATTACTTCCTCCTGACTCAAGTGATCAGCTCTTGAGACTAGGCATAGGGTCTTTAGGATGGGGCAGCCGTTCACATCACCACTCAGTGTGAAACAGATGGAGGGCTTCTGAAGGGGGAGGAGGGAATTGCAGGTTGGGTCACGCTCAGGCAGGAACTCCTGTCTCTTTTGGATCTCTCTTTGCTAGGCCTGAAAGTTTGAAAAATATAAACCCACTTCAAGTGGCAGGGAAGAGATGGCTGTCTGCTGTGTGGAGGAGACAGGAACTGGGTGAGTAGGTGGCTCTGAAGGGTGAGTCACTGGGTCTGTGTGGTTCTATGTATCTTTCACGAGCTTTTACTAAAGTCTGGTTTAAATATTGACAGCGTTTGAGATTCATAACCTGTGAACACTGCCTATATGGTTTGAGCCCTTTTGTCTGGTCCCATCTTTGTACATCTTGACTTTCCATATGCTTCTGGAATACAGGCAATTGTGTGGTACTGTGAGGTCTTATAGTGGTCAGGAGACAGATCTGGGGAACCTGGACAAATTACATAACTTCCCTAACCTTCCGTTTCCTTGCTTATAAAATGAGGGGTTTAAACTATGATTAGCTAAAGATAACTTGCATACATCTAGGTAAATGCTTGGCATATAATAAGGGCTTAAAAATAGTTATTATTTTGGAAAAATCACTCTGCCTCTGGGGGCTTGAGGGTGGCCTGTTACAGTTCTGCCACTGTTGGTGTTACCTTGGGAAAGTCACTTCGGTATCAATTATTAATTGATATATCTCACTTTCCTCATTCATAAAATGAAAGTTTTGGAACAGGGGGTCCCTAAGGTCTCACCTGGCTCTAAAAGTTGACCTTGCCCTGCGGTTTGACTCAGTGAATAGAGTGTTGGCCTGTGGACCAAAGGATCCTGGGTTTGATTTCAATCAAAGGCATTTACCTGGATTGCAAGCTCCTCCCCAGCCAGGGCCCTGGAGTCAGGGCTCGTGCAGGAGGCAACCAATCTATGTGTTTCTCTCACATTGATGTTTCTCTCTCTTCCACTCTCTCTGAAAGATAATGAAAAAAATATATCCTTGGGTGAGGATTTACAACAATAAAAGTTGACCTTATTCATTCACTATGTATTGAGCCTGAGCTTCTCTAGTAAGGCATACATACAGCAAGCAGCAACATCTCAAACATCTCCTCCCTCCTGCGGAGAAAGTTTGCATTCTAGTGGGGAAGATGGGTGATGAATAAAGAGAATGTGTGATATGATTACCGTACCAAGGGCTGGGAGGTGGGGGAGCGGGGAGTGGAAGATATTTGTCAAAGGGTACACACTTCCAGTTATAAGATTAACAAGTACAGCATGGTGACTATTGTTCATAATATTGTGTTATATACTTGAAAGTTGCTAAGAAAGTATGATTAAAAGTTTTTATTGATTTTTAGAGAGAGAGGAAGGAAGAGAGATAGATAAATAGAAACATCATTGATCAGCTGTCTCCTGCACGCCCCACACTGGGAATTGAGCCCACAACCCAGGCATGGGTCCTGAGCAGGAATTGAACCGGTGACCTCTTGGTTCCTGGGTCAATGCTGAGCCATTGAGCCACACGTCCTGGCAGAGAGTATATCTTAAGCGCTCTTACCATGAAAAGAAATGGGAATTGTTGTGATTGTGCTAATGCCTTGATGGTAATCATATTGTGATATATAAATGTATCAAATCAACAAAAGCTGTATATCTTACACTTATACAATGTTGTTATATCACTTATATTTCAATAAATATAACCTGGACAAGGAGGAAATGTTGTAAAGTCCATAATATGCTAGGGAGTGATGAGTGCTATATGAAAAAAAAATAAATAAATAAAGACCTTATAAGGCAAATTACCTAAATCTATCAAACAGCAGGAATGACTTAAATAAAGGGCCACTTAATAATTTGCTTTTGGCAAAACAAAAACCTCTACATTTTCCCCCTATAACTTTAACACTGCTCCCAAGTGCCTCTCACAAAAATAACTCAGTTATTTCTAGACTGGGTGCCTCTTGAGGGCAGCCTCTCTGTCTCTTTCCCCAAGTTCTTCACCGGCACTCCCAAGGCGCTCGGGAGGCCTTCATTCTTCTCTCCCTTGTCCTTCCTCTCCCCCCAAGTTCCCTTCAGAGCCTCCCAGCAATCGTGGCATTTGGTATGGTCTGACAGCTATCTCTTAGCTGCCATTGAGTAACTGAAATAAAATAGTGGATGCTATAGTCCCCCCCGACAGTTAAGTAGCCACTTACCTTGAGGACAGACTCAGTGACACCCCAGGAGAAGTCGCAGGGAAACTCGCCCCGCACATGGGATGTGGACTCTTTTGGAGCAAAGCCATTTTCTCGAATGATCTGTTTATAGTAATGTGCTGAGGACTTGGGCCTCCTTTCCTTTTGTTTGCTGTTAAAATCCACATAGAATAATCCTCGACGAGTGGTGTAGCCATCCTGCCACTCAAAGCCATCCAGGAGAGACCAGGCAGTGTAACCAAACACTCGTATTTCATCAAACCTTATTGCTGCAGAGAGAGAGAGAGAAAGAGAGAGAGAGAGAGAGAGAGAGAGAGAGAGAGAATCAGAGATTTTTGGAGGCCTAAACACACTCGTTCATGTTTATGGCTTCACTAACACCAGGCCATTAGATCAAATAGGAAATTCATGTTTATCCTTGAAAAGCAGCACTAATTTTTTTCCCATCCAGGATGGTCCTCCCCCAGAAGTGAACCACACAGTCAAAGCATCTAACTGGCCTAAACCGGTTTGGCTCAGTGGATGGAGCATTGGCCTGCAGACTGAAAGGTCCCAGGTTCGATTCCAGTCGAGGGCATGTACCTTGGTTGCGGGCACATCCCCAGTAGGGGGTGTGCAGGAGGCAGCTGATTGATGATTCTCTCTCGTCGATGTTTCTAACCCTCTATCCCTCTCTCTTCCTCTCTGTAAAAAATCAATAAATTATATATATTTTTTTAAAAAGCATCAAACCGAACATTTTTCTGAGACTCCGTGTGCAGATCTGTGTCAGAGGGCCTGGTAAAATTCCCAGAACACGTTGGGACAAATGTCTGCTTGTGACCAAGAGTTTCTCATTTCAAGCTTGGGTTGGTTCCTGCTTGTGGACAAACTATCTTCTATGAAACTGTCCTTCAGGGACTGGACAACTAGCTTTGAGAATGAACACAGTGGACGTAAACATAAGGAGGGGAGAGCCATGCGGTGATGTAAGAGCGCAAGCGCGCACTGTGCCGAGGGGCAGGGGAAGGGAGGTTACTGTTGGGCAAGTTTCTTGACTTTAGTTTCCTCATTTGTAAACAGAGAAGATTGGAAAAGATGATCGCTCAGGGTCTTTCTAACTTTACAGTGCTGATTCAGTGACTTTTAGGAATTGGGTAAACCTGAGATATGACAATCAACAGCAGCAGTAAAAGCAACAAAGACTCAAAATCAACCAGGAACCTTTTTTTTTTTTACTAAAATCTTCCATTTCTCTCATAGAAATGCCTCACTTCTACACTTTTGATTTTTGTTGTTGTTAATCCTCACCTGAGCATATTTTTCCATTGATTTTTAGAGAGAGTGGAAGGGAGGGGGAGTGACAGAGAGAGGAAGAAACATCAATGTGTCTCACATTGATTGGTTGTCACTCAGGGCCAAGGATCGAGCCTGCAACCGAAGTACATGCCCTTGACCGGAATCGAACCCGGGACCCTTTACTGTGGGCTGATGCTCTATCCACTGAGCCAAACTGGCTAGGGTGCCTTTTTTGGGTTTTCATACTGACACCTTTTTCCTAAAAGGCAGAAAATCCTGATCAAGAGATTTCTTTGAGATCACTGATGTTTGAAATAAATACATTTTATCAGGCCCTGGTTCTAACCCCGTTGGTATTGTAGGGCACTGAGGAGAGGTGGGATAGTAACGCCTGGGAAATGACAGCCTTCTGCCCACGGGCATGGGCACGGCGTTTGGCACAAGCCCTCTGCTCCAGAAGCCCCTGTGCACTGCTTGTGGCTGGGCACACTCTGTTCCACCTGCTCCTTCCTGCAGGTGGGGCATCAGGCTCTTGCTCTTCCTGAGGACCCTCCACAAGCACTCTCTTTGGCAGAATCTATGTTTTTTTTTTTTTCTCCAGATGTGTGGCTTTTGAACAGAGCGACAGAGTTTTAGAAGGATCTACAGAGAATGCCTTTGTATTTGCATGAAATGGAGCCCAGCTCTGACAGAGCCATCATGATTGTGTTCTCCATTATTTCAGTCAGCCACCTGTAGATGTCACCACTTGAGTAATGGAAAGGAATGAGCGGGTAAGAGAGGGTCAGAGAAATACTCAGAATCAATAGAAATGACTCAGCATTGACATTCGTGGCTCATTCTTTGTCTTCAGATTTTTCACCATTTTGACATGCAGTAGAGTGAAAGCACAATCCCAAGAAAGCCGTCAGCACCTTAGACTAAAGCTCTACAGTTACAAAAACTTTGGACATCCTTCTCAGTATTATGTCCTTTTTGATAAAATGAAACAGCATCTTGTTGCCAGTTAATGATGTATCTCTAGTCTAAAATTATTTTGTTCTCAAACTTCCACTGAAAAAGAACATGAGATAACATTAAAAAATTTTGTCCCCCAGCCAGCATGTCTCAGGGGTTGAGCATCAACCTATGAACCAGGAGGTCATGGTTTGATTCCCTGTCAGGGCACATGCCCGCGTTGCGGGCTCAATCCCCAGTAGGGGGTGTGAAGGAGGCAGCCGATCAATGATTCTCATCATTGATGTTTCTATCTTTCTCTCCCTTTTCCCTCCTCTCTGTACACACATTATATATACATATTATATATACATTATATACACATTATATATACATTATATATATATATATATACACATATACACTGTAAAATAATTCTGTCAACACTGGAGAATAAAAAAGCTGCGATAACAATAATCATATAGTCAAAGGCAACTTTAAATATATAGCATACATATTTAAAAACTTTTTTTTTTAATTGAGCTAATGTGCAACCGACCTTGAAGAACCTGGTTGAGGAAATTCTTCATCATGTAGATGGCTGTGGTATCTTCTGTTTTCACATGACTGTCCGTGAACCAGCCATTCTCAGTAATCAGGATCCAGGGGTGGCCGTATTCCAGCTTAATCCAGTTCAGCACTTCTCTCAAATTGAGGGACACATTTTGCCCCATTTTAGCCATGGTGTTCTGGGGCTTGAAATTGTTGGGCCCAAAGGAAAAGGCAAAGAAGTCAGCGGTGCCCCTCACCTCCTCCTTCTCTGCTTCTGAGAAAAGGGGCAGGACGGAGAGCAGCTGCTTCTTCATCAGCTCCGGGTAGTCCCCGTCCCCGTGGATAGGGCTGGCAAACCACCCGAGCACGGAAACCACGGACTGTTGGCACCTGAGCACATCCATCGTGTTTTCTGGTCTGTTGGGTTCGATCCAATGGGATCCCAGTGTGATCGATAACCACCCTTTCTGGTGTGGGCGGAAATTCAGGTTGTAGTTGTGCCAGACTTTGGAGTGAGCCTAAGAAGAAGAAAATGTGGTTAACTTTTATCGTTCTTACAAGGGTTTGACATGGTTGGTAGAAGGTCTTTCATGGTTAAATGGATGAAGTGTAGGGTGGTGCAGAGGAGAGCTGCCAGGAAACCCCGATGGCCTCAAAGTTGGTGCTCTGCCCACTTCCCCTGGCTTGCAACCCAACAGGATGGCTGAGATGCAGGCAGAGAGCCTTGGTCCAAACTCCATCTTATGTCTCTTCTCTCTGACCCCCTTCCTGCGCCCTCCTGGGGCTGGTGCAGGTAAGATACCACGTAGATTAGAGGATTTCTTCCTTTAGATAAAAAGACGCAGAGTAGTGAGCTTTCATTGTCCCACAGAATCTCCTTCTGGGCCTGACTTAGAAGTCCAGGATAATGTGGGATCTAGATTCTGTAAATGAATAATAATAGAGCCACCTCCTAGGCTTGCTGTGAGACTTAAATGAATTAATGTGCATGCAGGGCCTCAGAACAGTGTCCGGCACAGAGCAACTTCTACAGACGCCTTAGCTCTTGTCACTATCATTATAAAAGTATAGCAGGCACTGCATAAAGCAGAAAACCAGGGGACAGTGTGTGTGTAGATCTCGAGGTCAGCACACTGGGGCTTGAAGTTCAGGTGTTTAATGTGTGGCCTTAGATAAGTCACTGGCAGAAATCCTTTACTATCTTCATCTGTAAAATGGAGTTAGAAATAATAATAATAACACTCTTTGTAAAGTTGTTAGATGTAGAGCTAATGCATGAATTAAGACTGTGGCACAGCATTAAATATGTAGCACTTAGGAGCTACTGCCTAAAGATGAATGTTATTGCCTGGGCTGGGTAGCTCAGTGGGTTAGAGCATCGTCCAATATGGCAAGATTGTGGGTTTGATCCCCGGTAAGGGCACATACAAGAATCAACTAATGAATGCCCAAGTGAAACTGCAAATTGATGTTTCTCTCTCTCTCTCCCTCTTAAATAAAAAAAAAAAAGGATGGATGTTATTATTATTATTAGTCTCCTGGAGTTTACATTTCCAGTGAGCTCTTATGATAGAGCCCCATGATTGGTTTCCAGTCTATTTAATAGGGACGGGTGTCACTCAATGCCTGTCTTGCCTGCCCTGAGAGGCTGAAGTAAATGGAACAGGAACTTGCCCTCAGGAGCCAATAATCTTACTGAAAAAATAACACTGAAATGTGTGAAAGAGAAACATAAAATAGCATATAATAAGGCCTTCCATAAAAAAAAAATATTTAAAGCAAAAAGGCAGGTTCATTAAAGAGCCATGAGCTCAACAGGAGGAGGAGCAAACATTAAGGACTCCAATTAAGGACCCCTGGCCAGTCGTAAAATCTTCCTTTATCTGGGACCATGTGTCTTTTTCCTCAGCATTTGAATTGCTTGCCTCTTCCCAGGTTTCCTAATTTCTTCTCTATTTGGCTGTTTCTAAAACAAGTGTGCCCGCCCTTCCCTTTAACTCACAACGTCTGCTTTTCTTTGTTCCTTGGCATTTCTTTTTCTCATTAGAGACATTGTGTATTGGGTTGAATTATCTGAAAGGGCCTCTGTAAGTCAAGGACAATGCTCAAAACCTAATAGACCCTGCAGACAGCAATTGTGTTTCATAAATCCTGTTAGGGTGGGGACAGGTAGGCACTGAAGGGCGAGGATTTCAACAGTACTTGCCGCTGGATGGAAGAAGAGTTCATTGAAATCATTCCCGGGAAGATGTTCTTAAGTAGATATCTCGAGGTGTTACCTCTGTCTATCTGACCTTACTTGGTTTTCACTGCAACCATTTAGCACCCAAATGTCCCCAAGGATCTGTAAGAATGCTCTCTCGTCAGAGAAGTGTACAAGCTTCAGCCTCCTCCCTGGCCTCCAGCCTGAGGTTTCGGCTTCTGGAAGGAATCACAAGGGGACAGGGGGACAGACACCACCTTAAGTGGTCTCAGCTGCTCTGTCAGGGCTGAAAAGCCTGGAATCACAAAGTAAAGGCATGAGAACTTTGTATTTTTCTGATTTGAAACAAAAGCAGTCATGCATTGCTAGAATTCTTTGGTTGCTTTTCTTTTCTTTTTAAAATATATTTTATTGATTTTTTACAGAGAGGAAGAGAGTGGGATAGAGAGCTAGAAACATTGATAAGAGAGAAACATCGACCAGCTGCCTCCTGCACCCCCCCCCACTGGGGATGTGCCCGCAACCAATGTACATGCCCTTGACCGGAATCGAGCCTGTGACCTTTCAGTCTGCAGGCCGATGCTCTATCTACTGAGCCAAATCAGTTTCGGCTGGTTGCTTTTCTAATCAGTCGCTTCATGCCTTGATACTTGACCAGGGCCGTCCTGCACCTCCGACGTGTAAACTATAAAGCTCAGCACCCATCCATGTATGATCCCGAGCCAGAAACTCGCTGCCATGCGAATATGACGCCATCAGACACTGTGAGATGGAGTCAGCAATGAACCAGTCCTAACAGGAGAAAGAAAGGGAGGGAGGCGCGTCTTTAAAATAGGTGTTTCATTGCATAGTTTGGTGACGGTATGAAAGATGACCTGTGGATCAAATCTTGGTGGCATCAGCATTTTAACAAGAAATAGAACAGCTTAGAAGACAACGGACTTGTACCTTTGTCACATCTTTCCAAACAAGTTTTCTGGGATCTATAGATCTGTTTCGTCATGCCCCAAGGTGACCTTCGCGTTCCACGTGTCTCTTTCACCTTCCTGCTGTTTGCACAGGCTATCGGGGTATCTAGGGTTATCTTTGCTCTGGGCTGAAGGCAGCCTCTCCATTCTTGTGTGGAGAATGTGGGGAGGTTCTTGGGACAGTGCTTATAGCTATAACCTGATCCTGTTTGCCAAGAAACAGGGTAAAAAGTATGGCTCAGGATAGTGAGTTTGACATAAATGTTGATGAAACAGAGAGATATACGTGTGTCCACTGGCCGGATGCTCATGAGGAGGGAGGGTACCGGGAGTGCAGCCTGGGCCCTGCAGCCTTGCACAACAATCTTCCTGCGGTTTTCCAAGGTCCCCCTCTATCTGTACAGGGCCACCTACCTTTGGAATGATTGATGTAAGGGAGCTTCAACCTTTGTTCTTTAAAGTCAGTAGCTTAAAGGGGAAGTCAACAGCTTTTTTTTTTTTTTTTTTTTTTTTGGTTGGGGGTCAACTATCAGGGCCTCATATCATTGAGAGGCAGCTCTGGCCTAGCGTGGAGGTTCTCTTTGATGCCCCTGGAGATGCAGACTCAGATCAGTTCTGGAGGTGATAGGAAGCAAATAAGACACAACTCCAGAAGCCCAAGATGAAGGGGCTAGAGGTCGGGCGACTTGGCGGGACACGGGTGGAGGGGAGTGCCGTGGCGGGCGTGGGTTGCAGACAGATGAGCGCACCTAGCACATTACACGTGTCTGTAGCTAAGTTACCTCCAATCAATTGTCCAAAGTTAAATTTCCAAATCGGTGCCTAATTTTAGTCACATGTTGGCTGAAATATCTTCATGTGGACTTGTGTATTGTTAAAGCTATTTAACAAAGTATTAAGTAAAAACTTAAAGAAGATTTACTTTAAACTCCACAATCACAGCAAACGGTTTTCCTATTCCAGTGTTCCCTGCCAGCTTTTTCCAGTATATTTCTCAACCAAATGACTGAACATATTGCATGTTGCTTTCAGTCTTCATAACTATCTTAACAGTATAATAATTCACCTATTTTATAAAATACAATTTACTTAGTCATCGCTCTCATTTGATAGAAATTAGCTTATCCTCCTTCCTTCCCTTAATACTTTCTTTCCTCCCTTCCTCTTTCTTTCCCTCCCTCCCTTCTTCCTCTCTCTCCCCTTTTCTATCATAAATAATTTTGTAATAACTAATGGTGGGCATATAGATTTTAATTTGTTTGAGTTATTTCTTTTTGTTAATCCCAGAATGACCACCTAACAATTTTTAAAGTTGTTTCACCTATCTCCAAATTGTTTTCCGGCCAATTTGTCCTTTGGTGTGAGTGTTCTTTGACCACCTGCTTCGAAATATTGATTGCTCCTTTTTAGGGGTAAATGGCCATGAAGAATGGTATAAAGGTGCATCTCACCTCCATGGCACTCCAGGCGACAGGGCCTGGGTCTGAAAGCAGGACACCAGCCTCCAGTCCTGGCACAGCGACTAATGAGCTTTATGATCTTGGATAATGCATTTCCCATTCAGCAGCCTCAGTTCCCTTTTCCATTACACTGAGCTAAAAATAAACACTCCAGAGAATTGTGGTGAAGGTGGAATGAGGTAATATACGTGAAGATCCTGTGCAAACTATACAAATGTAAATTTGGAGTATTTTGAAAGAGCAAGCTGAAAATTAACTTCCTGTGGAAAACATCAGTGGGAGTCTGTGTGGGATGAAGAGTGTTAATAGAAATGATTCCTTCTTCCTTCCTTCCTGCCTCCCTCCCTTCCTTCCCTTTTCCTGTCAGAAATAATGTTGTAATAACTCTCCTTTACTCCTTGAGTTTCATGACTAATCTGTTTGTCCTTATTTTTATTTTTGAAGTTGATTTTTATTCATTGTCTATTTGGGCTGAGATTAATTTTAGGTTGATTCATTTTTTCATCTACTCAGCACTTCTTTATACTTGTATTCTACTGATTACAATTGCTGTTCCAGATTTTTTTTTTAACCTTCAATCATTCATTCTGCATTCTATAAATATTTATTAGGTGTTTAAGATATGTGAACTTTACAGTAGTTCATTGCTAAAAAATGATGACTATTATCTCCTTAAATATATCACTATCATTTCTTTAATGTTTTTGACAATCTTGAAACTCTCTTAGAAATATCTTACCCTCATTACTCTTAGGAGAGAATATTTAAATACTAAAAAATGTTACCACCTTTCATAAGGAAATTATTTACCCATCCTATTTTTATTGTTCAAATTCATGCTATCTATAGTTGAAATAACTCAGAAATAATCATATTAAAATTCATTT